TAATAATTCTGAGCAGCTCAATTTAAATGTGCAAACACGAATAACTCAGCGCTGGTGCTGAAGAAAGCAGAATAAGATTTGAAAACACACCAGAGACAGAGGGAGAGAGACAAAAGGAGCATACCCTTCTCCCTTGATAATAAATTTGCGGATGACTTTGTGGACGCTGACAGCTGTGTTATTTCTCAGGGATATGGGCACTATTTCAAACCATAATTGGTGGTAAATCTTAATGGATTTTTCTTCACTTCCACAAGGTCAAGCTTTCTCTGTATTTGTAACCAAGACTTTGCCTCCTGATGATGGGAACATGTAAGTTGATTCATGAATAAAAAATGAAATGTTATATTATTTCTTCTGTGAGCAACGCCTTAATATTCAACCAGCACTGTGTTTTCAACTCATGTCCCAACCAAATAACAAGAAATGTAATATGTTCCGCCGCCGCTCCACTGTTGTTTACCTGCTACAAACAGAATGAAATAAAATATTCACCATGTGAGACAGCATGTGCTGTGACTGTTTCTCTCCACAGAACTCATAACACTGATGAGAGATGGGAATCCATCATGCGTCACGGTGCAAGAGAAGTTTAAAACGCTGTGAAAGAGAAGACTGGACGATTAGTGAACTAAATGTCACGCATTATCATCAAATTCAACACTGCAACATTAAAGATCAGGTGGAACATGGCCAAGATAAACTGAATGACAGATACTTCACGGGCTTAATTACTATGAAAATCTCTGTTTTAAGTGCTGTAGAGCAAAGATTCACTAAGAATCTCATAAAACAGTCACGAGGACTGTGATAATCACAGTGTAAAATATCAGTATGCCCTGTAGTCCTCTTCTTGGTTCATGTTCAGCTTTCTCCATAAATCCGAAGCAGAATCCTCAAATCAGCTCTGGCGGTAATCATTTCCCAAAATTTGAGTCCTACACTTTGAAAAATAGATGACCCTGTGAGAATCATTCCGGTTTCACCAGCAGATGAGCTGCAGGTACAAGTTAATGTGTGTGACCACAGATCACTGACTGACTCCTTTACCTTGTAGTTACTGTAGACTTTGTTGGGCAAAGTTTTAAGAAGATACACACCTTCTAGAAATTTTGATACTAGAATTAGACACGCACAAAATCAGATAAATGCCAATTTCCGATATAGCAAAGTTTCCAACTCATTCTGGCTGAGTTTGATTTTCTTGTTAAAGCTCCCTGAAGAAATCTCAGTTCATGTTGATTTTGGCGCCCCCTGTAGACAAGGCAGCACCTCTTATCCCTTTGCTTGTTTGTCCTGCACACGTGTCAGTGAAGTATTCCAACAAATAAATCTCACCCTGTTATTCTTGTGCTCAAATCTATCCCTCATTGTAAATCCCTGCCATGAAGTAGTGTGCAGTATTGTGCAATTGAAAAACTCCACTGTCACCTACCAACCTTCAGTGGTTTTAGACATTTCAAGTGATTGTTTAGAAATATGTCATCTTGTCTCTGAAGGTCCTAGAGAAGAATCAAGTCCTTTCTCCAATCACATTGAAACTCCTCACAGGAGCTTTAATCTCCTTCACCTTCGACAGTCTCCTCTCTATTTATTAGCTGTGTTGAGTGACTGAAGTAGAAGCTGCTTAGAATTTTTTTTTACCAAGGCTTTATTGTGCTTACTTTTCGGAAACTTTGGATGCTCCAGGGTGATTATTCTGAGAATGTACGATGACATTGGTTGTGTCAGGCGAGAGTTATTTTGCTCTTCCTCTGATCATCTGTTTCACAAGCATTGCGAATATCTATTCTGATGCCTGTTTCCAACTCCTCAAAATACTCCCATACGGCTGTCATGACGAAGCTTGTTGTTAGAACACATAAGCTGTCATTGCAGATGGATGATTAATGCATTCGCCATACATGTCAGCAGAAATGATCTTGTCTGCCAATATCAACTGTAACTTCTTCAGCTTTTGTGTGTCAATACCAATAGTCGGCTCTTAATATTGTGCGTTTGCGCAAATCTTATTTTAACAGAATACTAGGGCTGCACGAGTCATGATCTTTTTTTTCAGAAAACTCAGTTTTCGATTTAGATTTTTTATTCAGTGACAACTCTACCAAACTTCACTTTAAAAATAAAAAGTTTTTCTATCATCTTTCAAAACAAAACCACTGAAAACGACATATGGCATATGCCAAGCCAGTAAGTAGCGCTGTAACGCTACCCAAGAAATGCACAAAGGTGTACAAAGGTTGTTTTGGCAGGACAAACCAGGCGCCATAAAAAAAGAGTTACGCTGTGTGTCACATGATCGTTTCCAGAGATGCAGATCGACATCCACGCGGAGATGAAATGGTCGTCGTTTACAGATTTATACACTCTCTGACCCGTTTTCAAAAAGTCCCGCTTACAGTCACCTGAAACACTGTTTCCTTTTGGTTGAAACGCCGATACGACAAAAATCTTTTGCGTTTACTCCTGAATTTGTTTCCGTGTGGTTGGGTTGATACTAGGGATGCACGATATTTATCGGACCGATAAAATATCGGCCGATATGGGGGGAAATTACGTCATTTTTTATCGGTCCGATAGGTGCATTTTTCCGATAGAAAGATCCGATATATTAATGAAATTACGAGTAACGTTTGCAGGCGGAGTAGCCGCCCGTCCGAGACGCGCTGGTCACGTCGTCTATCAAGCCTTACTCGCAGGTCCCAAGCCTGACCCCGTCACTGCCTGACAGATAATAAAATGTCTTCACCAGCATGGTCGTTTCTCTCAGTGGCAGAAGATGACAACAGCATTGCTATATGCAAAACCTGTTCAGTGAGGATTCCAAGAGGAGGAATGAAGACGTCAAGTTTTAACACAACGAATCTGATAGCTCATCTGAAAAGTCGCCATCGCGGCGGAGCAGTATTAAAGGACTATGAGACAGCCGCTGAAGCTGCTAGCGGTACTAAAGCTAAGACAACAACACTACGGAGGATCGATGTCCCCATTCAGCGAGCGTTTAAGAACTGCAAAAGCTTCTCAAGAGACAGCGAAAAGGCTAAAGCCATTAACGACAAAGTGATGGAGTTCATAGCGGTCGACGACCAGCCTTTTTCCGTCGTTGAGAACCCGGGTTTTCGTAAGTTCATAGCACACTTGGAGCCACGTTACACTCTCCCAAGCCGCCGCTTCTTCTCGGATGTGTCTCTTCCTGCACTCTATGATATTGTCGCCACATACATTCACAACCTGATCGACAAGAACGGACTACACGTGAGTTTTACCACAGACATATGGACGTCAGATGTTAGTCCGGTCAGCATGCTAAGCCTAACGGCTCATAATAGCTCCTTTACAGTTTACAGTTCTGTTGAACAGTTCAGGGGATCAAATGAAGTTCTGCTTTTTGCTCTGTTATTGTTATTTATAGCAAATGACCACATTTGAAGAGCCAAAAACTTTTGTTTGTTGTTCTAGATAGGCCAGAGCAACAAAAATATCAGTTTTCAATCGCTGCATCCTGCACAAACTGTAGATTATATGAAGATTACAATAAATGTAAAAATATGAATTTATCGGTTATCGGTATCGGTATCGGCCATGAGAAGAAGAAAATTATCGGTTATCGGTATCGGTTGAAATTTTTCATATCGTGCATCACTAGTTGATACTGCCTTCAGACAGACTTTACAGCAGGGAGTGGTTTGCTCTTCATCTGAAACTGTGAAGTCGTACCAATTCAACACGACCGACTCGCTCTTGTCCTATTTAACCACGAAATTATCGCCCTCTTTTGCAAACACCATGTTTGTTTACACTGGTGTGTGTGGGAACTGGGGAGCCAACGGTGGCCTGGAGGCACGAAACATAATAGAGAGGAAAATCGATTTGACGATTTAATTTTTTTACATCGTTATTATCAACTAATCCGATTACGATTAAAATCGATGAATCGTGCAGCTCTACAGGATACTTAAACAGATTAGACACCTGAAATGGCTTATTCTTCGAAATCCAACAACATGTACTTTCTCTTTCCAGCCAGACAGAAAAATCTATCAGGTAAAATTAATAGACTTTTACTATAAAACATGAATTTTAAATGTTAAACAAATGTCTCATGTCTGCTGGGAAGTGTGTGTCATTTTATACCATTTGTGGAACCATTTTAGCCAAAGCCTCTGGAGTCGCTGCTGTCTTCCTGTAATTTATCGTTTTAATAAAGAAGAAGAAGCATGAGTAGTTGTAGAGACTAAACACAGGACAGTGTAGATGATCACTTTACTCATAAATAAACTGATGATAAACCCTGGAGAGGTTATCCATTATTAGTTGCTTTCCTTTAAACCAGTGGCTTCTGTTTGTAGCTTCAATTTGTCTTAGAAGCTGTTGAAGGGAATCATGCAGATTTTAAGAGACAGGAACAGCAAGCATTAAGAGCAGTCATGTAAATCTTCCACTTACACCTAAAACCAGAGTATACTTGATCACAAATGACCTGTATACTTCAGGAGCACACCGAGCGTTTAGTCCTACTTGCTCGATTAAGATTTCAAAGACTCCCCTTGGTTTTCAGCTCACAGTATTCTTCCAGCTGAGTGAAAGTAGGAAACAGAAAGAAATTGGTGTGAAATACTTTGATTCCACGTCTACATGAAAAGAGGAGATATAATGTCCTGATCGACAGCTCTGTTGACAAATGACAGCTTCTGCAGCATTCTTTACAGGATTAGTGGAGTGGAGAAGGTACAGTCATAACAAACACCATTAAACTCACTATAACCAAAAGTGTCTGCTTCAAATAAACACGAGAATCTGTCCTGAAACCTGAATCACCAGCAGACACATTTCTCCTGTGCATACTTAGGCTCCAAAATACACCGTAAGCACAATATTTCAGCACCCAGTAAGGACAGAATACAGAGTAATGTTGAGGTGTGCCATCCATGTTTTTTGTTTGTTTTTTTGCAGTCAATGGTTTAGACACAAAAAACGAGGTTACTTTAAGGAAACTAACATCACAGGGTGTGTTCGACGCAGGTTTTGTGTCATGTCTCTTGAGTTAAAGTTCTGTGTTTTAAGTTTTCTTTTTCTATTTTTTTCTGCTGAGAGACTGATGTTGAGTTTAGTTGAGAGACTGATGCACCTGATGCAGATGCTAAAGAGGGAAACTTTAGCATCTGTCCAACATGTTGTGTTAAAGTATCAGTATCAGATGTTTTGAGAATAAAACTCTGAGAGAAATTACAGATCTGATCCCACTTCAAGTCAGCCGCAGACTGAAACAGCTGCAGCTTTGATAATAGCAAGTCTCTGAACTAGTTCAGTGCGCACAGGGACAACATAACAACATTGTCATGCCCTATTGTAATAAGAAGATACAGCCTGTTGTGGTAAAGTCTGGACTTAATTGAATTGTATTGCGAGCTTCTGTCTTATGAGCAACACAAAGCTGCCAGGAGAGCACTTAGGACAGCGTGCCCGGATCCCAGCGTCAGGAGGCTTTAGCTGAGGCGCATACAATCACAATAATATGGGTAGAATTTTTAATATTGCCCTGACACTGCTCCCTAAAGCAATCACAGCAAACTCACAGCGTAGGGGTGGGGGGGGCCAAATTGGATTATGGGCCACAAGCACTTTAATTTTCTTGCAGGAACTAAAACGAGTGAAGGAGCATCTGCATCAGTTTACCACTTCAGGAGGAGAGTTGGTAAATATGAGCATCTCTGGACTTCCTTTACAACTTCACAACCTCAGACTATTTCCATAAGAGTTCATACTCACATTATATGAAGTTGGTGTTACAACCACGGAGTATGTGACACAACAATGAACACATCTTGATCTAATCTCAGGTAATTATCCAATTAGCACTAATTGAACTCCTCTTCTAATGAGGATGGGATTGTTTGTGCAGTGTCCTTGAAAATGAATAACTGTAATGATTCCTGGCAGCAGAGTTTGGATAATCACATCTTAATTAGGGCGCACCTGTGACAGTTATTATGCCACTTTGGACAAGATCACAGAGATGCAAACCAGGACCACAGAGAGGTGAAATCCCCTAAAAACAAATCTCGATTTTATTAAAAAGCCACCACACACACACACAAGCAGCCTATGATGCAAGCGTAGTAATAACATGCATCATCTCTCCATGATGGCTCACTTTTGATGTGGAAAAACTTTACTTACTGCAAACCACCTATTAGAGTCTCCACAGTGTTAAACTCCGCTCTGAAACACAAAGGCAAAGCATCTCTTTGATTCTTTTGATGATCTGTCCTCCTGTCCTTTCCCATGCACTTTTTGACACAAATCAAATCCTGAAAACTTTTTAATTATGTACTTGTCCTGGTTTCTCTTTTGGGATCAATAAAGTTCCTGTATGTAGTTCTTGTATATGACTTTCTACAGCATGTTTACAAGCTCAGCAGACATGTGAAAGCTTGATAACTGTGTAAGCAGAAGACTCGCTCCTCTGACTCTCCTGAGCTGATCCTGCAGTCTAACCAGCATAACCAACACCTTTTCCAAATGACCTTTCTTTTGTTAATTATCATGTAATTGCCTTTGCAACATAATAAAAATAAAATCAAGCAATTTACTCGTGAGGTTCTGCACGGCTAAGTGTGACTTCGACCTGCAGAACACGATGAGAAGGTAATTGATTTTTGAGCGGGGTTTAAGGAGCTGCTGGAGTGGAGTTAGTTAAAGAGAAGTTACCAGAAGTTCAGCTGTAAACTTCATAGCATCTGTGACAAGAGTGGCATCGCTGCAAGGACAGACACTGCCTGCTGTTCCCCCTGAGACAGTGATGGACACAGACTCAGAGCCACATGACACATGGATTTTTTTTTTCTTCCTTTCTCTAAGAAAACTCAGTCTGATAGCAAAAAGCTTACCACTACAGTATTTTCCCCTCAATCAGTGTTTGATTTGAAAGCAGCGTCTGCATAAAACTCTGTTAAAAGGAACAAAAATATCTCCTTTTACATGAGACAGATCCAAGTTCTTTGTTTTTCTTACAACGGTCTTATCATAAAGTACAAGTTCTACTTCTGTGAGACTGAGTTTGACATGCTGGTAGAGCTTAACCGACGGTATTTAAAGGGATTTTGTTTGAATTAGTAAAAACACATTTGTGCTGCCAAAGTTAGAAAATCATTAGTAGCTTGTGGAGGCCTATCGTGTTTTAAGAGCTTCCCTGGCTCAACACACAGCAGCACCTCCATCAACAATGAGTGCAGTCTCGCTTTATTTGTTTGTGTTGACTGAGTCAGAACCAGATGACGAAGGAGGGCTGCCAGCTGATTATTATTTATACTACTTTCTTTATGTATTTATTTATGATACTCTCAAGATAGATAGTAGGCATACACAGTCAATATTTGGCTATTGTTTACATCGTTTGTTCTCATAAAGGCTCTGGACTATTTGCGAGTACAGTTTTGTTTTTTTCTTTAGCATTGCCTGTAAAGAAATACAAATAGCGTGTCTTTACCACCTTACACTGGAAAACAGTAAAGCCAAAATACTGCCTCGATGAGCACTGACATATGGCACTGGTGATGTATTCTGAAATAACAGCACACACAAAAGTGATCTGGCTTGAAGGGGTGAAGGACTGAAATCGCTAACTAAAGGAAACACACAACTTGATTGTAGTTGTTTACATTTTGCTCTTGTGTTTTTATTGCTCTACGTGTTCTTATGATTCCTCTTGTATTGTATTATTTTGGCTTGGAAATGGCCGCGGGTAAAAATTTTGTACCACAAACTGTCAAAGGTGTGGGGTATGACCATAGACTGTACTGTATATACTATGGACAACTTAGTTCCGCCTACCGCCTGTATACGGATTTGAAGCCAAAAAGCTCTCGGTATTTACAGGATTTTTCTTCATTTCCTGAAACCAGCGCTGCGCAAAAAAAACAACAACAAAACCAAGAGGTGGACAGCAGAGCAGATTCTTGTGTCAGGCGCTTCACTAAGTCCGCATTCATCAACTGAACTGTCAATCTTTATATCCCAAACCTCTCTTTTGACAAGCCCATTTCTTTAAAAAACTCTGGATACTGTTTGGATTAATAATTAAAATTAGAGTTGGTTTGTTTGTGACTCACTGGAACCCTATACTGAATTTAAAAGATAGTGCAAGCAACATGTTTCCCAACAGCTGGGGCAGGGATAGTGTTTACCATTGTGTTGCATCAGCTCTCCTTTCTACAAGACTGTGAATATCTGAAAAACTTTTCTGAAAAACTTTCTCTCAAGTTTGGAGAATGAGATATTGTCCCTTTCTATTGGATTTCAGAGGCTTGATAGTTTGCAGTCCTCAATCATCATAGTTCTCATTTTTATGATATGCCAGATGTTTTGAATGTATGACATGCTGGGACTACAAACAGGCCAGTTTAGCAACCAGACACTCATTCAGCAGAGCCATGCTGTTGTAACACAGCCATAAAAGGGTTTGGCATTGTCTTGCTGAAATATGCAAGGTTACTCTAAGGAGCGCCAACCCAGATGTGTAAGCAACCCCTGCAACGAGTACTTGTGCAATCCCACAGAGTTATGAATACTGGCTTTTGCACTGATTGCAAACCAGGCAGTCCCTCACTTTTTCCAGAGTAGGATGTGGCTCCATGATTTTTGAGCTCATGCAGTGATTCCTCCGACATGGTCGTTATGCAGAGCCGCCTGAGAACCCAATGGTCTCAATCAGTACTAATTTTCTGTCTTTAGCCTTTTGAACTAAATTTCTGTAATTTTCTTCAACCTTTAATAATATTAGACACTGAAATCCCAAAGCGCTTTACAATTTTGTGCCAGGGAACATTATTCTTAAATTGCTGGACTATTATTTTTTGCTCATGCAGTCTCTCACAGATCGTGACCCCTCTTCTCATCTTTACTCCTGCCTCTCTGGATTGCCCTTTTTATACCCAGTCACGTCACTGATCAGTTTGTATTAGCCTCATTGGGAGGGAAATGTTATTCCAGGTGTTGTTTTTAATTGAACAGAACTTTTTCAGAGTTTTGTCCCAATATTTTGTCAAATGTGTTGCTTGCAGGAAACTTAATATCAGCATAGACTTATCAAACAAAATCAGTCTTTTAGGGTTAACATATAATATGTTGTCTTTGCATTATAAACTACAATATTTAGCAGATTTTCAAACCATCAACATATCTCTGATGTTCCAAAAGTTTCAGCTTCACTTTAGAAATAAACTCTAACCTTCATCAGATTGTATATATAATTAAAAAATGTTTTGAATAAATATGTAGGCATAACTTGCGCCATTTTTTTGTGCTTAAATAAATTTAATTCAAAGTCTTTACATTTTTGATTGAAACTGTTTCGTAATACTTTTGAAGTTCTTACCAATAAGCACACAAAACACTAAAAAAACGAAGTTTGACGGTCATTGTAAATTTAGGTTTCCTGTGGCTAAACCAATCTCTGAGTTGGCAGAAAGTTAGGGGGCATCTCCTCCCCAAGGCCAAATGGATAAGGAGAGGGCAAAGAAACAGGGAGAGAGATGAGAGTGTTAATCAGGGAGACAACACTGTAGCCTAACAAACAGCCCTAATTACACTGGGATAAAGACTTGTTCATCACACAGCTTACGAGACACAAGTTAATTGCCTCTGCTTACCGTTCCCTCCCTCTGTCTGAAAGCCGCTTGTTGCAAAGTCACTTGGAACAAGAGCGACTCCCTTCATTTCTTGGTTTTCCCTTGTTCTTCTCCTTTTTTCTAAAGGTGGTTCTCACTTTTTGCAGGGAATCAGTCTTAAGTCATGTATCCAAGAGGCTGAGAGGCCTTTATTGGTATTCATAATTGTTCACCATTACAGCTCAGAGTACAAACACCAGTGAAACAAATGTGTGTAGGATGCAGGCACGCTGGGTGAAATCTATAACATACAGAGCACAGGAGCCCCCGAGCAGTGGAGGCTATTGCTTCCGATGAGGTTATCACCTGTGAAATCATGCATATATACATTAGAGGTCACCGAGCAACCATATTCAGTATGAAAACACATAACAGGGTTTATGTTGTGGTAGCAGATACAGCAAAAGTATTCTCCAACTGTGCCTTTGGCTGCAGAGCTGTGTGGATCAATATACTTAAAATACATATTGTGACTGTGTTCAAGATGATATGTGGATTTCCTGCCGTGAACTGTGTCGCTGTCAAGGACAGTTGTCTATATATTCCTCTGGTGGACGTGATCTGAGCACACGGAGAGGCAAAGAAAAGTAAACAGATCTAAAGTGAAAGTTTCAACAGTGAGCTTGTCATGCTTGCCTTAAGTCTGAAATGATCAAAGCACAGCAGTGAGCAACAAGTGTAAAGGGAGGAGGCCGCAGCTGTGAATCACACACACACACACATGTCTCTGCACACTTTGCCAACAGGGGATTCAAAAGATCTACTCGTCTACTTATGCTGAGATATTCGCACCACATGGACTGTAAAATGATGAGGCAGAGAACTGCACCGAGGGCATTTTTACTTCATCATTTTATATTAACCACTTCAAAACACATCATCCATTAACTGTTACCTACGGGAGGGTTCATATAATCTGGAATAAAATGACATGAATTCTCTGTGTCGACGTATTTCAAAAGATTGATGTGAGTGGTAGGTTTGAGTTATTGATTATGGTTTCATGTATGTATGGATTTCAGCTGGCATGATCAGTTATGGGACTATTTTATGGATGCTATCAATGAAAGAGAAACTGCAGAAAACATCTCTCTCATTTACCTCTTTTCTTCCCTAAATCACCCAAGGCCAGGGTCACTCTACGGTCAGGTTCACATTGAGCTATGAAAGGCTTGGCTTGCTTCAGCGATGATGTTTTTACATGTCCCAGTGAGTGGCCTTACAGCGACAACCAGTGGGACAGGTGTAAAAACATTGCTTTGCACTTCCAAGTGACGTATAAGATTTCCCTTCAGACAAGTCAGTCATTAAAACAAAAACAGAGGGCCACTGACACCCATAACCGCTTCGAAGTTCTCAGTAACCATGTAGATTTTTACTACTAGGCCTAACAAGAAAACATCAGCACCAAAGAATATTAAAAGGAGCCTGAAGATTTATGTCTGTTGGTTCAAGGATTTTGTGACTTATGGCTCTTAATTAATTTTATTGGAATAGTGAGCTGTTCAAGTCCCTGATAACAGCAGCAAAGCGTGCACCCAAATTAAAAACGTGCCCTTTCAGCCAAATGTTTAAATCTTCTGAGTTCTCTCTCAGGTTGTGCAGAGGACACAATCAATTCCACAATCAACAACTCCTAAATCTTCACAGATGGGTCTCCCTGAGGCAAAACCCTATCAGTCAAACAGCCAGTGAGTCAGGGTGCTGAGTATTGGTTTGTTTTAAAGCCCACTAAGAGGAGAAACTCACATTTAAAGTTGGAGCAAATGCTGTGAGATCATTGGCAGGGTTTCATCAGATAGATAAACACTCACATACCTGCCGTTGAGTAAGGCAAGGAGCTCCCCAGCGTGGTACAGGTCGTTGCGCGTCACCCGGCTGAAGCGGAAGGAGTTAAGGTTGCAGAAGGTGACGGAGGGGAACACCATCATCGGAGCAGCCACCTCGTCCAGCTTGGTGACATGCGGGTACTGGAAGTAGAACTGCACCCGGTCCACACACACCAACACCAGCACACTCAGGGAGCCGAGGAAGAATAAAATCCACAGAGTGCGCTTGATACACATCCGCTCATAAGTGAACATGTGCGAGATGCCGTGCAGCGTGGACCTGCTGGCGAAAACTTCAATAGGAGCTGGCTGCTTGTAGTCCATGTCGTCCGAGTCCGCTTTCATATCCATTTTGTCCCCGGGATGAGTGAAGCTGCGTGGAGTGGAGTGGGGTTGAAAACTGGCTTTATATACAAGTTGATGTTCTTTTAATTGTAAGGAGGTTACTGTCTGCAAGTTCACGCCCTTCTACGCATGCATCCCTCATTCAGTCTGTGTGAGATGTTGCGTCACTGACAGTCGGCAAAACAACCCAACATCCACGGAGGTAACCTCAAAATACCCCCGTCCTTACATGTACACTAAAGGTGAACATACAGATGTGTGAAATCACGTGTTGTACTTCGGTTAGGGTCACAGTTCCACAGTGAAAAATAGCCGGGCACGGGGCGCGCATGGAGAGATGCCAACGCTGTCCTCTTCCCGCACACTTCTCCTCTATTACGACCGAGTTGATGCTGCTTTTTACGCTCAAGGCAGAAAGCACCAGATAGATTCAGGAGGAATAGGAAAAAGACTGCAGCTCGGTGAGGAAAGCAGCGTTATCAGAGCCATAGAATCACAGCGGTGTTGTATCCTCTCTGTGTGCTCGGCAGGCGGAGGAGGAGAGTGCACTGGCTTACACGGCTCTCCATGCTCGTCATATGCAATCCCCAACACGTGCAGAATAACAAATAGCCGCTGATTTCTCGCTCGTTAGCGTCTTAAAAAGCTGTCCTCGGGGTGTCCATGGGATTTCACAGCCAATGTAAACATCTGCATCACAGAGGAGCTGCGGTCTGTCAGGTAGCAGCTCTCCCCTCTCAGTGCGCCTCTACTCGCTCGCTTACATCCATTCCCCCCTTCCTCCGAGCTGCCTCCACACAACAATGCAGGGATAATTACTCCGGCTTCATTTGGATTCCAGCTGGTTTATCCATCAGTAAGAGTGTAAAGGGAGAACATAATGAGTAGCCGAGCTGAAAAAGCGGTTTATCATGCGAGATGCCCAGTGTTGAAGATTTAGGGAAACCACCTCAGAGGCAGTCGCGCTTTGCCGGATCAATTAAATTCGCCCCAACGAGGAGCGAGCAGCGATAGGATGGCATGTGTCTTACACCGGGTGACGATGTCCAACGTCGGTATCACTTCGAAAACACCAGGGACGAGGCAATGTCACTGTTTTACACCAACAGCTGCAGTTATACACAATATGACTAAAAATGTCCTTCCCTATCACTCATCTCTCTATGACCGTCAGTCCTCGGCGCTAGCTTAACTTCGATAGTTTTCGCTAGCGTCAACTTTTCTCTATGCTCACTTTTTGTTTTCGTTTAAGAAAATAAATATTTAAACAAAAAGTTTCCTTGTGCTTCAGAGGTGTGGTAAATTGAGCTGACATATTTGTTCTGTTTGAGAAAAGTAGGCTTAAAATAGCGCCAACTAACTTCGAACGGTCCAAACTGGTTTAAGTACGGTGGCCCCGTAGGCCAAAACAGACAGGTGTGAAATTGATTCCTTATTTGCGCTATTTCGGCAGCTAAAATGGCGGTCAGTCAAACAAAAACAAACAAACAAAAAACATACAGGCATTCCGTAACATCAAAGCATCCAGGACAAGAGGTTTACTAAGAATTAAAAAATTAACAATTTTGTCAATAAAATATATAAACATAGATATAAAAGTATAAAAGGAATATTAAAAATGCCACTATAATGGAGAAACAGCTGAAAATTTTTCATAAAAGAAAACCCACAGTGTTCACAAAAGAAAGTTAAACTAAAATGTAAACCAACATAGAAACAAAATTATGTAACAATCAACAGATAAATCATAAGTGAATAAATTAAAAAGAAAAAAAAGACACCAGCTAACCAACATTTTGGAAGTCAGTTGCACATCAATGTAAAAGTTATCTCCTAAAGTCAAGGTGTAAAATCCACATTAAACCAGATACTGAAAAGGGTTTAATCAAATAAAGTTCTGCCACTGTTTTAGTTGCACCACAGAGTACCACTAAACTAGCTAAAGTACTTCCCCAGAATATTAATAATAGTTTTCTTTATTATGTTCATTGTTAGCAAGAAGTTTTAGGCCTCTCAAAGTTGTCATTTTTAATATCTGTCAGCAAGGCTGTTTCTGCTTGTACACGCAACATTCAGCTCTTAAATTAACATGCTTTTAGTGCTGGAAGTGACATTTCTCAAATCACAGCCTTTGAGTGTGTTCGTGTTAAATTTTAAAGTGGAAAAAGTGAATAATCTTCTGGCTCTTCATCAGCATACTGGGCTATCTTGTACATTTATTAAACATTTAAATCCAGCTATCAGATGGAAATAAAATGTAATGAGGAAAAAGAAATGAAAAGTATGGAGAAGTCTTACAGTTAATTTTTACCCTAATTGCAAACCAGTGCAGTAATTGAGCTGAGTAGAGGATACCAAAAAAGAGGAGCACTTGGCTGACTTCAAGTGGAAGACTCCCATTAGCCAACAGACAGGCTAATTTGATAAAGTTTCCCAAAAGACTTCTTTAGCACTTAAATTCAAAAGGGGCAGAGGTTCTCATTAAGAACTTACAGCTTACTGGAAGTGTAGCTACTAGACAAATAAAAAACAACCCATAAGAAGCAATGCATAACATAATGTGTTAAATTTCAAAAACATCGGATAACTGTAACGTAATTTAAAAGTATTTCAACAGGAAAAAAGGAAAGTTTTGAAGATATAATGTTACAGTTTGAAGTCTAGACATCCCACAGCCAATCACGGGTGCTGATAACACAAACATTCATATGGTTAATGGATTGTATAGAAATATGTTTTCAGTCTTCAGACAACTTAAAGTGCTTTTACACTTATAAACATTTGCCATTTTCATTATTTTTATGCACGGATGGTAGAAACTTAAGTGCCCATCAGTGTGACATTCTGATTTAGAGACCCCATTAATGCCCAGACAGGCACACAAACATTTGGGTGGAAACCGAACCGATGTGGTATTTCTCTAGGGTAAGTTGTTCATTTCTTTTGCAAAACAGTAATTTGGCAGACAAAACCTCAAGCATACAAGAATACGGACAAGCACCAGTACAAAGTTGCTGTTCACACATGCACACGGGTGCCACACATACACATTATGCTTGTTTACAAAGGCATGCACGCAAACACAAGGTTGTATGCAGTGTCACACAAATCCCCGAACAAATCAATTTTCTCCCTTGACCAATTCTCTGTAGTCGCCTGAATGGAACATCCAAATATGTCAGAGTGAGTGAGCGAGCCAAGCACAGGCGATAAGGCAGATGTGTCGCAAGACTGCTGGTGCCAAATCTATCATAGACACCGTATTGCCAAGAGGAGAGGGGAGCTCACCCATGAAATTGTTCATAATTCGTCCATAATTGCCATTTGCCATAGTATTGACTGTGACAATGTGGCATCTCATATTGATCTGCAGTGCTGGGAAGATGAGCCATGCTCCATACAGTGAAGTGATGTGGATTCTGGGTAGTCATTGTGCAGCGGTGATACATACACGTTGGTTTGATATTACAGGAGATATTAAATTACTGAGGAAGCTTACCCAAATTTAGCTTTTGTCACTGTTGCCAGAGTGATGCAGGATTTTCTTACTCAGATGATGCTTTTAACCATTTATATGATACTTTAGAGTAAGATTGTGCAATGCTCCTGAGATACCTGGTTGAGTAGACTTCTCTGACAAAGCTGCTTTCTTTGTAGGGTGCTCTCTCGCTCAGCCCTACCTAGAAATTTCCTGCTGTCCAGGTCTGTGTGTGAATACATTTCCGTTCTTTTCCATTAAAAAAGTGAGTCTTTTTATTCCCAAGACAATTTTGAAGGCTCAAAAGTAGAAAAGACCATCAACCTTATCCCATTAGCAACAAAAGTTGAGCTCGCTATGACTGCCAAACTGGTTATATGGTTTTATACAGCTTCAACAAACTTCAGCAGGATCAGCTATATCAGGGTTGTAATTATGTTTTGAAGTAGAACTAATGTAGGTCCTTTTGGATGCACTTGCACATACAACATTAAAGAAAAGTAGTCACTGTGCCTTTAAAATGCAAGTGAAAAGTATCATGAGGGATGATGTTTTTTTTTTTTTTACCAAGCAGAAAAGCACTTACAGGACCAGGAACAAAAGGAAACAAATGCATTAAGACATTTAAGCCCTTTGTGTGCCTCCCTACAAATATGAACATTAAAAGCATGAAGATCAGAACTTCCAAGCCCTAATGTGCCCATCGAGGCATTTGTTCTTTCTTTTGTTATTGATTTGTCTTACAAGGGTCTGCTATTGTAAGCAATGATGTCAGCACTGACGGCAGCAGCCTGGGTATATTTGAAGTGCCGTTGCCAATGACTGCCTTTCCATTTTTGAAAATTGAGAAGATTTTGGGAGTTAGAGCTGAAATGGGGATCAAAAAATAAAGATATTTATCTATTTATTTATTTGCTATCGAAGTGGTTGTCCATCCATAGCATGGCAATTGATCCCAAAACCAAGAGTATCGTTGCTGGCGTTTTTATTCAGTCTATAGTAAGCTGTAAATATCAGCATACTCCAGTGTGTGGTAACCACAGGAGCTCCTTTTCTTCTCAAGGGTGGATGCTGAGACCCTTTCAAGCACACGCCAGAAATCCACCAGAGTGAGTGAGCAGCGACTCTACATGACCATGTGTCCATATAGTGTGACAAGGAGAGTCAGAGGAGAGAGGTATAGACAGGGATGGAAAGCCAATAGCTTCAGCTGACCGGTCACGCGATGCTGGCTGTCAGCTGTTTCTTCCATAACAGGAGGAGGCCCATTTTATGACGCATTATTGAATAATTTGACTGACTTAGGAGTTGTTGCATATTTTTGTATCAAGATTTTTTTCTTGAAAGAAAATTGAAATACACACAAAGTATACATTTTTCTTTTTAATGCTACATATATCACTATATTTTGTTTCTGGCCCCCTCTGAACCCTTACAGGTTGCTTCCCCCACGAGTTAGTAAGTTTATTTTAGCTCAGTTAGTTCATTTAAGTGGCTGGCAACACCTGACTTGTTGTGATCTTGGCCGATAAACTTTTCTGAATTGGCCGGACAAAAAGTTTGTTGATTTTAAAATCCTGGTGAAATATAGATGTGATTGTACCTCCCTGACTCCCCTGTCACTCAAGGCCAAGCCACACCCCCAACATTATAAAAGCCCACCCTCAGGCCTTCTCTTCCTCTTGCAGCCTGACCATGAATCAGCGGAGAACAAAGGGAGTCTAAATGTGAGTGGAAAATGGACTAAAACCTAACTAAATTTTGTTTAATTCTCATGATTTGTATTATTTCTAATATGGTTTATAGTCTAATGTTATTTTATTAGATTGCTGTCCAAATAACCCCCAATTTTTAATTTATTGATGATTTTACCTGTAGTATGAACGTAGCTAAGGCTACGTTCATACTACAGGTTATCATGCACAGATGTAGTAGGACACAGCATGTGACAAGTAGTGTATAAAACCCGCAGTTTGAGAAATGCGTGACTGAACCTGTTGGCGATTTACGAGGAAACTGTGCATGTTCAGTGTAAATTCCTCTCTGAATGAACTGTGTGGTAAAGGTTCAGTGAACGAATCACTCACTGAGCCCAATTTAGAGTGTAGACAACTAGCATACCATTAAAGCATCATAATTTAAACAAGTTCATTTTTACAAACCGGTTTGTCAAAGTAAAACAGCCAAACACTCTTGTCTATCGGTCCCAGAAGCCATGAATTGAACTGAATCCTGAACCATTCAGCTGTGTATCAGTTCAGGAAGTTACAGGCTCCTCCCGCCGAGCACTGAATGATTCAGTGATTTGGTGAACGAATCTTTTTAATGAACTGACTCTAGTGGTTCAGTACATCTAAAAGATCTGCTGTGCCCATCACAAATAGAGTCTATGGTTAGCACATTGAGAATAAGAGCTTTTTCTTCATAGAGATTTGTGAGGTTGAGTCTCATTTACTTATGAATTTGTTTGACACTGTTCGTAAAAGCAGGCTTAGCAAATAAAAAGAGAAATTCAGCCACTCTTCATCCCTTTTCTCTCATCTCTTCTCTCTTGTGCCCTCTTTCCTTTCAGCTCCCTCCATGCTGACTGGCTCTTTCTTTGGCCAAGACTACATGGTGTGCCAACCATCTCAGTAGACGCTGGCAGAGAATATGAACACACTCTGGGGTCCCATTGACAAGTCTCTTTACTCATCATCGGCACAAGTGGGACACAGAGAGACCAAGAGTCTCTTGACCCCGATGATCGGAGTCTGTTCCCGTCCCACACCTAGAAAGAACCTCCTTCCAAACAACTGTTGTTTTGGCGCCGGTCCAGAGGAGGACATCATCAGAAGGTGACAGACAAGGTCTTCATAGACAGATGGTCGTTAGATCTAATAATGAGTATCTGCAGATTCCACCCCAGATAAATGCATACTACCCTAGTGGGTGATGATCATTATCACTCAAGGGCGCTGTTATCGGCAGCAGGGGAATCCATCAACGGGAAGCCTCGATACCCCCAGTTGCCACAGCTCTTTGTAATGCAGTCCACAAAGAAGCCCTCTCTCTCTCTCTCTCTCTCTCTCTCTCTCTCTCTCTCTCTCTCTCTCTCTCTCTCTCTCTCTCTCTCTCTCTCTCTCTCTCTCTCTCTCTCTCTCTCTCTAGTGATGGTCAGGCATGTGTGACTTAATGGAGGGGTACTGCTTCTCTGCCTCTTCAACTCTGTAACACGATATAATCCTTTGGGGTAAAAGCAAACACTGCAAGGCCATTAGAACCTGCATCCCTTTACATATTCTGTTTTCCATGTTAATAATCCGCCGAATTCACACAGCGGTGATTTTCCACCGGCAAGCTTAAATGCTGTTTCAGGTTGTAAGCTTTATAAATATATTGTAGCTGACAGCTGTTGTCGTCACACTTTTTCTAGAATTAATGAGGAGCTGAAAAGATAATTCACACTCAAACTCCTGAGGGATGTAGGGTCTATTTTCCTGTTGGACTACATACATCATGGAGTAGGTGACTATTAGAGTAAAGCTAATGCTAGCAGTCTGCTGAACATTAAAACGTAAATAAAGCTAATGGCTAGAAATGTGTGCCAGCTTTCAGTGAGCGTTGGAGGCTTTGTGGCATATGCTTCCATGAGATATGTACAAACCATGCTAAGGCTAATACAGCTGTGACTGTCAATAAGTTATTAGGTATCTTGTTTGCAATGCAATGCTAGGGTGACCATACGTCCTCTTTTATCCGGACATTTTTGGAGGCTGTCCAGTCTGTCCGGGGGAGTTTATAAAATCTTTCAAATGTCCGAGGTTTTGAGTTTGTGTGCAACACTCAACCCAACCCAAAAAAAACCTCAAAATTTTACGCACAACTCTGCCCTGCCTAGTAGTGTCCTTTTTGGGGATTCAGAATATGGTCAGCCAATGCACCAAATTCAGACCTCTCTTCAGCTCATTCTCAGCTCAGAGGGGCTAAAATGCTGCCCTGACGTTGAATAGGGTGCACAGTGTGTCTTTTTTTATTAATGGACAGCTGGAGGGAGGTAATGTTTCACAGATCCAGATTATGCTGGCAAAAGGTGTGATCCTGTTAGCTGTGACTGTTCCTGCTGGTTTATCAAATATGTTGATTTTACAAGCCAGGTACCTAGATTTTGAGATTTAATAGTCTTTTCATTTGCAAATAACCTGGAAGTAATGAGATAAAACCATAGACTGTATATTGAACAGATGCGTCTGCCTCCTCGCTGCCTCCACCCTGAGAACAGCACCCTCTGGTGACGGGCTGCAGTATAGGTCATAAATCCTGCCTCCTCCAGCAATCCCTATGGAGCTGTGGACAAACTTTAGAAATTAATTACACAGAATATACATTTTTCTTCCCCTTAGTTGCGATGTTGACATGTAGTTACTGTCAGACTGGTTTGTGCTCAAGTCCTTTTTTTTCTGTACAGCTCCATTTTTAAAAGTTATTAGGGGATTCATGTTTTCTATGATTGACACTCGATTCAGCCTATGGGCGTACAAAGATATTCTCGACTTGAACCTAATATGGTAGCTCCTTAAATGGTGAGAGAGTGGCGGTAACAGTGAAAATTTCTAGGTAAAGACTGACCTGAGGAACAGGCTACAAGAGCATCTCACCATCTGCATGAGTGTGAGCATCTATTCATGTTTTCTTTGATTGACTCTTCGTACGAAGATGCGTAGCTCACCTGGGGGATATGCTGTTTTAGCCGAGCATCGTCACAGCAACTCTCCCGTCAAATGCATACAATGCAACTGCACAAGTGGTAATTTCAGGAAGTGGAGAAAACTGCTGAAATACCGAGAGTAATTTGGCTTCAAATTAGTAAAATGATGGAAGGTGTAGCCAAGTTGTCCACAGTGTATTTGGTCTATGGGTAAAACCACAAAGAGAAATCATGAAACTAAACACAAGACCTTGGTGTAAAAGTTGCTAGGTAAAGTGCGACACTGTGTTTTTGGTTCTCCTTGCTTTTTAAAGTACAACCTGAGCCATTTTATTCCAAAGTGGGCATTTGAAACAACTACTTAATAACCTGCAGCTGTAGTAGTCAAACATCTGGTGTCTGTTTAGTCCACATGAGGGAATTCAATTTGTGAGTAAGGAGCAGTGTCATGTCACCACTGCTACACCTGCCCTTTTAGGGTGGTTGATTGTGTCTGAACAAGGGTTATTCATCTGCGTTTGGAGCTCAATACAGCCTGACATCTTACTGCTGCTGCAAGACTGATCATCCACCCCTGGAAGAAAGTTCAAGAACCGCCATCCACAAACTTTGTGCGTTCACAGCCTCGGGCTTGATCCAAGGTGAGCGTTATGAGATATTTGGGGAGCTAGTAATGCGAGACCTTAACACTTATTTTACATTTAGTGTTTTGACATTTTAACAAATGGAGACACCAGGCAAAACCAGTTAATGTTCTTCTGCGTCTATTTTGGCCTGCAGGCAGATCCCCTGTCACTGCTGACATCTGGAACAACACAGCTGAATTCACTCTTTGTATTCTGAAAGGTAAGCAGCTGATTGCACCAGTTTCTTGATTTTATAAGCACCTTGAGAGGACTGCTCATGTTGTATGTGCCGGTGTGGACTTGTGGAGTTATTCCTGCCGTACAGTTTTGAGACGTTGGCTATTGTCCACAGCTAAAACCCCATTATGGGAGAAGACAGTGGCTCCACGTCAGTCTTCCTCTCTCATGAGAAGAGCAAAGAACATTTAAATTAGCCTTAAGGAGGATTTAATCCTAATGACTTCTTTTCATTAGCAACTAATTAAATATTCACATACAGGCTTTCACTCTGGCCCCTCAGACCCACTCTTTGTCCTGGCCTCCTATTCCACTGGTGGTCTGCTGCACAGTATTCGCCTGTACTTGGATTGTACTCTGCCACTGCATGTATGAGATATGGGCTTAACAAAATGGGCACCTACTCTGTAATGTGACATGAAAGGAATTAGTTTTCATTGCAGAGATAATTGAAAATTAAATCTCTTGCAGTTACTTTTAATAACTGACCATGAGGAGTGCTTACGGGGTTATGAGCAGTGATCGAGCGCTCAATTACTTCAACCAAAATTTTGAAATCATTTCACATGTTCGAGAATATTTGATGTATTTTAGTTTTGCCGGGGCAGTTTTTGGAAGAGACATAGAGACTGCTCTTGACATACACGTCGGATCTCCCCTCCTTATGATTTACCAACCTGGTGACTGGCCACGAGGCCCAATCAATGGCTTTAACTCAAACTGTTAGCTCTGAAGCACAGAGTGAAATACTGAGGCTGAGCCGAGTAAAGCTCTCCTCCTTTCCTAAGAATGGATCAGCATCTATTTTCAGAGACATCAAATAAAACATCTGAGTGCACCAGTCGAGAAAAAACCAGGGGGAGAAATCCTTTGAATCCTGCACTTTGCACCAGCATGATAATGCAGTTTAGCATATATGCCACAGTGCCACAGTCTTTTAGCTCCAGTATTCACACATCTGTCGAAGCCCTATTTGAAGAGCGAGAGATGAAGACCCTCAGTCTGCTCATAATTCCAACTTAATTTCAAAATTACTTTACCCCAAGTTAATTTCTTCCTCCAGACCCTCTGTTCGCAGTGAAACAGTAGTCATGCATGAAAGTAATATTTCACAGACCAATGGAGCCCTGAGATTGCACTGTCTGTCTCTCTGTACCTCCAATTGTCAGCGGTACAAAGTGATTGACAGAATACACGATGGATTTGGAAATCGCAGGTTCATCTCCCTCAGATATCAAACAGCTTAGTATCTTAACATCACCACTTCTCTGCTGCATATCAAACTCATATGTTACCTTTGATGCTTTATTATAAGTGTAAAATAATTTAACAATTCATGCAGTCACACGTTCCGACTCCAAATTAACAAGTTGCCGTAATCACAGCTCACGTAGTCATGCTGGCTGAGGCTCTCTCTGTTAAACTGCGCTAATTGACATATAGTTATTTTCCCTCCTTTCCCTCAGGGGATAATTATGATGACAGCCAGTGACAAGTATAAATGTGCGGTGCTATAAAAACATGCTTTACACAACAGCTGCACAAGCTCTCGTCACTGCTGTATGCGCGTGTTTTAATTAGATTCCTGTGTAATTCTGTTATCACTGAACATGCTGCTTTTACTTTCAATATCACCTTCAGGTCCCTCTGGTCCCTTTTGGGAGCAGGCGTATTTTAACTCTCTGCATTGTTTTCCCATTGATAAGCCATTTGGCAAGTCATTGAGCAGAAATAAGCTTTATTATTTTTATTTCATTTTTACACATTTTGAAATTTGAACTCCTTCTCTTGTGCTCTTTATAAGCTAAATAACCACACTTGGCTCTTAGTGTCTTCTAAAAGAAAAAGGAAATCTTATCCTCCTGACTTTAAAGGTCAAGCATGTCATATATTGTTAATATTTTGTCGGGGGTTTCCCATAAAAATATCAGTGGTGTACTTTACACAGACAGGTACATAAAGGGTTTAAAAACAATTGTTCAAATTTATAACCAGGACTGGAGTTGGCGAAAACAAAACTCTGATGCAGTGAAATAAGTGAAAAACAGTGATACATGGTCATTGTAAGACACTTTTCCGATGTCTGCACTTTGGGTCAGTTTGACTAACTATGACTTATTTAAAAGGGGACCCAAAGGTTAAAGGGATATTCCGGTGTAAATTCAATTTGGGTCAAACACATCGTAACACCGAGTTAGACACCCCCTCGAGAGATGAATGTTGCCGACCGCTTGCTTCTCTAGTTATACCAACTTTAGTAACGACCGCAGGATAGGGATACACAGCGGTCTATGTCTCCACACACAAACCTCAACCCAAAAGCCACTCTAGAGCCACAAATAACGCTCAGAACAGCACCTAACTTCATCAACAGGACATATAGGATCCCAACCATAGTACTAGCCATCAAACATCTTTTTAACTTTGACTAATTTCTTTAGCAAAGAGGCTAAACACGACTTATCCACTCTCCTCCAGCAGCCGCTTGTTTGTGGGGGAGCAAAGACGAGTCGATCACCAGAAAATTTATGATCATTACTTAATGGAAATGCAATTTTTCTTCATGGAAAGGCAGAAGAACTGCCACGTCTGCAGTGCAAAATGATTAATATGATGATTATTACTTTATGGAAATGATCCGCTAAAGAAACCAGAAAAAGCTAAAAAGATGTTCAATAGCTTGTACTATGGCTGGGACCCTATATGTCCTGTTGATGAGACGTTATTAAAGTTGGTATAACTAGAGAAGCAAGTAGTTGGCAGCATTAATCCCTTGAGGGGGTGTCTAACTCGGTGTTTCGGTGTGTTTGACCCTAACTTAATTTTACGCCGCAATATCCCTTTAAGTACTCACAGTCTGTTTAAACCGCGCAGGGTGGGTGCATGTTTGTTAAATTTGAGTCTTTTGCCTGTTTTTTTACTGGCTGAATCCCTTTGCAAATCCAAAATACCCAGTATAACTAATTTCATCTGTTCATGTCTTACTGGCTGAGTCTTTGTTTGTTTTTTGGGGGGTAATTTTAGTCTGTATTTTAGAGCTTAAATGTAAAGAAGAAGGATGACACCAAGAGAGGTCACTGGATTAAAGTGAAGCAGCGATTCTGCAGATATTTGGCATGACCTGTAACCACTAAGAAGGAGTTTCAGTTGGGAATATTGATGAGCATTTCTAGTTTAAGTGTGGATATCAGTTCCCCAAAGCCCTCTAATGGCCTAACCTCTATCCCACACAGTGTTACGAGGATGAGGCATCATGGTGAGCCAGTTTTTAATCACCTTCCTCTTCCCTCTATCACACAGTGAGGAAAGCTTGGAGCAGCAGACTTCTTTTCCACTCCAGTAGACCCCATCACTGCTGCAACTGAGGGCCAGGACCTGCGAGCAGGGAGAGAGTCTATACCAGACCCAGCAGCTGAGACCAGGGCAGAGGGGGAACAGCAGCCAGGGAACGGGCAAGCAGCTAGAGGTGAAAGCAGCAGCAGCAGCCTCCGCCGCAGGAAGACGGAGATGGATGAACAGCTCTCTGCTGGATCAATCAGGCCCTCGTAGCCACAGCGGATCATCTTTCTCCAGCAGCACGTAAGTTATTGTGCTGCTACACCATCTTGTCCCTTCCCCCCCTTTAAACCACATCATCCTATAACCTAGAAGGCCCCTTTTTCGCCACATATACAGAGAAAGCAGGAAAAAAACAAGGACAGAAATATGAGAGGGGAACGTGAGCCGGTGAGGAGGCTCCAGAGAGGCGGAGGAGGGGTGTGTGGGAGCATGTATTGATTGTTTTCACTGTGGTATAATTGCAATTAAAGGTTGCAAACAAGGCCAGTGGATCAGTTTCTCTGCTGTCACCCAGCAGGACGCACAGCAGCACTGATGCATCCACATACACATTTTTACACACCAGAGCCAGCGGGAGGAAAGTGCTAACACACTGTCGGACACTGCAGACCGAGAGGATTTGTGCCGTGTTGTGCAGTTATTCGGCGCTCCAATTTCCTCCGACCAAAAAAAAAAAAAAAAAAGGTTTTCAAGTGGAAAATAACACAGGAGCCACACACAGGTGTAGGGTGGTTTAGCTGTGTTCGGTAGCTGCTTCACTTTGGAGGCAGACAGAGACTCATTACTGGATTTGAGATCATGTTCACATCAATGACAGTGAGTTTGAATCCTGCACATCCTTTTGTTCGGAGATTAAATTAGTAAAAGGCTGAAACTCAATCCCATATTGTCCTTGTGGTATTTGTTTAGTGAACTATGCATGTATTCATTCAGACTGTGAGAAAGAGAGCTGTAAACAAAGAGCTCTTTTTAAGTTTCTGTGGTTTTCACAGAAATCGTAGAACTCTTATACAGCTGGAGAAAGTCAACAACAGAACTGACTTCCTTTGTTAGGGATGAAACTAACAATGTCGAGCCTCATGAGAAACAGATGCTCTCATAAAGTGTCTGTTGTCCAGCTGAACTCTGGTTTAGTAAAAGAGGTTAAGTAGGAGTCATTTTCAAAGATTTTTAACGTCTTTGAAGATTAAAGCTGTATTTATGAATAAATTTGGGTGAAGAGCTTGAATTGGGTCTTTTATAGAGTTACACCAACAGTTATTTACATCCGGACTCCGCAGTTCCCTCGGCTATTTGTTCCTCTGATCACTTTTTTTGGTCACAAATTCAGTGTCTTGTTCTGTGCCATTGCTTTTATCTGATTTGTTTCAGGCAGTGGTGGACAAAAAAAAACTCTGATAAATGAATAGCAAATAGCAGGAAGTCATTGCATTACTGAGTGGTAGAAATCACATACTGAGCGGCAGCATTAGCATTCAGCTTTAATGCCGGGAAAACACAAGAAAAGACTTCTTTAAATAGAAAGGAGCAGTTGTGTGACTCACTGGAAAAAAAAGTCATTCAACAAGAAGTGAGGACAATCTCAGCTGAGAGTCGAAGAACAGAGAACCGGAAAGATGGCTGCAATTTAAAGACCCACTCCGATGAAAATTATGTTTTTCTTTTTGTTCATATGGCATTCCTCTGATGCTACAGGACATATCAAGAGAAAACTAAGAGCGAAATTGCATTTCTGTTTATTTCTGCATTCAAATCTCTGTGAATCTCTAGCAGACCCAAACAGCAGGTTCAGATCATAGACTGTATATACTATGGACAACTTGGTTTCGCATTCCGCAAGTATACAATCTGAGAGCTGAATAGCTCCTATGTTACCTGCTTCTTCTACTACACCAACAATATTAGGCTACATGTTAGCGTGAAGAGGAGTGTGCAGAGCAGCACTGTCTCCGCCCACGACTCAGAGGTGAATTGCTAATGATCTACTGGAGCTCTGCAGAAGAAAAGCCCTTAAAAATGACACAGGTGACGTGATTTTGACAAAAAAAAACTTAATAATCACAATTTAAAGACCACTGAGAACACTTAAAATAATAAAGAAAATACAATTGGAGTGAGACTTAAAAGGAACAGCTGAAATCCAGAGACTGAAACACGGATCTGCAGTTATAAATATGTGAACTAATACTTTAACATCTATTGTGCTTTCTGTTAACCTTTTAATACCCAGAACATTTCATTTACATCCACATTATGTTATAGTTTATTGGAAAACATCCACTGATACACATGTATTTGTTCATAACCGGATACTTTGTGAAACTGGCATTCTAATTTAAGAACTTTTGACGACATTGTTGTTGGTAACTTACATTTCAACTTTCCCAAATCAACCATCAAAGTTTGGCTCATTATCAAGACTTTTGTACAAGACTGAGAAACCAGGTTCCCATAAATGTAAGGAAACCTGATTTCTGGACCACTTTGTCTGTTGTGAGTTAATGGTTCTTCTACTGAGTCACTAATTAAAGCATAAATCTGTCAGTTTTAATCAGTTTTTCAGTCTTTTCAGTAGTCCATCTAATGCTCACACCAAAGCTGAATAAAATCGTGTGCAAATGAGTTACATAAAAAGTCAATTAAGGATGTTTTGCCAATCACTCTGACTGATAATGGAAGAAAAGTCAGTGTCACAGTATAAAATAAAGACGAGGACACAAAAAATCATATTAAAGAAACAAAAACAGAACTTACTAATGTCATGTGTGCACAAAATGTGAAGAAAGTAATTCACTTACTCAGATGATGTAATGTAGGAGAGGAGGGGCGCCTTCATGACCTTTCAGTCTGTTCACATCAAACATAGTGAAAGTTGACGAGATTGATGAGTTGATGAGATTCAAACAACTTAATTAACCGACATCCTCACTCACTTTCCTCCAGGCAAACTCCCTTTTATATCAAAAACAAGTTGTTTCCTCTCACTGAGGTAGATATGCACCATCACGTACTGGTTTGATGAATGAACCTCCACAAGTACCAACAATGACTTATAAATTATTGCATGTATAATTCGTCAAATTCCCCCGCATCAATTCGCACGATCTGCTCCATTTGTGTCGCCTGACAAGAACTAATCGTGCCTTTACATTCACTTAACATGTAATTCACTCATGCAAATGATTTTAATTGCCTTTGGTGTGAATGCAACATAACCCAGTCCAAAATTAAATGTCTGAGCTCAGAGGGAATCCAACAGAAGAAACCCGAACCAGAGGAGATTACAGGGCCACCAACAGAGACAGAAGGGAAGCTCAGAAACTTAACACACACAAAGAGGAGAATCAAACACAGGTGAAACTAATCAAGGCAGGGCAGAGATCACAGGAGAGAGAAAACACAGTAATTAAGACGAGATTTGATAGATTTAGATAAAACTAGAAACACAAGGAGGAGCGAGGAAAAGACATGAAATGAGAGCAAAACAGCTGGGAAACAGGAAGTTAAACAAGTCGAAAAACCTTAGATAAGACCTACAAAATAAAAGAAAGAAATAAAAAATTAACTAGGGCTGGGACTCGATTGAAAAAATTTATCTAATTAATCATAGTCTTTGAAATTAATCTCAAGAAAACACAATTAATCGCATTCATTCAGTGTGCCAGAGAGTTTTTCTAAAATGGTCTTCGCTCTGAATCCACTCATCAACAAAAATGCCCATCCACGCCAGTGAGATACATTCTGTGGTGCAAAAATACAGTAGGTGTGATTAATATGTGTTAATGTTCAAAATGAGATAAAATTACTGCAATTATAGGTGGTGTAGGCAGGATTCCATTAAAGACGCATCATTTTTTTTGTGGTGTATAAACAAAAAAGCTTTTAATATCAGTCAATAGTTATTCGTTATTCGTGACATTTGGGAAAATCATGATATCGCTGTGTTTTGTTATGTCTGTGTAGTCAACATTTTAAAATATCAGAGCGTTCTGCTCTTTCTGCTGTAAACAAAGCCATTCTCCGCCCCCCCCAATCTGCTTGGTTGGTTGTTAGGCGGACACTGCTCCCCCGTGTTGTTCACGAGCCCAAACAAAGTTAGCGTGCTACAATATCAGATAGTAGAAACCAACCAGAAAGTTTGGAAAATTGTCTGAATCCTCCTTTGGCCACGACTGTCAACACAGCAAAGCAAGAAAACAAAGTAAAAACCGGAGACTCTGGAGGAAGAACGGGTGCTAAAAACAGAGGCAGACTGGACAAGAGCTAAAAAGCCGGGTCAACAATGATAGGGGATGCTTTGGGATCTTACGGACCCTGTAACCTTTCTGCCAAGTGTCTGTAACAGAAGTGTTTCTTGTCAAACGGACCTGCTGTAGCGTGTTGTAGCGCCATCGCTAAACTGTTGACCTCGGGTCCTGGACTATGTCACTTTATCCTAGTTGTAGAAGTCCTGCAAACATTGTGTTTGCTGGTAGTCTGTTGGCATCTACAGTAGCACCAATGCTTTTTACTTTCACCTTGACTGGGCCCCATTTGTAATTATCTGAAGTATTTATCTGCATCATATCTGAATTTAATTGGAACGATACGAGCGAGCAGGAGCGTCTGTTTGTGGGCGGGGCTTGTTGGAGCAGAGAGGAGGAGCTGAGGGGAAAACTGGTTGGGAGGGGTAGAGTTTACATTCAAGATTTCTCCTAAAAACTGGAACTACCTCAGATCCTGACTACCCCACCTTTAATTAATCACAATTTATGCGTTAAAGTCCCGCCTTAAAATTAACAAATTTTGAAAATACAAAGTAGGCTCTGTAAGCAGAAAGATAAAGCTGTAAACCTGCAGGTTAGCTTGATGGATCCGTATCGCCACTGTTAGCTAGGAGGCTACCTCATCTCCACCTTTTTGTCTGTTTCCCTGAAGTCACAATAAATTAGCATGTCTTTGTTGTCCTTTCAGAAACCAGTGGATGAGGTCACAGAGACTATTTTATATAGTCTGTAGTCAACAGCGAGCTCTGCTGCCCCCAAGTGGCCAAAAAAAAGTGACCTTACACTAATTTAAAGTCCACACAGCAAGCCTGCAGCTCCCCACTCAGCTGCAGATGACAGAGTATGCTGCAATAAATGTCTGTTTACTTAAAGCAGTGTTATTTTCTAATTCTGATGGGGTCTTAAATCGTTTAGCTCCAGTCTGAGCTTTTAAATAGTGTCACATTGACATAATCAACAGTTACTCTGTGATAACCCAGCCTGACTTTTCTATCTCAGACCCAATCAGAGCATCCCATTAATTTTTTTTTCAGAACCTCAATTTCCTTCCCGCGTTCGTGAGACATCTTTATGGGAACCAAATCGACTATTCATTAACGGGGGGGAGGCAGTATCAAGAGCAAACATCTTTAATTAACACATCCCCAACACTTCCTGTCTTTGATCTCCTCATTTGATTTATGCCTCTGCGAGAAAAAAAGGCGTCGGCATGGTGGAGGGGGTACATGAGGAGTTCGGAGGGGGACGAGGACGTCTGTGAGAAAACACAAAAACGTGGAGCCCCTGTTGATCAGGAAGGACCGCAGCATTAGGACCTTTTCTCTGTGTGTCATGGGGCAAGCTCAATTACCAGCGAGTGAGGCTATCTTTTTAATAGCCTGATAAGCAATAATCCTAAATCCACCGTTTTAATGACTTTCTGTCTAATTAAAGCCCATTTCATAAAAGACGGGCACATCAGAGGCTTTACTATATTGTTTAAGAACCTATTGTTGGAAAATATCAGCGTGACTAGTTAGAAACAAGAAAATGGCCTTTCTAGAGTATTAATAAATATATTTTACAGAGAGATTTACCCTCCAAAAAAATCATCAAGTGGTCAAATCTGTTCAATGTTAAACAGGTCAGAGGAAGCAGAGGAGAGAAATCCTCCTCAGCTCAGTTCTCACACTGGATTTAGGGGTTTTGTTTTAGTTAAGAACACAGTTTTGACTCAGTCTTTAAATGTGCCTTTCAAACACCAAATTCTGTATTTAAAATGGATTAATATTTGGGGTTTGCAAAGAAAATCACGAGGTAGCATGTAATTTACACATGTCCTGTAAAACACAGATGAAATGCTGTCTTAAAGTGTGTGTCCCCGCTTGGCACAGTCACAGTGACTTTTGGTCTTTAGCACCATCTAGTGTTGAGCCGCTGTATCCTGAGGGAAATAAGGTCAAAATGTAAGCTCCCTGTTTTTTGACTGGGGTCATGGATAAAAAACTGCTTTGATGGGATAAAAATGCCTGAAAGGTTCAGCTGCAGTTTAACAGTTAAACAGATTTGATTCACCTGAATGTTTTTATGCCACAGCAGTTTTCTTTATTCACTAGTTAATTGAGTAAAATGTAACTTTTAAACTCTGAAAAACAGGAGAATCGACATGATTGAAATAGACATTAAAAACAATTAGATTAGGAGGAAAAGAAGAGTAAATCTAAACAAACTGCTTTTGTAAGACGTCCATCAAGATCATGGTTCTTAATCTCGTCTGCAAGACACCAGAAAACTCAGAGGATCAAAATCAGAGGACTGCAGAGTTTTACTGCGTGGCTCTAGCAGCCCTTGAGTGTGAGCTGGTGCTTGACAATGCACAGCTGTAAATGCAAACACGAGGACTATAAACTGGATTCTGGATTTACGAAGATGAGGATGAGGATTGGTGTGACACGAGGCCTTCTGGATGACTCTGAACTTGTAGGCAGTTCAGAGAAGTGTAGCTGAGAGAAGTCAAAAGCAAAGATTTATAATAATCTGAGTATAAGCGACTATCTGACACACCAATCCTGAGCTTAGCTTTATTCTGGGAAAGATTATTTCTTTTACAGTTATAATTATATGGACAATAACAGGTTTTTGGGTTGTGTAATTATAAAATTAGATTTTTTTAATTCCATTATTTTCATGGATACGTTCATATGCTCAGCCCACGTGGGTTTACATGACACCCTGACTTTAAACAGTCCTGGATCGGAGTAAACAGCAGGACTGTTTACGGTCAGATAACATCAAATATGACTTTAAAGCTCGTGTGAGGAATTTTTTTACATTTATGGAATAGGCTGAAATTCATATTTAAGTCAGTTTATGTCAAATAAAAGCAAACAAGATCATCGGAAACAAGATGAAGGATTTTATACTGTAGTTTTTAGTGCTTGAAAACAGCGCAAGGTCTTTCCAAATCTCAGTTTTGTTTTTTCTTAAAGATTTTTGAATCAATCGGAGGAAGAACATCAGATCTTAATTGTGCCACTAAGGATCTTTAGCTTCTAGATAGAAAATAACATAACATATACCTCAGGGGTAAAAAAAATGTTTGATTTGCACACAGATCTGGCTAAAAAGGAGCTTTTTGAAATGTTTTTTCTTCAGGTTTCAGAAAAAAAACTGATCTTTGAATTGATCAGCGGTACAGCACAGATTGTTCCTGTAGATGTGCAGAATATTTACCTCCTCAAGAGCTTTTTGGCCATGGACAGATACTGAATGTGTTTTGCTCCACTTCAATACTTTCCCTGACATTTTAAATTGTCAATTTCACAATCAGATCATTTCACACTCTCTATAAGTCCCTGAATTTGTTGGGATTGTTTGAAGCAAGTCTATGAAACCCCAGATAACACTGTAACACCAGGATTTATTTTTTAGAGTCTTTGTGGATTTTTAAATCTTGTCAATCATCATGGTTTCATTTAGCATTCTCTTTGCGTTGAAATTCAACCTCTATACTTCTAGTTTTGTGAGAAAATACATGGGTGTCTAACACAATCCTTGAACAGTTAAGATTAAAGGTTATGTTTTTGGGTTTCTCTCTTGAGAGTAACATCAAAAATCATTTAAAACTTGCAGAAAATACATCCAGGAACCAACTTTGTAACTAGGACAACCAGACTCCCTAAAATTTTTTTATTTTTTAAGATTTTCTTCTGATTAAATGTTCTCCTCAGGACCAAAAGTCAACACAGTGTTTCTTCTATTCCACAGGCCGAGTGTCTAACTAAGGTACGGTTCCCAAATAGACGCCGTTGACCCAATCAAACCAGATAAATACACAAAAACCCCTCTAAGTCCTTTGAATCACGGTGACTCATGCCATCCACTGATAAAGCTGTCAGTCAACAGTACATGTTATTCTTCACGACTGGTCAAAACAGGAGGTGTGTGCAGGCTGACTGATAACGCCGTGTGAGACACAGCACAGGTGCGTACTTGGCTTCACTGCAGGGAAAGAAAAGTCACACTTGTTCCATCCCAGTAAAGAGGTCGAGTTCGGGTATAAAAGACGGAGGAGCGCTTTGGTTTCTTTGTGAAAACGTCCTGACACCGTGCAGACATGCTCAGGTTTCTGTTGTTGACAAGTCTCGCAGCCTTGGGTAAGAAAATGACCAAAACAACAACCACACATCATTGATCTATTGCTGTTTTTTTCCACTCTCCTCCTGCTGTCACTCATTTTTAGTTTAGTCCTCACACTAGAGTTCAAGGCTGATACTCCTCTCTGCCAGTTCACTTTCACACTTGGCTGCCCTCTTTTCTTATTTCTTTTTAATGTAGGTGGAAAGTTTATCACATTATGAGGCTTCTAGGGGAGAAAAAAAATAATAAATGAAGCCTCCTGTTTTCTCGTTTTTAAACCAGTGCTGGCTGAGCTGGAGCCCCAGCCCAGGTACCTGGAGGACAGCACTGAGAGGGTTGTCGGAGGTGAGGTTGCCAAACCCAACTCTTGGCCCTGGCAGGTAATTTAAAATCAGAAGATATGTGCCAACATTTAAGTAATCCTCCAAATTAAGAAAATCAGATAAGTCACACTAAACTCTCTGTTTTTCCTCTGCTTAGATCTCTCTTCAGTACAGATCTGGCAGCAGGTACTACCACACATGCGGAGGAAGTCTGATCCAGAGAGGCTGGGTTATGACAGCTGCTCACTGTGTGGACAGGTAACATTATTAAGCACAGACTCTGAATTTTTTACCTTTTCGAACTTTGAATGCATATTTTCAATATCAGTTGCTAACTCAAGTCTAGATATTGAGGTATTGTGTTTTTCTAAATGTCAGCGGCATGAGGAAACTTCCCACAGTCCCTCATACATAACAGTCACACACCAAACACGTTAATTTATAGGATGAGAGTGGAGAAAAGTCTCAAGATAAATATGCGACAGTATGGGTGTATTGGGGTTTTAACTTGTAACATCAGACTGATCAATAATTTCTGTGACCTTTATATCTGATCATTACTCCCCTTGGCAAAAAGTAGTGCACTTAAAGCATTTTAAGTGTACTACTTAAAATGCTTTAAGTGCACTTATTTTATCAAGTATGCTCGATTATTAGTATAAGTATATCAAGTATAATACCGACTATGTAATTTTAGTGTGCTACAAAGTATACTAATTTGATACTCCTTCAAACTAAATAGGAACATTTTGAGTTTATAAAAGTACACTTGAAGCATACTTGAAAGTAAACTTCTTGGTCTATTATTAGTTTACGAGTAGTAATAAACGTCTAGTCCCCTTTTTAGTTTATAAAAGTACACTCTAAAAAACATACTTTTATTAGTTAAGTAATTAATTAATTAATTTTATTTATTTATTTATGGGGGGGGGGGGGGTGCAGCATATGGTCAGGACAGAAATTGAACCCATGACCATGTTGGGGACCACATTCTCCAACAAGGGGTGAATTTTAATCCACTTGGCTATCTGCCTTTTGGTATGCTTTTGTTTCAATAGTAGTACATGTTTGTATACTTGGCTTGTATTCACTGACCAAGTGTCCTTAAACCTAAGGCACAAATACATACTTAAGTGTCTCCTGAACTGAAGTTTATGTCTAAGTTTAAGTTAAATATATTTAGACTTTTAGTTTAATTCTTAGTACAAGCCAAGTATTCTTAACATTAACATTAACCACAAAAAGTAAACTTAAAGCATACTTAGTTTAAAACCAGTATACTTGAAGTTTTCTTCAACATACTTCTTTTTGGTAAGGGTCATGACTAACATTGCAGTTCTTTGCGTCTTCACTTTAACGAAACAGTAACAGGGATTACCGCGTCGTCATCGGGGAGCATGACCTCAACAGCAACAGTGGCAGGGAGCAGGTCATCTCCGTCAACCAGATTTACATCCATGACGGATGGGACTCCAACAGAGTGTCTAAGGGGTGAGGACTGTGTTTGTTTAATCTTCAAGTTTGATGTTGCTGATTTCACGAACTATCTGTTATAACTGAGAATCAAATCTGTGAGAAGAGCAGCACAGTCTGTGAGGGGGATTTGTGGAACAGTTTGGATCATATTTCAATCTAATATGGAAATAATCTTTTGTGGGATCTGATCAAACTGCTACTAAAGCTGCATCCAAGCTTTTCTCTTCATGGGCCTCTATTGTTTACAGGCTCACTTCAACTAAACATGTCTGTAAGCTCCGCCCCTTTCTTTTCAAATGACTCTGAAATGATCCATGCAGTTCTCTGATCAGCCTGAAGCTTTGCATGATAGATGTCTAATATCAGACAATGGCATCTGGCCAACCCATCTGCTTCGCAAGGTTACACCTGACAGGGAAGATTGTGACAGATTGGGGTTTTATTATGTCTTTGCTATCGGCACAACAAGCTGTAACTTTCATTTAAATGTATGCGAGGAATAGTTACCGAGAAGTAAGTAAGGGTAGGAACAAATAAATGATTACAACATCCAAATATTGTTCCCATTTGAGTGTTTGTGTTGATTGATTGCTTTTGATCCTCAGATACGACATCGCCCTGCTGCGTCTGAGCTCTGACGCCACCCTGAACTCCTACGCCCAGCTCGCCTCTCTGCCTCCCTCTGGCCAGATTCTGCCCCACAACAACCTCTGTTACGTCACCGGATGGGGACGCACTTCCAGTGAGTTGGCCCCTCAGTCGGTTTATATGTTGTGGTTGAGTCTTTTTTATCTCATGAGTCATATTTCTGCATATTTCAGCTGGTGGCAGCCTGTCCGCTCAGCTGAAGCAGGCTTACCTGCCTCTGGTCGGACACGATACCTGCTCCAGCAGCGGCTGGTGGGGCAGCACTGTGAAGACAAGCATGGTGTGTGGTGGAGGTGGTGCCGAGGCTGGATGCAATGTGAGTCTTTTTGGAACTGAGGCTTGAGTTACCTTTTCTCCTCTGTATTTGAATTTCAACTCCTGTTGTACATTTTCTTTAAATTCCTGTTTCATCCTCACAGGGTGACTCTGGTGGTCCTCTGAACTGCCTTGTCAACGGAAAATACTACGTCCATGGCATTGCCAGCTTTGTGTCTGGTTATGGATGCAACTATCCCAAGAAGCCCACCGTCTTCACCCGCGTCTCTGCCTACATCGACTGGATGGATGCTGTAGGCATATACTTCTAATATAAGTGATAGATAAACCTCAGAATAATGACGGAATTGCTTGTAAACTAAAAGGGAAAGGACCCAACATGTAGAACAAAAAAGGATTCATTTAAAAGGAACGAAAAGAAAAGCAACAAAAACTTACTTTGCAAAAAACACAAGAAGCAAAATCCAAAGAAACAAAAATTACTGGGGTTAAAATCACAGGGAGCAACAGAGGACACAAGAATACGCATCGAAATACACACAGTGAACCAACAAGGAAACAGAGGAAGACAGGGACTATATATACACACACAGGGAAACGAGGAACAGGTGAGACACAGGTGCAGACAATTAGGCTACTAAGGGTTGCATGTAGCTGCAGCCTGCTACTATGTAGGTGTTTGCTACTTGGTTCAAATTCAGCACATGATTGGTTCAGTGCAAAACAAACCTGGTGCAACTCCCCTTTTCATTGGCTATTCGTATAGTCTACCAAACATGGCAGAATGCCCACTATCGAAAAGCATATTAACCGTGTTTTATATTGATATCGAGGGAAATTAATTTTCAATATAGATATTGTTATCGTTTCATCGCCCAGCCCTATGTATATGTTTATATATAATATTGAGGTAAAATTCAACATAGCAGCAGTGGTAATATATTGAAAACTCACAACAATTGACTACAGGGGAACAGAAACACTCGAGACAATACACAGAAAAGTACTCAAACAGCAGGAGGAGAAAACTAAATTAACAAAACATACCATGACAGCATTTTTATTGCTTTTTTGGAAATGAATGGAAACTTGTATGTGAAGTATAACCAGGACTTGTTTCTTCTTTTTCCAGATCTTGAACTAAACAAAGAGTCCTCCGATGTGCAGCACAAAGAAACAGAGACCGAATCCTCCGTGTTTTTATCCGCTGTACTCTCTTTTGTTTGGTCTCATCCTTAAAAAATAAACTTGATTAAACTTTGAGTGATGACTCATTCCTTATCAGAAAGTTTATGCAACCAGTTATTTCTGTCATAATGAAGGTTATGAGGTTTTCTTTGCTGTGGTGGGCATCCACTTGTCCTCCCACCTCCAAAAGTAGACATGTTTGCAGTGTACTTTTAAATAAGACATCGACACACTGTGAAAATTGATATCCAGCACTTTGAAAATTCCTGGAAACACATTATTTTTAAGTAAATTCAGTTTAATGTGGCGACAAGCTGTCACGTACTATCACAAACTGATAAAGTATGAGAGGAACCACAGGTGCCTTTCAGCTAAACTCAGCAGTGTGCACATCAAATGAAGGTCAGCGCTGACTGTAAAAGAAACAGACGTGAATTAAGACGAGTCTGGCCGCTGCAGACATCCTCTTACTTCTCTCATAGCTGTGGGTGAGAAATGTCAAAGGTATAATTTTCAAAATCTACTGCTGAAAAATTCAGTTCCTTTTCTAGTAAAGGAAAAAAGGAACAAATGTTTGAATTGCATAAACTGTCTTTTGATAAGTTTCATCTGCGCTGAGCTGGAGCTGCAGCGGAGCAACACAGAGAGGGGCATCACAGGGAAGAGCTGTGGGAGGCTCTGAAGTGTGAAGCAACTCCTGGCCTTGGCGAGTACGGTATCACAGAGTCAGAAAGCATATTAGAGCGAGACCGTGTCTTATCATTGAGAACAAACAGTGGGGGAAACTGGAAAACTCTTGGAGCTGTAAATTTGGCACTTATATGTGAACAGCTCTGCAAAGTTGTTCCATTGATTCAACAGATTTTTCACTTTTTGCAAAAGAAGAAGATTCTGGTTTGTGATTTAGGGCAGCACCAGGCGCCTTTGGAGGGAGTGTAGACCTGTATGAGGGTCTGCAGGTAGGCAGGAGCAGTTTTTGTTGCAGAAAGCAGAGTCTATATTTGATGTGGGCTGCTGCTGAAGGCTGATGAATGGAATTTAACACTGACGTGTGCAGAAGTTTGACTGTGCATGCAGGGAGATCTGACAGTAAGGAGTTGCAGTGGTCAGTGCCTGATATTATGAGAGCCTGTACCAGGAAAAAAGTTTTTTCTATCATCTCTCAAAACGTAACCATTGAAAACGATGTAGTGCATATGCCAAGACAGTAAGTAGTGCTGTAACACTCTACAGGAAATGCACAAAAGACAGAAGAAGAGTACAGAGCATGTGTATAAAGGTTGTTTTGGCGCCATAAAAGAGTTACGCTGTGTGTCACATGATCGTTTCCAGGGATGCAGATAGACATCCACACGGAGATGAAATGGTCGTTGTTTACAGATTTATTCACTCTCTGACCTGTTTTCAAAAAGTACCATTTACAAGCACCCGAAATGCTGTTTCCATGTGGATGAAACGCTGATACGACAAAAAACTTTTGCGTTTACTCCTGAATTTGTTTCTGTTTACTCCTGAATTTGCCATGTTTGTTTACACCGATAGAGAGGAAATCGATTTGATGATTTAAATTTTTTTTAACATCATCATCATCAAATATAAATTACGATTTAAAATCGGCTAATCGTGCAGCCCTAGGGGGCATGAGTGTCTTTTGATATACTTGTGAATTCAAAAGAGTCCCACATTCAAGACTGAGTGATTGCGATATTTGTGAACCATTTCCCTCTAATTTCAGACAACCCCAATGTGGTACTATCCAGAGCCGGCCCAAGGCATAAGTGACCTAAACACCTGCTTAGAGTCCCACAGCCAATAGGGGGCCCCCCAAGAGCGATCAAAAAAATAAAAGGTAAATATTTTTCATTTTTTGCATGTATGAGTGATGCTTTCTGTATGATCAAATATATATTATTGTAAAAATAAAATAAAATAAATTAAAAGCATTTTAGTGCTGCTGCTGATGTAGACCTTTGATTCTTTCTGCCGATATGCTAAAGCTCTGCTATCGTTATGTTCCTTCTGCTGTGAAATGTGCACTGAGCATGAAAAGCACAGATATTTGTGAGGCAAAACAATGTTGCAAAAAAGGACATATCCTTCAGGAGCAGAGATAAAGCCAAGATAAAGGTATCATAGAGCTTTGTGAAGGTGTGTGAATGATCAACAATCAATATTATTGGCAGATATAGAGGGCCCCAAAATCAAATTTTACTTAGGGCCCATTGAGGCTTGAGCCGGCTCTGCTTCTATCTGTACATTTATCTGTGCAGCAGCCCTGTATCCCATTATGCCTCATAAACTATTATATCTCACTTTAATGGGGCAGAAAGTACCATGACCAGAACACGCTTACATCAAACATTACTTCTCTGTTCAAACCAAGACTGTCATGGTCGCCGTATAAGCTTCTGCAACACTAAAATTCTCATATCAGTTCAGCGGTACACGGCTTCGCTTCACAGCAGGAACTCCAGCCTGCGGCCCAAACAGGAGCTGTGTGCAGACTGTTATGTTCAGTGCATACCCCACCTACTATGAGTACCTCACACAACCCGGCTGCAAAAACCTTGAAAACACCTCTTGAACAAGTAAAAGAAAAAAACTAATTATACAATGAGGTCAACATGAAATAAACTAACACAAGCAAACAGCTTTGAAGACGTCTTTTGTACTTTGTTAAAGGGTTGGTGTCTTTTTTTCTGTTTCAGGTAAATGAACAATCCTTGAATAACTCTGAAGAGATGTTGCTCTTCATCTAAAACAGATTTAATCAAATATATCCAACAAATAAGCATGTAAAGAGTAAACTCAGCAAATGTGTATTTATGCTATTTTTTAACTTCCGTCATTGTCTAATAATCTGTGTTTGGAGTTTTCTCTGTGGTTATTAGATTTCATGTAGAAACTGATGGATAGACTGTGCTTACACTGAGATTAACCCTGAACTCAGACGGATTAAAAGACAAATTTTATGAGGTCCATTTAAATGTCACATCCACTTTCGTCACAAAACAAGATAATCCAGAGACAGATATCAGATAAATTCACCTAATCAGAACACCCCCTCTGTTTTTAATGCATATCTGATCTTTTCCAGCTCTGGATCTTACACAGTCCTGATCCTCAAATCTATTCTCCAGCCGTCTTGTCCTCCGGTTGGTCTGTCCTTTCAATTGCAGCTTTCGCTCTCTTATTTCCTCCCATCATAAGCAGCTGAACATCTGGTCTGGATGGCGTTTAACAAACAGAAGGTTTGTGTTACCCTTTCCTGCTGCCTCTCTGGTGGTTTTGTGACATTTAGAGGAAAAAGCTCAAAGCGCCGTGGCGCTAATGGAGAGTACGGTAGATGCATGATAAGCTGGCCTATACAGTGGGAAGCGTGCATGTGTTGCACTGTAATCAGAATGGAAATACCTCAGATGGAAGGAGTTGTGACGCGTAATATTCTCTTTATTTAACTTGTTCTCTATTCAAACATATCTACACCTTCTTGTGTGCAATCTAGTAAATGTCAGTAAATGTTGCAAGTTTATTTTATAGACTTTTGACATTAAAACGTTCGAGTATCTCCTTTAAATACCGTCAAGTTTAAAGCGGGTCCTTCGGGAGGCTTCAATAAAGCTTTATGTGGATGTTTTCATACAAGCTTCCAGCTATACTTACTTCAGGAATCGCTGTATGTTTATGTTTCGAGCAAGACTCTTCAAAGTTGAAATTAAGAGTTTTCACACTTTAATGCTCTCATTATACCCAACAGCTGCCCATCTGTCACCCAAGGGATAATGCATACTGAACAGGAAGTTATGTAAATTTGAGTCCCAACGAGGAGAGTGGAGACCCCGAGGGGAAGCGGAGCAATCAAAATCAAGTATTTAAGACAGCTGGCAGATTAAAAGAAAGGCAGGTAATACTTGGTTTTAATCAACAGAGCTGTTTGATGAGTCCTTGAATGAGAAATCAATAAATGAAAAAGTCTCTGCAACAAATTGGTCGGGGTTTCTAATTACAATTTCACTTGGTAAAACTCCATAAAGACGCAACTAACTGTCACAAAAAGGGAAGAAATATACGGTTTAATATGAGCTGAGTCATCAGGGTCGTCAGCTGTATGATAATTATCGTATTTATAATTTTGCCCTCTGTACAATGTTCGATCAATAACCCAGAAAAAAGGCAAAATGTGCGATAGTTTTCAAATTCAACTTTAGTTGTACGGCACTTTCCAGACAAAAAAATGTAGCTCAAAGTGCCTCACAGAGGCGAAAAACAACAATAAAACCCGACCCTCTCACCCACACACCCACCCATGGACCCACACATAGACACAGACACACACCCACAAGCGCACACAGAGTGAGAATTTAAGATGTATTGTTAAAGAGACATGGCCTGACACCGAGACATAGCATGAGGATAGAGCTACCTTTAGGAAACGCTAAAGATAAAATATGAAAAATAAATTAAGTAAATTAATTAATACAAATTTGACAGTTTTGTGAACATGTGGTGCGATGGGACTGTCTCAGTCTGCCAGACACTTTATTTTTCTGTTTTTTTTTTTTTTTTGCGAACCCTAAGGGCATCTTTTAACCATGTGATATTTTCATCCAATCGTAGTTTGAGTGACGACTGTCTCCGAACAATGAGCGTGATTGGCTGTCAATCATACTCATCAGGATTAGCCACAAAATCGTGAGTGCCCGTAGGACGTTAAACAAAGTGACTATATGTGACCAACATGCAACAGTAAGATTGTTATTCTGATTATAGCGGGTGGACAATAATTTTCCAAAAAATACAATAATTTTGAGTCTGTGGTACGATAATTCTATATTTACCATCTGGTAACACTGTGAGTCATCGAAGACAGGCGGGTCAAATGAGACGCAGGTGAAACACATCAGGGCAGGATGTTAAAACAAAACCTGAAAATACATAAAATACAAGAAAACCATGACTACGACTGAAATGAAACTAACTCAGGAAAGAATAACTTGAAAAACAACACTGGGAAAACTACAACCCAGACTATGACACGACAGAAGGTGACAAAGACACAAAACTGAGTGAGATCTAGAGTATAAAACGAGACATCAGGGCTGGATACAAAAGTAGGAAAATACAAAATTTAACAAAAGCAACAAATGAGCACCATTGTCCGTCTCCATGAAAGCAGACCCTGTGCTGCAGCAGTCTTTTCTACTGTGCATGTGGATGGAAAGAGTTATCAAACCAGCTTTGCAGGGCTGCATGAATATTTATCAGAGGCTTTAAGAGGAATACTGTACTGTAGCCTCAGGTTGTTACTGTAAGATTTGAATACTGATTTTAATCTCATTTAAGCAACAGCTTCCAACTTGTAGCACACATAATAATCTCTTGATATTACATGCTCCTCTCCACCCTCTGAATCAGCTCGAATAGCTGATTCTTGACTTCAGATTGTGAGGACAAAATCAGATCTCGACCCTGTTTTGTGATAGAGATTTGCTCATTTGAAATTTGACGCAACAGGTCAGAAACTTAAGCGTTGAAAAGTCATCACCCATGATGGTATGTGCTGTCGATGTCCACAGCATGGGTAGTTTGCACATCTGAGACGACACCGTGTGGACGGGTTGATACCGCCTTCAGACAGACTTTGCAGCAGGGAGTGGTTTACTCTTCATCTGAAACTGTGAAGTCGTACTAATTCCACACGACTGACTTAATCTTGTCCTATTTAACCACGAAATTATTACCTTCTTTTGCAAACGCCATATTTGTTTACACTGGTGTGTGTAGGAACTGGGGAGCGCTCTCATAGTAAGGGTGTACAATTGCGCAGTAGCACTGTACACATTCGGCAGGAGACTTGCTGTGATGAGGCTCGGCTCAAACAGTGTATTCCCCACAATTTTCGTACGCCCATAGGCTGTATCAAGTGTCAATCATAGAAACCATGAATCCTCTAACAACTTTTAAAAATGGAGCTTCACAGAAAAAAGAGGATTTGAGGATAAACCAGTCTGACAGTAACCACATGTCAACATCACTACCAGGGGGGAGAAACATTTATATTCTGTGTCATTAATTTCTAAAATTTGTCCACAGCTCCATAAGGATGGCTGGGGGAGGAGGGATTTATGAGCTATACTGCAGCCCGTCACCAGAGGGTGATGTTCTCGCGGTGGCTTCACCCAGCGGGGAGGCAGACGGCGTCCATTTTATATACAGTATATGGGCATGATAGAGAGGAAAATCGATATGACTATTTTTAATTTTTTTAACGTCGTCATAATCAAATAATCTGATTATGATTTAAAATCGATTAATCGTGCTAGGGAATACGAAGAGTGGTATCTTTTTGGGGTGGTTAGAACTGATGCTTCATAGTGGGCAGGATCAGGGTTAAAATTCCAGCGAAGGACCAACTCTTCCAAAGCTGTGCACCTGCAAAAAAAGAAGACAAAAAATAAGAATGCTTTCCCTGCGCGCATAATATTTTTGTTTTAGTAAAAGTTTATTTTCCACAAAGATTAAATGTGAAGACTGTGAGGTCAAAGATCCTAACAGGGCAGCAGGACAAGCACATGCTTAAAATCTGAGGTGAATATCCCAGTGGAAATTCAGGTGCTGAGTTAGCTGTTCCATTTACACGCCCCCCTTCATCCTCACAGTACTGATAACTGTGAGACACACACAGGTGGACTTCTGCTGCTTTTGAACAAGTCTCTCTACCACACACACACACACACTTTCAGTAAAGGGGGGCCTGAGGGTATAAAAAGGTAGTGGGCAGAGATGACCAGTGCAGAAAGTTTCAGGAGACTGCAAACATGCTCAGGTTTCTTTTGTTGACCTCTCTGGCAGCCCTCGGTAAGAACTGACCGCTTCTTCTTCTCCTCCTTTCACATCTTACACACACATACGCGCACACACACACACAGCACAAGCTCATATTTTTCATCTTTGCTATCTGTATTGCCTCACGTGTCTCAGTGCTGGCCGAGCTGGAGCCCCAGCCCAGGTACCTGGAGGATGACAGCGCTGAGGAGAGAGTCGTGGGCGGCGAGGTGGCCAGACCCAACTCTTGGCCTTGGCAGGTACAGAACTGTAGGCGCTATAAAACCTCCACACGAGGCGTTTATATCCAAGGTTTTATGTATGCTGTGAATTTTAAATAATGTCATCTAGGTGAGGTATATCTTAGAATCTCTTCTGGTTTGACTGAAAACCTGCAGCAAGGTCACTGCAAACAGATTTTTTTTTTCATGAATGGTATTTTTGAAGGTTAAGATGACTCTGTAGGATTTATAGGATGGACCCTCTTTTTAATAGGCAGTCTTGTGATTTACAGATTTACAGTTTAGCTGTAGTAAGTAACATAACTCTACAGGTACAAAGTATCTTCTACAGTATCAATACTGTGGGAATAGTTGGCCTGAAATTTACACGATAGAATAAATTTTATATGTTTGCCTGAATAAATCAAAGGAAGCTGAATCTGTATCTTAAGAACAGATCCAAAAGATTATAGATATGGTATTAGCAAGAAAATGTCCAAGTTTTTTCATGTGTGGGGATGGAGGGAGGGGGTGGACCTGCAATCAAACATAATTATGACAGTCTGAAGGAGTTTGTTTGTTATTTTCTTCCCTTAATTAGTGAAATAATGACAAAAATAGGGAACTGAAGACATGTATCATCGAAAAACAACCTTGTTTGTCATGTTGATGGACTGATTCCTCTCCTACCCACCTGTTTTCATAAAGACATGTTAAAAATTGTCATAATTTAAAGTACCAGCAAAAGGAAATGCTAAAAACATGGTCCAAATTGTTGTTTTTTGTTGATTTTAACTTAAAGACCCACTCTGATGAAAATCATGTTTTTCTTGTTTTTTACATGTTCATGTGGCATTTTTCTGATACTATAGAACATATCGAGAAAAATAAGAGTGAAATTTCTGAGAAAATTCTACATTCAAATTTCTGTGAACCTGTTGTTTGGGCAGGCCCAAACAGCAGTTCAGACACAATGAGATTTCCTATGTCACAAATCCAAGCTCCGCCCCCAGAGCCCCACCATGCAGGCAAGACTCAGAGAAAAAGAGAGGATGGTTGCGGAACAAGTGTGTGCGTTAGTGGATTGTAATGCTGGTAAGAAAGCTAATTATGATATTAACTTTCATCGTGTCCCTAAAGACATTAGTGTCCGAGAGCTAATTAGTTCCTATGTTACCTGTTACTTCTACTACACCAGCAATGTTAGGCTACAAGCTAGCGTGAAGAGGAGTGTGCAGAGCAGTGCTGACTCCGCCCACAACTCAGAGGCGAATTGCTAATGAGCTACTGGAGCTCTGCAGAAAAAAAGCCTTTAAAGATGATACAGGTAACATGATTGTGGCTAAAAACTTCGTAATCACAATTTAACGACCACTTAAAACACTGTAAGTAGAAAAAAATGATCGTAGTGGGATTTAAAAGTCCTGCCTCTATCAAGGAAAATAGCCGGTCCAAGTTGAGAGCTTCTCCAATCAGATTTCAAGTCCACTCCTCTAGTTGTGAAGAAGTGCTGTATTTCTCAGCACAAAACTAAGATGAATTTGGACATACCCAAGCAAATAACCCTTGATTAAAACTCTTGGTAAAAGCAACATTTGATTGACTCTATTTTCTAAATGTTAAAAGAGTCACTGCAGCTTTTATTTGTCTGCAGGCAAATACCCGCCGAGTTCAGCAGGGGAATTTCAGAGGGTGATTTACTCTCCTACGAAGAGTTTTTTGTCGGGAAAGCTGCCAAAACGCACTTTGCACTAATGTGAATGTGTCGATTTGTGGTTGTAATGCCCTCTGTTCTCTTTTCATTAGATCTCTCTTCAGTACAAATCTGGCAGCAGCTTCTACCACACCTGTGGAGGTACCCTGATCAGGAGAGGATGGGTCATGACCGCTGCTCACTGCGTGGACCGGTATGAGTTTAATTCTCACAAAAGAGCTGCTGAGCCTAAAACAAATGTACACTGTATGTGATTGAAGGAGGATGAGAAAGACACCTTTACATAACGTAAATAATAGTCCTGAAATAATCCTGATTTAATCTAATGTCAACAATCCAGTAATATTCGATTCAAACACATAGTTTCCGTGTCAAAAATGGATTTTCAGCAGCTGTCTAAAGGTTGCAAAAGATTGCCAACTGTCAGAGAGGTTAGATTCGAGCGGAAAATGAACATTAGATGTACTTTTTTAAATTTCTGTACAGTTCCAGGACTTGGCGCGTTGTTCTCGGAGATCACAACATCAACTCCCACGAGGGCAAAGAGCAGTACATGAGCGTGAGCCGCGTCTACCTCCACCCCAACTGGAACTCCAACAACGTTGCTGGAGGGTGAGTGTGGCTTTGTGGGTCAAGGTTTGGCACATCTGCATTCAATCTATTACAGGCTGTTAAATGCACATTACATACTACAAAAATAATACATTTAGTTATTTATAAGACAAAACAATTGAACAAAAAATAAATCTAAATGCTTTCTGTTCTAATGTGAAAGAAATGGGGACACTTCAGTTTCAGAAAACAAGGTTCTTTTTTTTTCTTAAAGCTCCTGTGAGGAGTTTTTTTTTACACAAATGAAACAGACTAAAATACACAGTCAGTGTGAAGAGAATCAGTCCTATCTTTATGCTTTCCACATAAAATATTCCCAATTAATTTAAATTGCAAAAAGTCTGCAAGAGGACACCGCTTAAGGGCATATATATCAAGAAGAGAAGACTGTTTTGTCCACAGGAGGCGCCAAAGTTGACACGAATTGAAAATTTCTCACATAAGCTTTAAGTTTGCAAAGTAAAATTCCATCTGATTGACAAATCTTTGGATTGATGAGACTGGAGATCATTTCATTAAAGATATATGATCATACAGATGTAAAATTTGTTGTGCAGTCAAATGAATGTGCAGTCAGCTTATTCCTCATTGTTCAGATTTGTAGCTTTTTTCTGTCTCATAACAACCAATAGATTCGTTGTGAGAATAATTTACAGATAGTTATGGCTGTAAATAAATATTTACAACCAGCAATGAACAGCAGCTCATATTTCACCGGGACAGTAACTGAGTTTTTATGAGTTACAGCTGAAGATTTCCCGGGACTTTTGGATGTGCTTTGCCAAGTAAAGACGCACGTGTAAAAGTTGTCAAATAAGTATTATATTTGCCAGATATCTCTCACTTTGGGGGGCTGGGTTGTAAACATTTTGTTTTGGGAACGAACGAGTGCCCTTTCAGTGCAGTTTAAGATCGAAAATGACTTCTAGATCGACTCGAGCTGGTGGAGAGAAGCAGCAGGTTGTTGGCAACGCGGCCTCCTTAGCTAGCAAGGACAATGTTATCCCAACACATGCTGACAAAATACTTTAATGGGCCAAGGATATGATAAGATATAAGATCAGGATCGCCAGGTGTAAGAAAGAAAGGAGACGAAGGCCGAGATAGAAAAATGGACTAAAAGTTTGGAAGATAATACTAAAGCCCAGTTTGAGCTGCTATGAAGGGAGATGAGGCTGATTGGCGAAAAAACTAGCAGTCTGGTTAATAGGATGGATGAACAAAAAAAAAGAGGTAGATAAAACACTGAATGATAGTCTGACACTATAACCAACACGAAGACAAGACTGAAAGAACTGGAGAAGGAGATATTGAAGTTAAGGGAACGGAGTGAAGATGTAAGAGAAGACGTTTCAACTCGAGTGTGTTTTCTGACCCTCAGATGGGATATTGCTCTCCTGCGTCTGTCTTCTGATGCTTCTCTCAACGGTAACGTGCAGCTCGGTGCCCTGCCCCCCTCTGGTCAGGTCCTGCCCCACAACAACCCCTGCTACATCACCGGCTGGGGTCGCACCCAGAGTGAGTCCCACGTTATCAGTGATATTACTGTCCATACAATCCAGTATACTCTGTTAATAACACTAATTATTGTTACATTAAGTGTTCCCAAAGCTGAATAATGATGTACCTTTGGTCGTCCTCAGCTGGCGGTCAGCTGTCTGCTCAGCTGAAGCAGGCCTACCTGCCCGTTGTCGACCACAACACCTGCTCTAGCTACGGCTGGTGGGGCAGCACCGTGAAGAACTCCATGGTCTGTGGTGGAGGCGGCAGCGACTCTGGTTGCCAGGTAAAGAATAAAAGTCATGTTTAAGCTCTTATATTGAGCATTTTTAAGAAGAAGATACAAATGCCCACTCCACTGTTTTCCTGTTGCACTCGCTTTGATGGAAAACCATGATTGGGAGTAGGGGTGGGAATCACCAGGGGCCCAATGATACGATATTATCACGATACTTGGGCCATGATAAGATATTATTGTGGCCCAAGATTTTTAACATTTTGCAATACAGTGAGTATTGCAATACAATAAATTGCGATCTATACAATATTTTCAACCATTTAGCTAATTTACCATTTGTCTTTCCTTTATGTTTGTCTTATTTACGCTGTATTTTATTTTCATGTAGCACATCTTGCAAACCTTTATATATATTTGTTGTAATAACTTTCTCCTGCTCTTTAATGTCACCTCTGCCAACCTCACTGGACAAACAGTTGGTTTTATTTTTCCATTATCGTAGATTTGACATATTAACAATTAAAACAATTGATACTTGGCCAATGAGACGATAGGATATATCACCAGACAAAATATTGCGATACTATGCTGTATTGATTTTTTTCCTAATGGGAAGCTTTCGAAGAGATACTTCACATTTCCCAAGCCTTAAGTTTTAGTTCCAAGTTAAACAGACTTAAGTAAAATCATTTGAGGTTTTTATTAAAGTCCCGCAACCAAATATTCAGAATTTACTTTTGCGAATATAAGAGAGAGAGAGAAAAACACTCTTGGGAAACAATCCCAGAACTCTGGGGAACCATACAACCGGACACTTCAGTTGTATCTATTAAAGGTTTTTAAGTTTTCATCAATGGCACAAATGTAGGTGATCTGTTATGTGCACTTTTATTTATTATTACAGAAAGTAAAATAACATTTAAAAGTTATAATTACAGTGTTTAAGGAGATAATAAATGGCCTTTTTTAAGCATTTTAACCTGAAGCTAAATTTTGTTAAAGGCCTGTAATAGAGCTATAAAATATGGGAAATCACTAAAGCATCAATAAATCCATTAGATATGATAAAATATGATTTAAGGTTTCTTGTTTCAGCAGGTTATAGCCCCACTAGCTCAGATTTTTAACCCACTTTGTCCAGTTTACTCCCACTACACTGTCACCCTTGAAGAGCAGTGTAATGTTTCAGTATGTGCAGACTGTAAAACACTGTAAAGAACCGCTCAGAATTCAGTCCCACTCCACCATGACAAAATGAATTGAGCGTCTCCCCCTCTGAGCTGAGGTCTGACCCCTTCCTGTCAAGAAAGATATTTTGGGGGACACATGCAGGATTACTTGCTGCATCAGCAGGGGCATAAGTCAGTACCAATGATCCAGACTTGTGCTTAAACTGCACAAAGTGTCAAAGTTTTTCAAGTTCACTCTGAGTCCAAACTTCTGGAGGCTGTCTCAGATTGGACAGAGATATGAGGAATATGTAAGAAAGAATTAAGAGCACTGGAGAAGAGTGAATTTGTTCCAAACTTTGCTGAAAATTTATGAATTTCTGACTCTGTGTTTGTCTGTTTCGTGTTTTCCTCCAGGGTGACTCTGGTGGCCCCCTCAACTGCAGTGTCAACGGCCAGTGGGTCGTCCACGGTGTGACCAGCTTCGTGTCCTCCTCCGGCTGCAACGCTTACAGGAAGCCCACCGTCTTCACCCGTGTCTCTGCCTACATCAGCTGGATGAACGGAGTGAGTTTGACCAAAATTAATCACATTTATCAGGAATTTTCGAAAGCATTTCTTGTGTGTTTTGCATGATCTGAGTCGCCTTTTAGTTCATAAGGTACACTCTCAAAGAAATGTGTGTATTTCTGCATCGTTTGGAGAAAATCACATAATGACTCATGTGTCCTTGCTTTGCCAGATCATGGGTTGAGAAGGATGATCTCCATGGAGACGAGTGAATACTCTGGATCAAACTCAGTTTCTGCCAAACTCCATCAGAATAAAACCTCTTATAAATGTGCACCTAGACTCTGGTTTCATTTTTCGTTGTGGATCAGATATTCTGTGTGAGAAAATCTTTGGATACTTTATAGATTAAAAACTGAAACGTCTACACTGTTATTCTGTTTTTCACTTCCTCTTAATCTGATATGATGCTGTCTGAGGATGATTGGATGATGAAGCTGATAAAAACTCGGCAATAATGTGAGAATGCATAGAGGACTGAATGCAATATACGGTGATATGATTAGCAGAATCTACATGCAGGCATTGGTCTTCTTAAATGATTTTGTGAGACCGGACAGAGAGATGTTATCAGACGGTGATTGATTGTAAACGGAAGAAGGTGGACTGGACACCTGGATACACCTTGGATGAGTTGCCAGTCTATCACAGAGCAAACATACAGACACCCAGAGACTCACTTATAGCTGTAAGAAGTTTAGTATGACTGTTTGACCTCACGACCTCATAATTTTTTTTTCACTTTGATGATAAAAGAAAAAAAAAGATCAACCAGAAACTGAACAACCAGAAGAAAAACAACTATTTTCATAACAGGCGCAATAAAATATCGAAAAAAAGAAGCAATTTCACAACAGGGATAAGTCTTAAAAAACAAATAAACAAATACTGATAATAATAATAATAATAATAACACACCCTCACACTGGGCTTGGGGTACAAATGACCCGAATCTAGTTAGGCATTAGGTCCAGGCTGTTTTCGTTTGTGTGTGTTCGCGCGCATGTGTGTTTATATTTACCGTATGTATAAAGCATTCATAATAAGAGGACAAGGGATTGATCATTGGGGACATTGTGACCCCTTAGACATGGGATATGTTTAATTTGAGGACAACAGGAGGGTTAAAATCAGAATAGAATAATTCAGATAGCAAAGTCACTTATCTATAATATCCTTCATACTTTGAGTTTTTATCACATACAATAGATAAAAAAATCTACCTCTCTACTTCTAGCAGGACTCTGGGGGCGGAGCTTGGATTTGTGATGTAGGAAATCTTACTGTATCTGAGCCTTCCGTTTGTGTCTGTGAGAGATTTTTAGCGATTTGAATGTAGAAATACTATTTAATACTATAATACTATTTTTCTCTTGATATGTCCTGTAGCATCAGAGAAATGAACATAGGAACATGTAGACAACAAGAAAAACATGAATTTCATCGGAGTTGGTCTTTAACACTATCATATACTGTATATGTATAAGGTCTTCCTTTCCTGTTTTTTTTACTTTTTTCCCTGTATTTCTTCCCATTCAACAAACTCAAAAGTATACTGTTTTCATGTTCCTTTTCCTGCTCACTTATCATCACATTTATCCTTATATTATGCTAAATAAATGCTTTACTCTGACAGGAAAAAAACACCTTTAAATGAGTGACACAGGTTGTCAAACTGTCTCAAAATCAAAGCTTTCAGAAATCCTCCAGGCTGAGCATAAAAGTGACTCTAAAACAATCTGGAGTTATGAAATATGTCAACTTTTACTCGTCTCAGAGGGAAAACTGTCAAAACTAATAAATTCCACAGCACATCAGATCACAAACAAAAATATTTCAAAATGCATAAAAGCACAATGTTTTTTTTAGCACAGTAACGCAGGAGGATGACCATAAACACTCACATGGAAGAACATAAAGAAGGACGAGCGCATCCTCAGCTCGATTTATCAATTTTTTTGTCTAATATTTTATCTCGACCTGATTTATTTCTGCCCCTTGTTTGTGTGTGTGCATGTGTTTGAAAAATGTTGTTATATTTCTGCAGCAATGTTGCCATATGGCGGCAATGATGGCTCCACATCCTACAGTAATGGCTGTCATATCGTCCTGCTGTAACACGGCCAGCTGGTGTAAAATCAGTAAAACCCAAACTGCATGTAAACGAGAGAAGAGGGCCATCAGAGCTTTTTTTTTTTAAATTCCCTCTGTGTTACTTTAAAGCTGGGACAAAAGTTAGTTTTTATTTGTTTCAGGCATGTTAGAAATATTTCGATACCTGAGCTGATTTTGGGATAAGTCTTACAGTCTTGCTACCTTATCTTTCTGGCTGTTTAATAAATTCAACCAAAATGTGCAAATTCTCTTGACAAACTCTCTTGACTACATAAAGACATTGACTACATAATTGCTGGTATAGTAGAAGAAGCAGGTAACATAGGAGCTATTCAGCTCTCAGACACTAATATCTTTAGGGGCATGATGAGAGTTGATAATATTATTAGCTTTATTATAAGCATTGCAATCCGCTAACGCACACCCTTGTTCTGCGGTTGTCCTCTCTATTTCTCCGGGGCGGAGCTTGGATTTGTGATGTAGGAAATCTCACTGTGACTGAACCTGCCGTTTGGTTCTGTGAGAGGTTCACAGTGATTTGAAAGCAGAAATACTCAGAAATGCAATTTCACTCTTATTTTTCTCTTGATATGTCCTGTAGCATTAGAAAAATGCCATATGAACATGTAGACAACTAGAAAAACATGATTTTCATCAGAGTGGGTCTTTAAACTAACAACTTAGACCGTAAACTCAGTATGAATGCGCCCACTGAGGAAATAAAGTAAAAAGTAGCATCCTTTTTCATTCCCTTCAGTACAGTCAGGCTAGTTTGTGTAAATAGAGTTGCTCCCTGTTGGACATTAGAGGGGATAAAGATTAAATAAACTCCCTCTTTAGCTTTAATGACCCACTTTTTAAACTAAACAGTGAAATCCTCCTCTCATATTCAGTCTATAGTTAGCCGGAGCTCAGTCTGGACCTCTGGAATAATTGTGCATGAGAGGAAGTCAGGGCTTGAACAGAGCACACAATGTTTCTCTCAATAATTAATAGTCTCAGCATGTCACTCCAAGATGTCCTGCCAAGATTACAAAACTAATCACTGATTGTTAATCAGTACAAAATTAATGGCGAACAGTGTTTTTCGGCACTTTCTGAGCTGCTGGAACTAAATCAAGATGTTAATATATCTGTAATATCTCTGAGAGGAAGTTATGCTCTCAGTTTTAATGAGAAACAGTCCACTTGTAGAACTAATTACAACTCATTTATCATTTTTTTCCTGCCTGATTGATTATCTTCTAACTGTGGTGAAAAATGTTCATCCCGCATTTTAACAAGATGCCAAAAATGAGCTGCTGAGATACAGATTGATTCATTAACCCCTGCATTGTTACAGTGAATTTTGGTGTTTTCTCTCCAGCTTTGCAGGTTTGCTTTTTTTGTCCCCCAGACAGCTCAACAAAATATCAGTACGGTTCGAAGTGAGATCAGCAAGAACAGAGAAACCCATGTACTGAAATCTTTATTTTTTTCTAAACACAACTCTTTTCTTGTTGTGGAAAGAGTAAAAATGATTCAGTAAGAGTTTGAAGTTTCAACCCAGAGCTGTGATTTCAGTGGTGTGATTGTCTTCACTTTTTAAATTAGCAAAATGAGCTGGAAATGTAACAACAATAGCAGGCCAGTAAAGTGGTGGTAGGACTTCGGTTTAAAAGTTAAATGGTCCATGATCCATTTGAGGCAAATTTTATACTTTTTACACACTGTAGTCTGGGCTGAGCTTTTAAACCACAATAAACGGGTAAAATGGGCCTAAATAGGTGAAAGGTTTACACCACCAACTCATAGCAAACTTTTTACAGTTCAAAAGCCTTCAAAAACTCCAGAACTTGGATCCTGATTTGGACTTCCTGTGTGGGGCAAAGATTTCCTAGATTTTGGTGCGTCGTATTTGATCTCAGATCCATCATCCAGAATATCCCCTTGAGCTGGAATTCAGTCTCAGGACTCAAGGAAACTTCAGGTGCCCTGGGTCTAAAATCCAAGACAGCTGCTCAGGGACACCCTGGACAAGTTTCCAGTTCTTCGCAGGGTTGACATATGGAGACAAACAACCATACACCTATGGTCAACTAAACTAACCCCACTTCTGTATGTTTTTGGGATGTGTGAGGGAACTGGAGTACCCAGAGTAAACCCATGCAGACACAGGGAGAACATGCAAACTCCACAAAGATACACCCTGACCCGGCTTTGAACCCAGGACCTTCTTGTTGTGAGGCGACAGTGCTAACCACTACACCACTGTGCGGCCCCTTTGTCTACTATATATTACTGAAGTCATCGATACAAAGAGTTCAAATCCTCAGCGAACTGTCATGGTGATAAATTGGTCACTATTTTCTGCGAGATATCTGGTTTTTAAGAAACAGAAAGGTGTTTTGCATTCAGATGGCACCTGCTGTCTCCCTCTTTCAACTGCATGAATCTCAAACTTCCTAGGAGTGTTGAAGCCAGCAAGTGCTCGATTTTATTGATATCCTTTAAGAAAGAAAGTGGGACCCCATAAAAACTCTCTTTCTCTCATTGATGAGGAAATTCATGGTCGATTTTCTCATTTAACTCTCAAAATGTTCAATATGAGCTTTTTCCATGCAGAAGTTGGAGTTCTCTGGCAAATTGAAACATTCAAATCTGGAAAAAACACAATTTCCAGTGCTGATGGATGTTTGTATGAGCTTCCTTTTCTTCTCCTCACTCTGCAGAGCTGCAGCAGGACTCACTGCCAGTGGTTGAGGTGTGGGATGTGTCAGGACCACCTGGCTCTGTACAGGTGGCAGCGGTCTCTCTAGATGTCAGGTCAGTCTTACATAAGCACTTATCTGTTATCTGCGATGTTCTTTTCCAGCACAGCCCTGAGCTGCTCTGCTTTGTACACAACTGAGGCCTTTTTGTGAGATAACAGAAACGCGTTACATTGGGACACAGTGGCACCTAGTGTTAGAAGGGAGAACTGCAGCAGCTCCATGACGCAGGTCAGTGATGGGACAGACTGTCAGCACTGATTAACTCTACATCTATTAATAAAGACAGGCCGGCCATGACTCAGCGTAAATTATTTATTCTCTCTCGTCTCAAATGAATGTCTCCTCTTACATCTCGCTGTCGCCCTGTGTCTTACCTAAATATAATACACAAAGCAAAATCTTCTAAAATTGTTTAATTCTCTCAAATCTCTGCTTCTCTCATTCAATCCGAACTTTGACTAACTTTAGAGAACCGAAAATAAACCATAACAAAAGTTGGTATATAAATATGTTTAATAAATGTCTTCAAAATACAAATATTACACAAAAAAACATCATTTTTGTCACAATATTCAAAGTATTTTTTCTGTATCGGGAATAGTGTAACTATTTACATCTTAAGAATATAATATATACAACAATGACGTTCACTTTAATGGGTGTTTGTACAATGTCATCCCATTTCTCCCTTTAAAAATAACTCCTGATAGGATATCCAAACATTAGGGAAAGCTTTACAACCTTAACCCTTTAATGCCTTTTGTATCAAATTTTTATATACTTTTATACATACTTTTATATACTTCTATCAAATCAATATGATCAACAAATTACTAAAAAAACACCTGAATACAGTCCGATAAATGAAAAAAATGTCCTCTTGTAGTTTATCAGTTTCCAAAAACATCTAATGTATCAAACAAGATAAATAAATATATTTGTTAAATTTTAAGGACATTTTGATTTTTTTTTTGGTTTTCAGTAGTAAGTGAAATAAAAATTTCAGCTCCAATAATTTGTGGTGTCAGGCATTAAAGGGCTACACAGTTTTTTTTTCTAAATAAGGAACAACACAGGAAAAAGTCAAATGTACAGCTCTAAGTAATGAGAACTTTATCTTTTCCTGTACTGCGGTTAAAATAGTTGATATGGTCATATTCAGTTCTTTTGTGTACCACCAATCGTCCTCCACCTTTCAGGCTTGACAGATTGCACAAATGCCCTGACATGCTCCTACTTTAAAAATAGACATCACACCATTCCCTCGATGGTATCCAGCTTCTGGGAATGCTCAGGCTTAGCGTGCTGTGTTTCCTGCTGACTGCAGACCTGCTGGTATTCTTTCAACATGTTCACCACCTCTTCATGTCCAAACTGCAGGGCATCATCGACGGGAAGGTTTCCCCATCTGGCCGGCAATAAATGATAGAAAGGTACAGATGGAGAGAAATCAGAACATCTGTTGTGATGGAGGATTTTCAGTGCATTGAGTTTTCAAAGAAAGTTAAACAGCACGTGATCCAAGCGAGTTTGATATTCAGAAGGCCGGGAAATGGTGGTCAAGAGGTACTAAAGTCTCTGTCAGATAAAAGTAAAGCAGAGACAGCGACTACCTCTGCTCCCCTAAACCAGCGCACACAGCTCCACATTGGTCAACAGAGCTGTCAATCATGGTCTAATACTCCTTCTTGTAGCATCAAAAAACTGACTTTTACTAAACTTGGTGATTTAATGAATTTAACTTGAGACAAAATAACAAGAGACAAACCATCTGACATTTCCTTTTTAAGATTCATAGTCTGACTGATATCTCATCTGTTAACATGGAGGAGGCGGGCTTTAGGGTCTATACTGCAACCAGCCAGTGGGGGGAGGGCTAAACCATTGGATTTTTTTACTTTTATGGACATGCCATGTGGTCCATCTCTAGACTGTATATATACTATGGACAACTTGGCTCCGCCTTTCGTCATTATTCGAATTTGAAGCTGAATTGCTCTCAGTATTTCCGGAATTTTCTCTACTTCACCAGAGGGTGCTGTTCTCGCGGTGGCTTCACCAAGTGAGGAGGCAGACAGCTATCTATTAAAGCCATTCAGACTAAATAAAACTTTGTTTATAAATGTACAAAGTGATTTAACAAACCAAAATCAAGGATACTCTATTAGAGTCAGTACGATATCAGACTTGTGCGACACAGATATCTCAATAACGACTGTCAGGCTTTTATTTTGATATTTTTTTCTGTCTCGCTTTTAAGATTGCTTTACATCCTATATTAACAAACTAAGCTTTTATTTTGAAGTATACTTCTTCCTACAGATCATATTATACTACTTCCTGGACTTTATGGTGTTTATCTGATATGGTATTTCCAATTCAATTTAGAAATCTCAAGAGTATCAAACTGTGGGCTGTTTTCAGCAACAGGACAAAGAAAAATAATGAGTTTAATAATTTAGGAATGATTGAAATTTAAGGTTAAAGTGACAGGAAGTGATAGTAAATACCTGTCTCTCACGAATGGATCTACTTTGCAGGTTTCAGTGAGAAACTTCACCACATCTGTGTGACCTGTGAATGGACAGAAAACAAAAGAAAGCAGATTTTTATTTTATAATCAGGACGTGTGTGATCGAGACAATCTTTTCTGATAACACCCTTTGGTGCCACAAACATTTCAACAAAGCCCCTACAATCAAACCGCTTCACACCCGCAAGCCTGTCATCATTCACGGGCTTCTCAAAACAGCGTGATAATCTGTGTTTCTGGATAAAGAGCAGCTTTAAATCAAAGTTCCAGACAAAGTGAAGTGATGTACTATTACTCCCCTTAGAGTGTACAGATTTGTCTGTATCAAAGAAAACAGTTCTCTCTCCCTTTTTATCTTTCAAACAAATGACCAGCTTCTTTCTGAAAAATGTGTCTGTTAACCACGCTGCAGCGGAGCATTAAATCTACGCTGTGAGTAAACGTGGATCACAGCAGGGAACAAATAATCGACCATATGGTGCTCTGTGAGGGTTTGTGAGCTGATTCATTAGAGGTTTTAGGAGAAAGTGAGCCAAAAGGTGCTGCTCCCCTACAATTTATCACAACAACAGATGAAGAGAGAGCTAAAGTGGCACTAATTACAGCTGTGAGAGTCAAAACAAATTAGTTCATAAGTGTTGATATGTTTCTGTGTTGGTTATGGATGTACAAACAAAACGGCTTGTCTTTATCACAGATGACAGGTCACAAAAAAAGAGGAAAATGGGTGAAAGGAAAGAAAAAACAGACAAGTCTGAGAAAATACAGTAACCCCCCAATTTACACTGCATCCGGAATGGCTACGAAAAGGCCGTATCCGCCGATTGTAGCTGATCGTAACCATTCAAGTTAATGTGTCAATTTTCCACCGACTTCTTTCCGTTCTGCAGCTGATCGCAAGAGAATTTATCCGGAGCATGGCGGATAAATTCAAGTGAAAGGTTTTTAGATGTCATTTCACCCAGCATGACACCATGGATGAGGAGATGCTGATTCTAGAAGTCTAGAAGTAGATTTCCTCCTCTGGAAGGACATAATCTACTGCTAATATGGTTATGTGTCGGTCTTTATAGAGACAACTTGTTATCACGCAATTGCACGTAAATCCGCAGGTTCTTGTGAGTTCTCGCAATTACCGCTGTCCGTAATCTGCCACGAAATTTGCCTCCCAACGGATCCGGTAGGAATTGGCAGACGGCGAAAATTGCTGCCATTCCGGATACGGTGAAAATTGGGGGTAAGTCAGTGTTAAATTACTGCACAACCTGAGATTTAAAGCTCAGTTCGTATGAAACTTTAAAGAAAAAAAATAGCTCCTCAACTGCAAACTAACAGATATTATAAAAAGGAATGTTTAATAAAAAGTATTTAAAAACCTAAAACTTGTTTTTTTCTTCTCACACGCCCTCCCTTTAGAGCCACTTCATCAAAGCATAAAGCCGTCTGAGGTAGCTTGCCGTTTAATCCAGCAGAGGGCGCTCTCATCGTAACCCGACCGTTGCATTGCACTCATGACCTTGGTAAATTCCTGCTGTGATGTTTTTCTACAAAAATGGAGGATATGTGCAGCAATCAGAGCCATCCTGAGGAGACATTGTCTAATCTGAGACTCTGTGGGATCACCTGTGAACAGCAGGTAATGTTCAAAAAAGATCGGCACCCAGTCCTGGTGAAGATATTTCAACATTTTATATCCTGCTTGGAGCTCGAGTGAATAAAGATTTCATAAACAGCTAAGTAAAAACAAAGGCTTCATTGAAATGTAAATTTGTATGACCACTGGTGTAAAAGGTTTTATTGGCTTTCATGCACAAAGAATGTAGGTAACTGGGTTCATATTTAAGGTTTATATTTATAGAAACATAGCTGTGTACACTGAAGCCTTGAAGTAGTTTGTAAATGTTATTTCGCTTTGATTTGATCTCATTGTCTTGCGGTTTATTAAAGTTAGTACTCTGGTTTATTGGAGTTCTCTCTTCTTTTTAATGAATGTATTCTTCAACCTTTAAGGGCAGAAAACATTCCTGTGCTTGACTGTTTATCTTTCGGCGTGGTCAGACGGATTAGTTGCCTGACTGCTTTATGGTTTGCTTGATGGAGGGCTTACCCGCTCAATAAATATCAACAGATAAACACATCGTGTGCGGCTCACCCTCAGCTGCGGAGATGTGCAGCGCTGTACGAGAATCATAATCCTTCAGATCCATGTCCATGGACGAGAGAGAAAACCTACAGGAACAGATAAAGGTACATTTCAACACTCGAACACAAATGTTTACAATCGAGAAATCAGAAAAACAAGGATAAGAAGATGGAGCTCCTTCTACTCGCTGTTTCAGAAACTTCTGTCTACTGTTAACTGCTATTGACTAAGAAACTGTGAGTCTGTTTTTCATCTAAATCAACATCAATGCTGGTAGTTTTCAGAACATTTTAAGACCGTCTGTTAAACAAGAAGAAAACAGTCAAATTTGCCGGTGGCGTACCTTCTGAGCGCAGACACGTCTCCGCTGTAGGCGGCGAACATCAAATTGACAACAGACTTGTTCTGCGAAGACAAAGAAGTTACATAATAGAGACATCAAGAGAACTAAACACACAAGAAAGAACAAACCAAAAAAAAACAAAGCAACAAACAAACCCTGTCCTCGCCATCCTGTCTGCGGGGATCCTGCTTCTTCACAAAGTGCCTCAAGTTGTCATAATTGTGGAAGTTGAAGATTGACACAAGCTCCTGCAGACGATGAGAAGGAATAAGTTCATTACCAAGAGCATAAAAGCAATGTTTGAAGCTAGGGCTGCATGATTAATCGATTTTAAATTATAATCGGATTATTTGATTATGAGGATGTTAAAAAAATTTAAATCCTCGATCTGATTTTCCTCTCTATCATGTCTCGCTCCTCCGAGCTAACGTAGGCTCCCCCTTCCTGCAGGAGCGCTCCCCAGTTCCCACACACACCAGTGTAAACAAACACGGTGTTTGCAAAAGAAGGCAATAATTTTGTGGTTAAATAGGACAAGAGCGAGTCAGTCGTATTGAAATGGTACGACTTCACAGTTTCAGATGAAGAGCAAACCAATCCCCGCTGAAAAGTCTGTCTGAAGGCGGTATCAACCCATCCACACGGAAACAAATTCAGGAGGAAACGCAAAAGTTTTTTGTTGTATCTGTGTTTCATCCACACAGAAAAAGTGTTCCTGGTAACTGTAAATGGTACTTAGTTTGGTGAAGTTGTCACCAAATAAAAAAATGAAATCTATAATTAAGTTTTCAGGGGGAAAAAAAAATCTGGATTTTATTTTTGGCTAAAATCGTGCAGCCCTGAGTCACTGTAAAAAATGTCACCTGACAGAAGTGTATTCCTCTGACGCTGTTTCCAACCCTGTCGAGTGGAGGAGACCAACACATGACCCCCATGACATTGGGGATCACCAGCAGGATTGCACCAGAGACCCCAGATTTAGCCGGTAAGCCCACCTGAGAGGAAGAGAGCAAGAGGCTGGAGTTAGGATTTGTTGAAGAACAATGTCTCCTTCATAAAGAAAACTTAGTTTGCATAATAAACCTTTAATTATTGAGGTATGTATGTTCAGCTGTCCCTCACATGAAAAGCCATCTCTCCAGAGAAGTCGTACATGCCACAGGAGTGCATCAGACTCAGAGTGTTTCTAACTGCTTCGGCACTGAGCACACGCTCTCCTGTGATTGGACAGATCCCTCCGTTGGCCAGAGTGGCAGCCATGATGCTTCCTGACTCACAGGTCACCTCGATGGAGCAGAGCTTAGACAAAAGCAGGAGAAGCTCATGGTCAAAGCAACTGGAAGTGTTTGTACTACAGCTAAATCAATACCAGGCCACACTAGAAACACAACGAAAGGATGTTTAATGATCCTTCATGCAGGGCGGCGTGTTTACCTGGAAGTAGAAGTCCAGGGCATCGATCATTTCTGCTCCCGGGGGGAAACACTGAGGAACGACACAGGATATTCAGGACTGTTTGACTGACGGGCGCTCTCCTGCTCTGCATTGTTTGTCTGTGATATAATGACCCTCTCTTTGTCAGACCCTGAAACCAGTTGTTTCCTTGAGAGACCCTACTGAAGGTCGTCCAAAAGCCCTCAAAACAGGGTCACATTTCGATGTTCAAAGGGATGAGAGATCTCTATGATGAGGCTACATACAACCTCAACTTCCCTTTTAAAACTGTTTAAGAAGAAGAAGTGATTCAGTGTTTGTCTATTAAACTGATGATGGTGGGAAAGCGGATGGAGGTTAGACTGAGAATAAAAACATCTTACGAAATATTAAACTACCCACTGAGCAATAGACGGCTATTGGACGTCTAGTTTTTTTTAAAGACCTATTTTCAACCTTCTAGATTCTGTATATTTTTAGACAGAATTTAGACGTTGCACTTTAACCCATTATTCGATAACTATTTATTTCAAAAAGCATCTGTGAGTTGCATAATTGACCTCCAAGTACTTAACCAAAAAAATTATCATAGCTGTTGAGCAATACACAGTTTGACCTCTGTTGGCCGGCTAGTCTAAACTTGGTCTAAATATAGACGACTAAAAAACTTTCATTTTTAGACTTGTGGTAGTCTGATTTTAGACCAGTCGTCTAGGCTACATTTAGATGTCTATTAGACCTCTTTTAGACCAAAAAAATGCTTGGGGGGTATGTTCTGTGTCTCAAAGTAGGGAACAGAAAAAACGTGTTCATGAAAGTCTTTCAATCCAACACAAACAAAGTGTTGAGAAAATGATTAACAGTGTTTTCTGAAGGCTGTTTGTACTTTTATAAAAAAAAAATAATAATAAAATTAAAAAAATTAAAAAAATTTTGAAGTGCAAAAAAAGTGTGTTTTTGGAATATAAGAAGAAGCTGGAGTACCAGGATGCACGAGAAGAACACACATGGCCAGAGATTCAAACCAGGGACCTTCTTATTGTGAGACAATAGTACTAATATGCACCATTGCAGCCTCTTTAGGATTTGTTTACTCTATTTTTTTCACTGGATTAGTTTTGATTTGTTTTCCAACCACCCCAACATCTTTCAAACAAAATGATGAATAATTTAAATACAGAATAAGATGGAAAATTCATGATGTGATGGGAAATTTCAGTGATTTCTGCATCGTTTTTACAGAAAAAATGCCCAGCAACACAAAAAAATCTCAATTTGACAGTTATGTAAGCATTCAGCTTCAAAGTCGGGCAGCTTTTCAGCATTTTGCCACTGACCTTCTTCTCTTTCATGTAGTATCCGATGGCAAAGTTTCTGTCGCCTGTTTCTTTTTCAGACTGAAACCTGAGACACAGGAGCAAGAGGGGTCAATACTGAAGCATTAATTATGCAACAGGGCAGTGGACAGGCCATTAGCCCAACACTGTCTTTCAACTTGTTCTTATCAAAGATAGATTAACATTAAAAACACACCTTATACTCATTTAACAGGTCACTCACATGGCATTGCTGAAGCCCACATACTCTTGGCCGGCCATGTTTTTTACGAAGTCCATCACCTAAACGAACAAAGAAGAATGTTGACTACAGCAAAGTCCGACCAATGACAGTCAAATATTTTCTATATAATGGTGAATACATTACTCACATAGTCAAACTTCTCTGCCTTATTTGAACGAGGCTGAAAATGAAAGGAAAGGGATCAACTTCTGATTTTAACAACAATACTGAGAAGTGCAAATCGGTGTTCGTTTACAGTATATGTACATGACTTATATCACTAATTGCATCATATGGTATCTTTTTATCGGCTGGTACAGAATGTAGTAAGATAAACAGGGAGTGTAAATCACAGAGCTCATGAAGAGTTCACCAAACAGGAAAAAGACGAAATAAAAAAATACCCGTTGGTGCATTTTTTTTTTTTTTCTATATCTGACACCATGAAAACATCAAACGTGAACATCTGTGAGAAAAGCAGTCATACTTCTGAAGTAGGAGAAGAGTGATCAAAGATATTAATATCTAGCTGCTGGGTTTTTGTGACATTTGCTTTAGGCTCTTTCATGCAGATCATCATCAGACTCACTTTACAGCCTTCAGGCTCTGACTGAGAACGTACTGAAGATGACAGAGGAATATGAGGACAGCTGGTTTATTAACTATTTCTGTAAAGTCATATACTTTCTGTAAGAAGGAACTATTCCCTCAAAAACAATTCAATCTAATGACTGTATAAGTCCAAAAACAACTTATATTTACCTGATTTAAGGGCCCGTGTCCACTGACTGCATTTTTTTGTATCAACACCGCTCAAGATCATAATTACATCGCACTTCTGACAAGTATTTGCAAAAACAAGAGAGAGAAATCCTGACGCTGCATTACCAACAGCTCGGACACACACCTCAAAATAATGTGTGGTCACTTTCTGCTTTGTGAGGATCTCTATCACTGTTGTTGAAGTTGCTAAGAGGTCACGCCCCTTCTTGATTTTGATTGGTTGGTGATGAAGGAGTGACACTGACGAGCAAGACGCTGTTCACTGAGAATGCCATGGGTGCTGTGACAATAAACAACTGATGCCCTGTGCATTTTTTGTGATTTGAAAACTGCTGAAAGAACCTGAGCTGCATTGGTTTAGCAGAGAAAACAGGCGCTGCTAGTTGAAGAAAATGTTAGTGGACACAGGCCCTAATTCCATGTAACACTCAACATAGGTCCTTTTACATACTTTAAATATGTTTACAGGACTTTTACTGACTTTAAAGCTCAGCGATTTAAACACCTACTATACAAACTCCACAACCAGCTGCTTTTAGTGTCATTTTGTGGGTTTATAAAACAAAAACTGCATCAAAAACTCAACAAAAATGTGTATTAGCAAAACGAACAGTAATTTGATATGCTGTACAGTATGTGCAGACTCATCTATTACACACCAGCCCATACATGACCATGTTTACCTTGATAAGAGAGCTGATCACTATGGCGCCGGCATTCACCATGGGATTGTGAGGCTTATCTGCGAGAAAAGAAAACAAAACAAGATAAGACTCAACATAACGGTTTTGTGTTTGGGCAGTTCAATGAATCCACCAGCCCACATATCTACTTAACTGTCTCTGTTTTACAGCTAAATAAATGTGTGTGTGTCCGAAGACTCAATTAGACTACATCCGTCATCCCAGGAATCATAAAGCTATCTTTCAGATTTCTTTGCTGTATTTTAAAACAATAAATGTTTACAATTATGAGGCTTTAAACACCTTCATCATCCAGTGAGAGCATGTTGAACTTGACTCCACTTGGCTCCATGCCGACATAGCGATGAACTGTCTCCGACCCCGCCTCATGGACAGCGATGGCATACTGCAAAGGCTTCACGCAGGACTGCAGGCAGAATGGCTGCCTAGTGTCGCCCACTGAGTGTCTGCAGGAAGAAGACAAAACACACACCTTCGAGACAAAAACCTGACACACACCTCAACTTTTCAGACACAGACGGGGAGGAATATTTGAAGTGCTCAAGAATATTAACAAACACTAAAAATAAAAATGAGAAAAAGAGTTGAGCTTCTGTGACACAATCAAACGCTTCATAGCTGCAGCTACATACTACTCATGGTTGGACTATTTTTGTCTGATGAGCGTCTGTAAATCTTACCGCTGGCCGTCTACCGTACACAGAGACACACCCCACAGTCTTGGGCTAAATTTAGCCAGCTGAGGGATGTAATCTGCAACCTAGAGTTTGAGCACACGTGAGAGAGTTCACAGAGTTTAAGGTCATGATTTAAGTGTCACAGAGGAGATATAAGTGCACATCTTTTCATCTTCCTCCTTCCATTAATATTTAATTCTGTGCATGCAAATATTTGGTAAATCTATCGTATTTAAAGTCATTTTTTCTATCAACACGATATAAAGAACATAAAACAAGTAATGCCTACCTTCCCATCACTGTGGCTTTGCACCCTGCTGTAGATTTCGTTAATTTTCTGTGCAAATATGTCAAACTCTGGGATGATAAATTTCTTCCTGAAAGCCTGGATCAGCAGGACGATATTTCCACCAACACACCTGAAAGACAGAAAAAAAGACAATGACAAGAGAAACAAAACACTGTCTGTGATATGACTGTTCAATGGCACATGTGGTGTGTTTGTCTAAGGGTGTGAAACAACGTGTGCTTGTGACAGAAGAGGGAAACAGCTGCCTGCGATCAGTCTGAGCGACAGGCCTTTACTTCGCTCCACATGACTGTGAATAAAGTCGACACGATCTTTAAATGCTTCCAGGAATAATAAAATGTTACCAAATATTTCAGTCTTTACATTTAAACATTCACAGACATCATATTTTACTTGTTTCAATGATTCTAATCCAGCCTTGGCCTCTAACATGTACTCATAATTAGTGTAATTAAGACAGTGGTAAGAACAAAGGCACAGAGAGGCACAGAGATAAGTGGTGGGTCACATACAACAAATCCCGAATTAAAATGGATTGTTGCTGGAAGGTCAGACTAAATATAGTTCAGTCTCATGCTTGAACTGGTCGGTGGAAAACAAAACAACACGAGACAGTCGGTGTATAGGTCCACATACATCATGAGGCATGTTGGGTGAGAACAACACGCCCACAGACAGGCAATAACACAAGACTTCACACTTGCACTGTTTATAACTTCTGTAACTTTACAACTCGCTCATAAGTGGTACCTCTGTCTTCGAGTTTCTGAGTCTAATATGGATCAAATTTAGTTGATTTTAAAAAATATAGGACAGTCCCTGAGTGAATCAAAGTTGTCTGGTGTATAGGGCCCACCAGGATAATTTTTTCAGTGGAGAAAATACTCGATAACTCAGTGCTTTTACATGTACAGCTTAATCAGACTGAGCTCATAATTCGTACGGTCTTAACAGGGTAAGGCAATAATTCAGTTTCCTCAAGTGTCATGTAAACGTACTGACTGAGTGCCTTCCATGTGGCCTTTGCAGAAAAGAAAACATGGATTACCCTAAAGGTCAGTACACAGGTGCACAAATCTCATCAAGTCTCCTTCTGGATGTCTTTAAGGCAGTGGTTCTCAAGTCCAGTCCTCGAGCCCCCGCCCGTCCTGCATGTTTTGGATGTTTCCTTGCTCCAATACACCTGATTCAAATGATCAGCTCATTATTAAGCCATTTCAGAGCTTGATAACGAGCTAATTATTTGAATCAGGTGTATTGGAGCAGAGAAACATCCAAAACATGCAGGACGGGGGGGGGGGGGCTCGAGGACTGGAATATGGTACGTGGCCTCTCACCGGGGTAGCTTTTCAGGCGTAAATTTGGAACTTTTTCCCAGGTTGCCAATTAGGTCTCTAAAATGTCCTCCTAGTGGAGAAAACCTATAAAGGTCCCGGTCAGTTTGAAGTCAAATAAAAGTTGATGTGAGATCATTTCAAGTTGGAAAAACTCCAGTGGTGAAAACACATATATGTGCAATCCAAGGTGGCTTTTCAGTGGAGAAAATGATTAAGTTCCTTCCAGGTCGCCTTTTTAGTAGAGAAAACATTACAGCATCTCTCTATGATGTCCCTCTAGTTGAGAAAATCTGAAGTGATGCGAGTCAGTTTCCAGTTCCAAGATATGTGAGATAACTCCCGGTTGGACCTTCTTTAAGGAAAAATGAAGGGTTTTTCATTTTGCCCTTCTAGCAGAGAAAGCCTGTCAAAGATCCATCAAAAGTGGCTTTTCAGTGGAGAAAACATGATGAGGTTCCTTCAATGATTCCCCTCAAGTGGAAAAAACAAAAACTTGACAATGTGCCCTGTCATTGGAGAAAATAAAATATTGTACAGAAAATGTGTCTAATGGAGAAAATGCAGTGAAGTTACTTTCTAGGATATCTTTATAACAGTTCTTTCCATGTTATCTTTTTGAACTTTGTGCTCTAGGATGGCCTCTTTGTGGAGAAAACATAACTCGGTGTCTCTAGGGGAGGCCTTCTGACAGAGAAAATGAAGAAGTTACAGTTTCCTCTCCTTGTAGGGAAAACTTGATGCCCTTCAGGGGACCTCTTCAAATCCAATAAGGTGATCTCAGTGACGTCTTCTCCGGTGTTACAGGAACAATTTAAACTGCCTCACATGTTAGAAAATGCTCTGCATGCTGATGCCCCTCCACACACAGCGGGTGCTTTTGTTTTACTTTCCCCTTCCCATCAGACAGCCTGATTTAACCACCGCTTCGGTTACAGATTAGTTTTCTGTTTAAAGATCAAAGTGTCGCCCTCATGTCTCACCTGTGGAAAAGGTCCCTGTCCATTATCACCTCCCCATCAGATTCATTCATAGCCTGTCCAAGCTTGTCCATGCAGCCCTTAAGACGAGGGTCTGATGGGTCAAGGCCGGTCCTCCTTAGCGCCTGCAGACAACAACAGACCAAAGAAGATCAGTATGTAAACAGGAGGATGGATAACTTTCAGTTTGGTGGGTACTTACTGATGTAAAGTACGAAAGGGGGACTTGTTCTTTTCCATCTGTGATGGTGTAGAATAGCATGTCCTCCACTCCAGAGCTGGCAGGTGACTTTGAGGTTCCATTCCTAAAAAAATGCAGAGAAAAGCAGCAATTCTTCCTTTTTAATACAATGATTAAATGGCCCAGGAATATACCCAAGTGGAGCTTTATGTGTTCATAAAATAATCATTTTCTAACTTTTTTTTTTTTTTTCAACTCATATCTCTCAAACAACTTGAAAATAGCACCCTCTGGTGACGGGCTGCAGTATAGGTCATAAATCCTGCCTCCTCCAGCAATCCCTATGGAGCTGTGGAAAAACTTCAAACATTTATTATACACAAGATAAATGTTTCTCCCCCCTGGTTGAGATGTTGACATGTAGTTACTGTCAGACTGGTTTGTGCTCAAGTCCTCTTTTTTCTGTACAGCTCTGTTTTTAAAAGTTATTAGGGGGTTCATGTTTTCGATGATTGACACCTGATACAGCCTATGGGTGTACGAAGATTGCATAGCTTAGCCAGGGGATACGCTGTTTGAGCTGAGTGTCATCACAGCAACTCTCGGTGACTCTCCCACCGAATGCGCACAACACTGCTGCGTAATGTTGGTTTCAGGAAATGGAGAAAAATCGCAGAAATACTAACAGCGGAAGGCGGAACCAAGTTGTCCATAGTGTATACAGTCTATGGTAATGCCAATTTTTAGCTCCATCTACTAGGGTGGATGGAGCTAAAATGCAGCGACAGAGAACTACAGGTGACAGTTTTTTTTTTTTAATATGAAGAAAAACAAGATCTCTCACCAAATTTGATGCCCCAATCTTTAAAAATGTGACTGTCAGCTCAAAATAAAGATGAAAAAAATGAGAAATGTTAATTGACGACAGTTATTTGAATTGATTTTGGTCACTCTTAAGATAATTTATACATGAAAAAAATGTATAAAGAGCACCATTTTACATACCAGGATGTTAGAAATGTAATTTAGGGCTGATAATGTACACAGAGAAGGTCAGCACAGTGGTATTAAAACTTTAACTACAATAAGTAGCCTCTTCCTACATCTCTGTGTTAGTGTCTACAATGCTGAGCGTGACAGGCTCAGGTAAAAACAGGGCTGACACCGGTATCACAGCAGCCAGTTGTTAACACTAAGCTTAACGTACTCACATTTTGACATGCACATGATCCATGTGAGTTGTCGCTGGTCGTTGAGAGGCCGGTGTTGACTTGGCGCTCAGACACCATGCTGTCTGGAAGAAGAGGAAACCCTTCTTGTTCCTCTGCGGGTCTGTGTTTTTGACGATGAGGAAGGCAGAGTTTGACAGAGCTCTCAAACAGAGCATGGCTGAGCAGAAGACAGACACAAAACTGCAGAGGAAGTTCAACTGAAGGTGGAAAGTAGCCCACAGTGGGTATTATTACAGCAGCTGGTTCCTTAATGCTGTTTGCCAGCGTCTCTTGCGGGGTCAGTGACTTTCATGTTTGGATGCCTTCAGGTGTAGTCCGGATTTTTGACTGTCAACTCTGATGCCTCTTCTGTGAATCAAACCTGACTGAAAAGTTGTTTTGCTGTTTTAGCTGGAGCCCATGGAGACTCAGTATTTTATTTAATTTTATTTTTTTTTTAAGTCAAAGCTAATATTATCATATAAAGGCTATTTGAAGTGTTAAACATAAATGATGAACAGTAAATGCAACATGAAGATGTTTATACAGATCTTTGTTATTTATAAAAATAGATCTTCTTTTATTTAATAAATCTCTAATTTGTAAGGAAGGAGCAGGACTAGATAAGCTCTTTGCTTCATTCTGTTCCTTCTCAAACTGTTTATTTTCACATACATATGTTGTGTTAATTTATCTTTGACATGTACATTTGTTTGGTGTACATATGTATTATTTTGTTTGGTGTTTTTTTTTTTGTTAGTTTTTTTTGTTAGTTTTTTTTTTTTGTTCTTAAAGTTTGGGATAAATAAAGAAGAAAGAAAGAAAGAAAAAAGGAAGGAAGAAAGAAAAAAGAAAGAAAGAAAGAAAGAAAGAAACATGCACAGTGTAAACAGCTCAGTTTAATGAGGCATTTGATCTTATGTGGCTTTAGAATTAGTCTGCAAGTTTACCTATTAGTGCAAAATGAGGTTTTTGTGGTATGGCTTTAACATTTTTAGAGATGTAGAGGTATCAAAGTAGCCTTAAAAGGTTTTAAGAAATCCTCCAGGGATGAAAAAGTAGAAGCAAAGTCGGTTCATTTTAATTTTTCAGTCTTTTGCGCACACACATGGATTTAAATAAACAGTCCAACATTTAGTTTAATAATCATAATAATAATAACCTTATTTGTATAGCACTTTTAAAAACATAAGTTTACAAAGTGCTTTAAATTGTTTAATTATATTGTGGTTTTTTATAGTTTAATTGTGTGTTGAAGTATTATAACTTCAAACTGATAACCGTCCCTTAAACACATTTAACATTTGCAGATGGCAGAACACCTACCACGTGCTTTGTGTTTTAAAAACTGACAGTGAAATGTAACGAGGGGCAACTGAAAGCAGCAGAAGGTCCCAAAGGTAAATAAATCACTGGCACGCCACCACGTGCAGTAGCTGTCTCTTGACTGACAGTTACAGTAGCCAATCAGGAGTTAGGGGTGTGTTATGCACTAAAAAAGGGGTCAGCCACGTGGGCTCCAATCTACCTGGATATATAACCTTTTGTTAAAGGAGTTATTAATACAACCACTGGAGTAATTAGAAGGTCTTAATATCATGAAATAAATTACACAATATGTTCAGACTCATGAGGAAGCCTTTGATCTGTTGTGTAACACTAATGAGGCAATAAGCCATTCAGTTTATTACCAGCAGCTCAGAGTGTTCAGAACATTTTGACAATATCTTCAGTGATAACTTCCCCAACTGATACCATAAATGTACTTATAGTGTCCTTATATAGTGTTTACATTGAGTGAAGAATGCATAACAGGGATCGCAGTGTATACCTTTAGTACATTGTGTTCTGGTTGGAAATTTTCCTGATTTTCAAGATGCAAAGAAACCTTTCCCAACTAAAAAGTAATAATAATAATAATAATTGTAGAGACTCCCATTCATTCTGTTTGTTAATGTACAACAAGGCCATTTAGATACCACCAAAATATTTTCACACATTTGTGAAACCCAGACTGCAGTTTTTTTGTCATGGAGGAACTGTGAGATATATATATATTTTTTCAGTATACAAGCTGATTATAATATTCTCACAAAAGCTATTTTTCTTGTTAGTAAAATCCTGTTTATTCAGCCTCTGTTTGCAGCATCCGTAAAGAGGAACTGAAACAACAGCATCAAAAGGCACAGCGGAGCGTAAATAAACAAAAATAAACAGTAAATTATGCAATACATTTTCATCAACTCTTTCATATTTTAAGCAGACATAAGACAGAAAACAATTACTTTCACATGGCAGATTCTGCACATATAAAAATACAATAATGAATGCATTGTCTGATCATGGCCAATGTAAATAAGGAATATGGTCAAAGACAAAAATGAATTCCTTTAAGCCAACCTTTCATACTGCATCACTCTGACATAAAAAGGCTGACATCTTTAAAGACGTTTGATCAAAGTGACAGAGAGTTACACGCTCTTTAGAGGACGAGGGAGCACCAGCTTCAGCCCGATATCGACCACAAAAGAGGGCATGTAAGAAAGGGGGATCCAGAGCAGCTTGGCGTCCCAGCCGGCGCTGTATCTAGTGCGTGGGTGAGCAGAGGTCAGAGCGTGCTCCATGCAGTTGGTAACCTTGCTGAGGTCGGAGTCGCAGACAGCGTTCATGATTAAACGCTGCATCTTGATGTCTGAAATAGGGATAATTGAAAAGATGAAATAAACATTAAAACATAATCTGTCTTAATTTTATTTTATACCCCTCACATATCATGTAGTAAACAAAAAATATGGACTTTTTATAGTCAGTGGAATCATTTGGCAGAGTGCTGCAACCTGAATAATGTGAATTTTCTAATGTTTATGTTCTCAAGATTGATTTTAGTTTTGTATGACAGTGTTTTTAATGTGTTGCCTTGAAAGGTAGGAGAATTATGGAGGAAAATACGAAGTATCAGTATCAATAGTACTAATATGTCCTCTATATGAACATGTGTGGTCCTTTTTATTTGCTCTCATTGTAAACATAATCTAAAACCTCATTTCTAATTCAACATTTAGAGTCCCAGTGAAGCATTTCATCGTCTTTGTTCACATTATGATTCCTGTTGTAGAGCAGCAGCCTTTTACTTACACTTATCCAGGTACTTGTCTCCATAGCTGGCTTGTACTTCAGGGCTGAGCTGATTCCAAAGGCGGTTCAGCTCCCTCTCGAGGGGATCCAGGCTTGTCACTTGGGTCTTGAAAAACCCTGGCTCTATGATGCACACGTCGACTCCGAAGTAGTGTATGTCTCTCCTGGAAACAGAGATGAAAATGTTTTTACATCAAATACAAACATATTTGAAACAATCTGATCACAAACTGGTTAAGCAGTTGAGAGCCATAAAAAAAACAATAGTATATAGAGTGAATAAAAATGGATAGTGTGTTGTTTTGGATAAGTATAGCCACATTAAATCACTGGGTGCAGTGTGAATGTGTAATAATCTTCCCTGTCTTATCACGTTAGGAACATCCTGAGACTGTGCGGCGTTAAAAACTACAATTTGCTGGATTGAATGTTTTCTTGTCTGAACATGTGCAACTATTTCTTCCACACCTCAGTTACATTTTGAACAAATTTTTGTCCTCATAAAAAGACCACAGGGCTTTAAAAAGAAGAGACTGTGTTTGTTGGAAGTTGTTCTCTATAATTAAAGTCTACTATCATTATGACGTGTAATATTGATGAAGCTGTGTAAGACTTACCTGAGGCAGTCAGAGAAACACTCCACGGCAAATTTGGAGATGCAGTATCCGCCCCCGTTTGCAGCCACCCTTCCCAGCACTGACGCCACATTCACGATACGACCACGGGCCTTTTTGATGAGAGGCAGGAAGATCATGGTCATGGCGATCACTCCGTTCATGTTGACTTTCAGTGTGCTGTGGAAATCCTCCACCTTCATCCACTCTGAAGGACCCATGGGCAACGAGCGTCCGGCATTGTTCACAACTCCCCAAAGTCCTACAAAAGACCAAACAGCAACAAAGAAAATGAGAATTTATTTTTGGATGAAGGTTTTTTCTTGTTGAGTAAGAGACTAAATTTAACATCTATTTCAGATTAATCATCTTATTTTAAGGGGTATTAATATATAAATATACATAAAACGGGATCTGGGTGAATTCTTGTTCTAGTCTGTCAGGGCTTTAAACTGAAAAGCAGATTGTCCAGTTTTTATAGATTCAGAAGAATAATATGTGTATGTCAAAGATGACGTCTGCTTAATATGATATCGGTGAGACCAGCTGAGAAGCAAACCTTTTTTTGATCCATAGGGTGAAACAGTCCGTATATATATATATATAATGCCATTAAAGCTCCTGTGGGGATTTTTTAAAATTTGTAGTGAAATTCATATTTTTTCCTTTTCATGATATTCAAAATAAAAAGAGAGCATGGCTAACAAGATTGATTGAATTATTGTGTCCTATTTTTTAATGCCTGAAACTGGTGAGAGGGGGTAGGTGTCAGCCAAGCAGCTAAAGAAACACATGAAATATCTACAATAAATACATACGTTTGACTGTTGGAAGTCAAGGGGGTGAGATAAGCAAGAAAAGCAAAGACTGCTTTGTCCACCAGGTGCAAAGTGAAAGTTCCTCACCAGAGCTTTAATTATTTTTCAATTCACTCAAGATGGGGTTTGAAGGAAAGTTGAGAGTCCACCCCAACACCTAAATATCACATTTTGATTATCTCCTCAAGTAGGGTTCCATCAAGATAATTCAACAACCATTTTTCTTGAGAGGGAAACCTTAAATCTAGTGCCAAACAGCCCTGTATGAATCCTTTTTATTGAGTATCAGTTTGTTGTAGGAAAACCCGCCTAAATTTGTGAAATATTAGACAAAGAGGTGCAAATAATGACATAATCTGCATAGAGTTGAATTTGGCAATTAGAGCAGATTTGTGAGTTTCATTGGCAGAGATACAAAACAATAACGGGCCCAGTGCGGTGCCTTGTGGTACACCCTGACACACTGAAGTATCACAGAAATTCATCTTTTACCCTTTTCGCCAACTTCCGCCTTGGTCCACTCCATGGCTTTCTGGATGCTGTCCTGACTGGTCACATCCAGCAGGACGGTCTTCAAGTTCGGCCCCGCCACCCTCTTTAGGTCATCCGCTCCCTTTTCTGTGAGGCATCCAGCCAGAACTTTGAAACCTTTACGGTCCAGCTTCCTACACAGCAGGTTTCCGAATCCTGAGTCACAGCCGGTCACAAAGACGTACTTTTCGGAGATGTTCTCGATCTCTATGCTGTCTCTGTACAGCCACACAAGAATCCACAACACCACGAAGGTACCTGTGATGTACATCCAGGCATTTTCTCCCCTTTTGACAAAGAAAAAATACATTTTATTAGTGATTTTTGAGGTTTAAAAGGTCAGGATACAGCTGCCAAATTATTGCCTAAATATATTTTCTGGCAGTTATAGTTTCTTACTCTAAAACTTCGTAGACAACCTTCATATCCATGCTGCTTGAGTTTGGTTTGGATCACTTGGAGGACCTTCTGGAGAAAGAAAACGTGCAAAGACTGATAATTATTTACACAAGAGAAACTGCAAAATCTGGAATGGAAGAAAAAGTGAAAACATATTTTTCCAAGAACTTCGATTTGATCCCTTCTAGGTGTTAAAATATTGGAGTTTTCATCGAGGCATTGACTGGGATTATTGGAGTGCTTTAAAATTGACGGGATACAATGAGTTTGTTCATCAAGGACCTGGAATAAAGGTTCCTGTATTACAGGACTGCTGTGGGCACATGAGAAATCTTTGGATAATACTCTTATGGAAGAAAGAAAGGCATCTGACCCTTGAAGAGAGAGAGGGAGGGGTGCATTGTGCATAAATTGAATGCCCATGACGGAGCTGCTTAAGCTGCTCATTGCTGAAAACCAATTAGTTTTGCGGCTTATTAGTGACAAAACAAAAGAGAAAGATACAAAGGATAATAACATCCATGATATTAAATTGCCTGCGGACTTCAATCAGATGCAGTACCCTTACTTTTGCTGCTGAGATCATTAATTAAAAATAAACGATCCTGCAAAACTACAACTCAGGTCACGATATTTCAATTTAGTTTCAGGGCACAATCCTGCAGGCTATACCAGAACAGCTCAAGTCAGTTTAATTTCAACAACAAATCAACTTTAATTTTACACATATTTACGCTAAATACTTTGTGAATGAAATGACGCTGTGCCGTCGTCAGGGTACAAATGTTGACAGTTATAACAGAGGTAAATCAGAGAGTTAGGACCTGAAGCACGACAAAAAGAGGGAGTCGCTTTATTCTAATCCAGTGGTGTAAAAGTAGGTAAGTAAATAAATAAATATCATCTTACCTTTTCCTCTTTTATAAAGGGAATGATCTCCAGAAGTTGCTGCTCTGTTCCCTTTCCCTTTCTGGTTATTCCTCTGCTTTAACTCACAGAGACTGGTCAGAGAGAGGCTTTATCCCTGAGGTTTATCCCTTAAGACAGGTCCGCAATTGGTAATCCCCAATCCGTAACCACTTGTTTTTTTGCATGTGTGTTTAAGTCGGAAAAAGAGGTGGGAATTGTGTAAAAAAAAAAAGAAAAAACAGAGGGTTTTCTGTACACAATACAAGCTTGGATTTCACAGAACTATTTTTAGATACTCCATTTTCTCACAGTACATCCTATACCCCTCTTAGATTAATTGGAAACGAAATTGTGCCGATTTTTTTTAGAAACTGCCGTGAACCCTCTACGAACATACATAATAAGTGCTTTATGATGTAAGTATGTTGTGAGAGCAATCTCACATGTTATGGATTAATGCGGCCCTTATAAATGGGTCATATGTCAATGTTTATGTATTCTTATTAGCTCACTCAGTTCAGTGAATCAATGCTTAACTTTTTATGAGCACATACTATCTGTACAGTTTATTCTTTACTGATTTGTGTACATCAGTGTTGTTGCTAGTGACTTTCAAATAGTCGACTCATAATATGATATGGACCGTAAGCAAAGAGAGGGGTGTGAATGGTGCATTGTGTTGGAGCATAACTCCATTAAATACCTTGAGGAAAAAGGGGAGGGCCTTTATATCAATGTAATTTGCTTGTAAATAGAATCCTCCAGAAAAAAAATAATAAAAAGATTTAAAAAAAAAAAAGGCACAATGAAAATATCTATATCAACATCAGCCAAATACTCGTTAATTTCTATATAAGACTATAAACCTGTAATGTAATGTTTTTACAGAAGGATTTTTACTATACTCTGAAGCACATGCTTATAGATGCAACCAACTTTTTTTCCTCACACTTGTGGCCTATCTGAACAGTACACAGTGAATTTAAAGTGTTATTAGTTACCAAACACAAGTGCGATTACATGAGGAGGGGCTCAGCAGCCTCGTGCAGCGTGACATAATTTCCTTTCACGTCACACATTCCCCGAATTGTCCAATCAAGGCAGCCTGGCAAATATTTATCCAGCTACGGTATTTAGTAGATTTGTTGCAAAATTGTGTCTCCCAAATAAGACCTTAAAAGTCTTAGGGTATTATTTTTTCATTCAGCCCCATGTGCTCCTATTTTGTAACAACCACAGTTGAACCAGCTACTAAAAAACTATTGATTTACTACATTAAGTTTACAAATATAGTTTATGTTCACTATCAAAAATAGGTCACGGGATTTGAAAGGTTATCCTTATGGTAAAGTTTATTTTAAACCATTTCTTTTTCTTTTTGTTTTGTTTTGTGAAATATATTTTAGAGATTTCATTTATTTAGCCTTATCTAATCAAATAAGAAAACACTTGTGCATTTTTAAACTTTTATTTTAAATAATGTTTCATCACTTAACTTCATGGTAACAAAATTGACAGTTAAGTCATCTTAAAAAAAGCAGCACAGTTACACTGCACATCGACATAAATCAGAGGTCTTCGTCTTTGGCCTCTCAAAACTAACATAAGCAGGTGAACAACGTTTATACATGTGATATCTTTAGAGATCAAATACACCGAGCTTTGACACTTTTGAAAAGCAGAAATAACCATTAGCTTAAGCCTACTTAGATAAGCAAACAGACAAAACAAGTCAATGCAAATTGCGTCTTCTTCAACAGGATCTTTTCAGTGTTTAGTCTCTTGCTCTAAAAATCCCACCATGAGATTTATGAGGAGGCTGTCTGAAGTTGACCTTTGTGAACGTACTCCAGAGCTGTGGCGATTGTCCTCATGTCCATCTCAATACTGCGGGCCCAGTTTTCCACATCCCCAATTTCCTATAAAAGTAATTCAACAGAAACATAAAATCAGGAATCTTTTACTCTCACAAGTGCAAACTGTAAACTGTAATACAAACGTGTTGATTAACAGCTGCACGGTTAAAAATCTGGATGATTTTAGTAAACATTGTAAATAAGCAGGTAATATGGTGATAAATCGTTTGTAGGTTTTATTTATCTTACCTTTAGGGCCTGATTGAAACCCTCTACCATACTGATCCACTGAGCAGTTTGTTTGGAGAACTGGCTCGCCTGCACTTGGAGGGTCTTCACCTCATGGTCCAGTTTACGCTGGTTTACGTACGCCTGGGCAACTCTTAAAGAAAAACAGGAATCTACATTTAGAAGGGCAATGGTTTAACTATTAAATGAAAACAAAGCATTGTACAGTATGTTGTAAAAAAGTCATATTTTTTCTCTTAGAAGTCTAATTTTTTAAGTCTTGAAAATGTTGTCCTTTTGACACTGATATTTCTTACACCGTGTAAACGAAACAATCTTTTCTGACCCCAAATTGACTGAGACATGTTGCCCCAAACTACCATGTTAACTAATTATAACTAGATTAAAGTTCGCTTAAAACAGAACAATGACTGAGGTATGACAGGATGCCTTAAACTCTCCTCTAACAAGTCCACATGTATCACAGCTGGGATTTTTATCTGGGAGAGGCTTATTTTGAAATACTCAATTGAATTGAATTTTATTACAAGTTAATTTTTTTTTACTTTGGGTTGTGTGAAAGGGTTAATTGGCGCTCATCTCAGCTCACAATGTGCTCTTCTCTTCTCAGACAGGACACGACCCCTGACCATGTAAAGGAAGAAAACTAGTATTCCACTTTTTAGTTGCGCCCTCTGGTGGCAAAGAAAATTGCAATATGACAACTTGCCCGTGTGATAACAAGCCCCGGTCTCCCCTATCTGTAGCAACTCCAGACTCTTAACACTACAGCTGATATACCGTACATCAGGTGGTGACTTCCAGAACAGCAGTATTGCTAATAACAAACCCAAACTCCGGAATCTGAACCCCCATGACTACAACTGCTAAAAAGCTAGACATGCAACATCAGGAGACTGCACAGACACACATACCCAACATTGAGGTGATCGACCAGAGCTTCTGTCAGACAAGTAGCTGCTGCAATAGCTTCACGCCTGCGCCTCTCTGTGCAAAGATAAAAAACAAATTCATCGATAAAGAGAAGGAAATCATTATTTATTAAAGGACTGAGACACCTGTAAGACCTTTCATCCCGCTTTGTTTTTAGCATTCGTTAGCATCAGTTAGCTCCGTCGCTGTTTCCTCACCCTGCAGCTCTTTCCGCTCGTTCTGCTTCGCCTGGTGTTCTTTCAGGAGACGAGACAACATCTTTACTGAACTTTATTGAGATTATTCTGCGTACACTTCCAGCTTTGTTTTAGCTATCTGAATATCATGACTCTATTAGCGGCTACGCTTAAGAAGCTAACAGCTGATCAGTGTAACGGCTATCACGAGACCAAGCTCGAGGAGGGAGGAGAGGAGTGGGCGTGTCCAAAATGGCGATTGTATATTTGTCATAAAGGTAATATTATACCGGATGTGTCATTGATTAACAGGACATATAATTCAGAGATCTTTTCCTCTTAAAGTCTATATTAATTTTTCAGGTAGTCCAGTTCACATATTTGCTTTTTATCTCTTCATTTATTCGTGAAAACTACTTTCATGGTGATGTCAGTGTCAGTTTCAATGTGTTTCCGTTTGAGCCTTCAAAATAAAGGTTTGAAATACTAATGTGCAATACTAAGTGTTGAACCAGCTTTTTAGTATCAAACTGATACTGATTTGTCTTTATAACATCCAAAAAGAGGCAAGAAAACTGACGACAAAGACAGTACATTTTTATTGTTATTTTCTTATTTTCAATGCCTGTTACCACTACAAGAAGGAAGTGGTAAAGCATTTTATTAATTTTATTGTTTTTTCCTGCTCATTTTTGTTACTCCATTTTATCATTAGTATCACCATCATTATTATTTTATTATGATAATATTATCTTTTTATATTTACTCTCCTGTTTCCTGCTTTCTTCCCCCCTTTTTATTACATTTCTTTTTTCTTACCTATTTTATGTTTTTATTTTGGTCCTCATGGTCTCATTTTATGTTGTAGGGTTCTTGTATTGTCTGGGTCCTTATGACAAATAAAACTGGCCTTCAATTCGGAGGCCTTGTTTTTAACTGAGCTTTTGTTTTATTTGTTTTTATTTCATGTGCCGATGTTCTGAGCTTTATGACTGTTTGTTAAAGAACTTTGTAAACTATTGTTTTTAAAAGTGCTACGAAAATAAAATTGTTATTATTATTATTATTATTATTATTATTATTATTATAGTAAGTCAGGCGCAGCACGGCTTTTATTTTGAAAAATCATACCGGAAAAGCCACTCTTGTTCTGGCTAGCGGAACAGGGTTAGCGCTGATGGCTGGCAGCAGCTACCTGTCAACAACCCAGGAATACCTGTAACTGAAGCCTGTGTCTCTCCTAATCGCCTGCCTCCGTCAGGTAAGGACTTTTCCTCGTTGTCTGAATAAAGGGAATGTCAGACCCCGACGTTAACGCCAAAAAGTCCCCTGAGAGCCGGATTGTGTTAGCAGCGATAGTTAATGCATGGTTAGCTAATGCCTCGGTGTAACATTACGTCGGCGAAGTTGCTCCTGGTAGAAGAACTTCACATCCCCTCTTAGTTATTCACAATAACAATTTTCACAACATTAAGTAACATATCTTTAACATATTATACTCGAAGACATCTATGTGTGAGAGTCTAACGGTTGAAGTTGTCAACAATCCTGCTGGCTAACCCTGTGCTAAGCTAACCCAGGGCTTCATTAGAGCTTCTTAATGCAGCAGACAGCAGAGACATGTCTTATCTTTAACAAACACACACTGACACCCACCTGTAAATGAATAATAATGTGTCCCTTTGCTTTATAATTTCAATCCACTTCTTGTTTCGTCATGAGACATTGGCAAAGATTAACAGAGAAGGTTTAGTGATACTTAACTTAGCAAAGTCAAGGATGGGATTTTCTCTTATGAAAGCTCCTTGAAATAGCTGAGACACCAAGGAACAGACTTTTCAGTGAGTTTTTTTCAAGCCTGGACACAAGGATCTCATTTCACTGACAGAAACATTAGTGCACCTGTGTTCAGAGCTGTCAATAACCATCTGTACACTTAATAGATAGCACAGGTTAAAGTAAATTAAAGCAGAGTATGATTGAAAAACACAAACAAAAACAAAAGTGATTTTAGTTTTGCCACAGTTATTATATTGTATATGGGTATAATACACATGAGAGATTGGAAGTATTCTAGGTATATATATAAAGTGCATATTTGTGTGTGTATATTGGTATGGATGTATATATAAGATCTTTGTGTCAGTATTATCGATCAGTTACATATTCATGTTAGACTTTGGAGCTTTGATTACTTTTTGGCGACATCAGAAATTGTAAATTCTAGAGACATGTTAAGGGTAAACCAATGGGAAGAAATGAGGGTAGGTACAAATAAGGTCAATAGCTTCAACCTACTCCTTTTCAATCTCCAAAAATAGGGAATTTCTTGTCTAAAATTGTACTGTATGTATTTGATCGGATAAACAATCTCAATCAATCAATTAATAGTAACAATAAGTGAGGCCGTAGTAAATGTCCACTATGTTCAATATAACGCACCCTGCTACCTACTACATCTTAAGTAATAAGTATTAAGTACAGTTTACGTGCAGTAAAGTTGAAAACTAAGTCAAGACAATCAGAGCGGCAGAGTGCTTAAAGAAGCAGAGTGCAGGACATAAATCACAAATTTGTTATGAATCTTTTTGTTTTGTTTTGTTTATTGAAGATAATTGTGCATTCATTCACAATCAGGGGCTGGTGTGTATGTGCAGTAACACTTTACTTGACGCCTATCTCTATAAAACTTTATGAATAAGTGTATAATGTGTGATAATCAGGTTATAGCACTGTATAACTACAGTGATAAACTCATAAATTATCATAATGCTTTATAGCAATAATAATAACACATTATAAAGCATTTTATCATTAAGGTCAGGTCTTATAATGTGCTATAACTGTCAACAACTCACTCACAATGCCACATAGATAATGTTTTACATTTAATCAATAAATGGCAAAAATATGATTCAACAGCAACTTGGACTGGACATTGGATTGAACTAGAAGCACGTCAAAAACACCTCACTCCCAGACAGTGACTAAAATTCAGGTCAGCATAGTCACGACATACAGTAAAGTAGAATCTTCCCAAAAGTAGAATTTGTGATAAAGCCGTTGTGTTAGATCGCTCAGGTGTTCATAATTTTACAGCCGAGTCGTATATCAGTCAACCAGCATCACTTTGAATGCTATTTTTAAGTCTCCAGATACCTGAGGCTGTCATACACAAATAACCTCCTCTGTTGATCCTTGCCATTGTGTCCCGAGCAGGGCTATGTTTTCCACTGACTGAAGCAACCTAATAGCCTAATCGCTCTTTAAGTAGGTTACCTGAACAGAGTCACCCATGTTTACATCTGATGTCACTGGTTGCAGGTCCTTAGTTGCAGCCAATCAAGGCTGGAGTGTTATGGATGAACCATGAAGGCCCAATTACAAGTCACTGGTGAGTTAATATGAGATATTTTATCGACGCATGTTGTCTTGTATTTGTCATGAGATTGATAAATTGATAATTACTGAACTTAAGGTTTAAGGAACAAGTTTTTGCCATGTTCCTCTAGCCATAAAACTAAAGAAAGACTTATTTCCGTATATTTATGTGCTTATCACTATGTGGTGTACACTTAATCATGTCAGCAGGTTGTATTATCTTTACAATAAGCTTTTTATGATCAACTCTAGGTATACTTTTACAATAAGGTAACCCAACTTCTTCTTTCCTAGTGCTTTCAGCCAAGCTGAAGGAAAACAAAAAGAACTGGTTTGGTCCCAGTCCATACGTGGAGGTAGCTGTGGATGGTCAGTCAAAGAGGACTGAGAAGTGCAACAATACTCACAGCCCCAAATGGAAGCAGGCTCTTACAGTGTGAGTATGACTGTTGTGTTTGCCAAAGGGGAGGAAGCACTTGAACAAATACGTGAATACTTACTGGTTGATGATCTAGCAGCTGATAGAAATGTTGCTTATGTCTGTAGATCAGTATAACTTGACTGATCCACTGAGAGTATGCAGGACTGGAACAGCAATAATACCGACTTGTTATGATTTTTGAGTCTCTACCTGCTCACATGATGTGACACATTCGATCTCAAAGGATGTCACCAGAATAAACAGAGCAGAGATAAATGTGAGAGTACAAGAAGAGGGCAGATACAGACACAGCCACACACCCTAGTGGTTCATGAGTGATAACAAAGAGGTTTTTTTTTGGTATTATTCAAAACTTTTGTCTTTTTAATTTTGATCAAGGAAACCCACACACCTCCTGCCTCTAAAGAAAACTGAAAATATGACTATAACTGATATTAAGAGAGGTGTAGAGGCCACAGCCTAACAAAGACGACTTTATACACACTCTATTTAGAGACTAACGGTAACTTTAAACATAAGAAAGAAATAAACAATAACAAAATTTTGATTATGTTTTATTACAGCTGATTTATTGTATTTGAATCTTTTTATGCTCAAGTCTAATGTCCTTGATCATTTTCTTCGGATGTCCTTGTCGTGTCATATTTTCTCTGCAGGATTGTGACTCCGGTCAGCAAACTGATTTTCCGTGTTTGGAGTCACCAAACACTGAAAGCAGACATCCTGTTGGGGATGGCCACTCTGGAGATCAGTGAGACCCTTAAGGCTAATGACTTGAAATGTGAGTCTTTCTTCCTTTCTTTCCTGTTTCCTCCTTTCTCCTTTGTGGTAATCATCAAATTGTTGAAGGCAAACACATTTTTTTAACCCCAAACTTTCGGCCATCTTTTCTGTTCACTTGCTTTAGACAACCATGATCTTGTATATTACGAGGTCATTTGGTAGGATTATCTTGCGCTGTCTTGGGATTAAACTTGAAGCCACTACGACCTCATTGAACCACAATCTCCACAGACGTTGTTACAGCAATATTTACTATTAAACCCTAAAGTTCATGTTTTTATGCTTAAGGGGTTGATTCCCATAGACTTGTATTAGCTATTCAGAACAAAGTTTCTTTTTTGAGAATTAATAAAACATCTTGAATCCTTTGTAATCTTCCTCCTGTTATTCCCTCTCCGTGCCTACATCAGTCAGCTGAATACTGTGTTCTGCAGATGTTGAACACGTGCTCGGTTCTGGACACAGTTGCTTTTATGAGTCCATATCTGCCTGTGTTTGTTATGCCAATGTTTTATTGAGCTTTGATGAGCTCAAACATTGAAGGGCAGTGAACTTTTATTTTTTTATTTTCCCTGGGACACATGCCTCACCTCAGCATATGACCCCCTGCCTGCTTAGAGTTTGTTTTCAGCTAAATACAATGGCTCCCCTCAGACCCGGTCAGTACCATGTGACATGAAAGACCGGTCCGTGTTCCATATAGCTGCTCTGAAAACTTAGCCTGCTGCTTTTGAGGCCGTGGTGATTGTTACAACCCATGTGACTGAGCTGACAGAGAGGCTGACACGGCCATCTCCAGAGCCCTGACTCCAGCGAGCAGAGCTTAAAGCAGAGGCTGACAAATTTAAGATTGAGATTATATTGAAGGAACTGCGAGGGGGGGTTCTCCGAAAGGAACATTCAGTTTAATCTCTGCATTTTTGTAGTAAAAGTATTATTAAAACCCCTGCGCAGCTTCTGGATCATCTGTTTTCAATTCTGTCCGTGTACCTTTGTTCCTCCTCCAGTGTCTGAGGTGGTGAAAACACTGCAGCTGAGCTCTGACCGAGACCCCCGGGATGTTGTAGGTGACCTGTCGGTCTGCCTGGATGGCATGCAGGTAGACCCAGAGACGTTTGCAACAGCAGAGAGAGAACATGGTAAGGAATTACACAAACTGTAGACCCACAACCTCTTTGAAAGATGAATAACGGAGAGGATGGATGATGAACAGATGTACAGAATAAAACTGTGCAGATGTCAAATTGTAAGGGCTCCTGATCAGAGTGCTAGGATGCATTTATTCAAGGTTATTTGAACGACTAATTTATTTAATGTAAAAGTCAGATGAAAGCACCGATTAGTTTGTCTTTAAAGCTTAAAGTAGCACTCTCAGTCCTTATATATTATTCATTCATGAACATTCAAGGATTTTTTTAAAGGGAAGTTCATCAGGAATTGTTCTGTCATGTCACATAGCAGATACCAGATTAAATAAATAGGTAAATAAAAACCCTGTGGTCATGAAGCTGTAGTATTTTAATATTTGTCGAATTAGAAGTTGTACTGCTTCATTAAATGATACCCGACATGATAAATTAAACTAAATTTATTGGATTCATCTATTGTTTTAATATTTTAGATGTGTGTCGTACAATAAAAACACAAAAGACTTTTAAATAATAATAAAAAAAGACCTCATCTGCATGCAGCAGTTGTTTTTTTACATGGTGGCATCAGACGTTGTTGTGTCTGTCTCCTCCTCTAAACTTTCCTGCCGGAGTGCCGTCTATTGAGTTTTTTTTTTCAATAACTCAAACTCAGTGTCAGTGAAGAGGACATTTATAAGGAAGTTATTCTGGATGTGTATCAAAAAGAGAACAATCAGAGCTGACAAGCAGACAAAGCCGATCTGTTTGTCTGTTTTAAGTTTTGGCATGGCATTTTATCCATCTGAAGTCACAATCCATCTCATTTCTGTCCTCTAGCGTCTGTTCCAAATGGAAATGCGAAACAAAATGGGGACACTGGCAACAGGTTCAGTAAACTTTTATAAAGAAACTTTTGTGTGCAGCCAAATTCAGTTTTTGTGTTTGTATCAACTGAGGCATTTGTTTTTGTCTCCAGGTCCAGCAGAGACACATCTCCATCCAGTGATTCAGAGGAGTGGGTTATTGTCCCAAATGGTCATGCTGTCAATGGCAAGGGTTCACCGTCCAGATCTCCAGGGGGCTCCAGCGCCTCCCGCCCTCCCAGACCAGCCCGACCCCCTCCTGCCACTCCTCGTAGACCTGCAGCTTCTCCAAGTAGGGAAAGCACAAGAGTGACACTAAAGATGTTGCAAAATAACATGAATTTACTGACCAGGCGAACTTCAGGTCTGATCTCTGCTCTTCTATCCTGTCCTGTCTCCAGCCTCCTCCAGCAGTTCCTCCCCCAGTGAGCTGAGTGAAGGTCCAGCTTCTGACGGCTCTTCTCAGGCGTCAGCGAGTGGCGGTTCAAATCAGCAGGATGACTCAGGTGCTGGAGGACCTGCAGCCACAGGAGGGTCCTCACAAGCAGGAGGCGGCCCCAAACCAGGAACCTCCACCCCAGCAGCTCTGGCCACAACAACCCCCAGAATCACACCAATGAGCAACGGGCCTTTACCACCAGGGTAAACGAGCATCTACACTATAATTAGTGCTGTACTCTCCTGTAAGGCCTCACTGTAGTAGGTTTCCTTCTGGGTAAATGTGTGCACTCATCTGTTTTGTCTCTGCAGGTGGGAGCAAAGGGTGGACCAGAACGGACGGATTTATTATGTTGATCACATTGAGAAAAGGACGACCTGGGACAGGCCTGAGCCTTTACCTACAGGGTACTAAAACATCATTTTTTTCACTCATGCTTCTTGCTCCTCTTTGTAAAACTATGCAGTCATTGTACTTTTAAAACACACCTCAGATTTCAACTTTTAACTGCAGACTTTGAGTTTGAATGAATTTCAGTGATTCGGACAAAATTTTCTCGTATTTCTGGAATTCAAATCCAGCCGTTTAGCCGTCACTGCCGAGTCATCATGGGCGTCTTTTCACCTTCCCTTCTTGTAGGTGGGAGCGCAGGGTGGACCCGATGGGTAGAGTGTACTACGTTGACCACATAACTCGGACTACAACATGGCAACGCCCCACTCAAGAGTCAGTGCGCAACTATGAGGAGTGGCAGCATCAGCGCAGTCAGCTGCAGGGAGCCATGCAGCAGTTCAACCAGAGGTTTATTTACGGGGTAAGAGTCGTCACTTTAGTACATGAATACATATACGTGTTCTTTGACATGCAGCGGCCATGCAAAACTTATTGATATATAAGGAATTTTATACTTTTGCAACTCAGTTTTGCATGTAGTGAAGCACTAAATGTCAAAGATGTGTAGAGTTTGCGATCTCAGCTCATTCTTCCCCTCTGACAGCCAACACAGAGTATTTTGTTGAGATAAACGTGTCATGTGGTCCATGGATTGTGTCATAATGCAATAAAAAACAATGACAGCTAAACACTTTTTACTTTTTCATTCGAGCGCTCACTTAAGCAAAGATAAGTGTTCAGGTCAGAGTCTGTCAAAATCAGCTGGAGAACACGGTGACGTTGACCCCGTCTGCTGAAAAGTGTAGCATAGCTAGTGTAGGAGCTAAGTCTATACTTAAAGCTACTGAGATGCTTGACCTAGAGTAACCACTACACTACCGTGAGTCTCTGATGATCAGTAAAAGTCCGGACGCCGAACATTTCCAAAGTCCATTCGCAATCGACATCGAGTAACACTGAATAAACACAGAAAAACGCCGGCATTTAGCGCCACAGCGGTCAAAAACCTTTTGCCTTTCCGGGTCAATCGCCTGCTCACAACAGTGACGTAGCTACCAGATAACAGGACAGCGACACCTAAGGCAGACAGAGTGAACTGCAACTCATTTCAGGTTATCACATCAACATATTCTGCTCCTACGTCTCGCGTCTTGTTTCTGCCAAGTTTCCTTTCAGCAGACCTGCGAGTGACATGCAACTCATACAGAAAATACTGAAATATCACTTTCTTATTCCGTAGAGAATCTATAACCAGTGAATATGAGGAGACAGTCTCTTTACTGTTTTTGGTTTTAAATCCACAGGGGTTTAAAAATTCAAGTCTTACATTATGTAGACATGATTAGTTTTCTAGCTAACTGGTGTCAAAAATTTGAGTTTCTATGTCAGACTTTTTAGTGTGCTTCAAAGGTTCTCCAAACACGTACATCAGATTTCTTGGAAAATAACTCAAATATTTTGTAAGCTGATTTCCAAACAATTAGTTTTTCCCCCAAAAACAATTAACTTAGAGACCTGAGCGAGGATTTTCACGCTTTGGCAGTTGTACTAAGTTTTAGAAACTGGATGCCTTACAAAGATTAATCATTGTTGTTTCTTTCTGTAAAGTTTTGCATCATTAGAGCAGCGTTAGAGGAAGAGAAACTGTGGGGGAGAGAAATAGGAGTGACATGCAGCAGATATTTATTTCCTATAAACCGTGATCCACATGAACTGAGGGGGAATTGATCCTTCTGCCGCCGCAAAAAGGAGAGTGGCTTTTGTATATGGGACGCCTGCTTCACCAACAGAGCCAAACTGGTGTCCAACAACGATCGATCCTGTTTCCTTTTTTCATAAATATGACTCTCCAAAGATAAATCACAACCATAACCTCTTAAACTCTACAGTATCTACAGTAAAAACAATGATTTTAGTTTGATTACTCTCACCAGGTGATAATTTCTCTGTCCTCCAGATTAGGACTTAAACAAATTATGATGAAGACAGCACTTTATTAATATTTATACTCTTTCTCTCTCTGACTCAGCTCCAAGACCAGCTGGCAGCCACCGCCAATAAGGAGTTTGACCCTCTCGGACCTTTGCCGCATGGTTGGGGTAAATATCACTGTGCATTTAAACATTAAAAAAACACTCTTAACATGTTATCTGAGACAAAGGTTTTAATGTCAGTCATAACGCAGTTCAAATGAGTCTAAAATTTGAAGCAACCAACATTTCTTTTTCACTGTCAGAGAAGAGAACAGACACCAACGGCAGAGTCTATTTTGTTCATCATCCGACTCGGACGACGCAGTGGGAGGACCCCAGGACACAAGGGTGGGTGTACGCCTTTCTTTCTTTTAGAATTCTTCATTTCGGGGGATGTGGAACGCATTTCACATCACATAGCATGGAAAAGGTGTGACAACTAAATCACCTCTGCAGTCCTTGAATTTTGTATAGAAATATAAACAAGGTGGGGGGAAGAGTATGTACTCTGGAGTGGTGGGAGTAAAAAATAAAAGAGAGAGACTTGGGGAGAGACCCAAAGTGTGGAGACAAAACAACTCATGGATCAGCAACACTTGAAATAAGAAGATGGAAAGACAATATCATAAAATCCTTGATTGGTCACCTCCACAAAATCTGCTCGCTTATATTGAACCCACTTAGACCAGATTTGTACAAAAACATCTTTTTATAGATGTAAACAAAAGGTAATCTTTTACATAACGTATATATCATTAACAATATCAATCCATTCTTGTATTGTTGGGGCTTCAGGAAGTAACCACTGTCTCATAACCGCCTTTTCACTTCTATCAAGTGATAACGATTCTCTCTGAATTCACTGTAGTTACATGTTATTGCCTGCCGGGGGTGCTAACGTGTAAGCATTTTACTCGGCTTCACCTCCTCTGAAACCTCTGACAAGAATCAGCTCTGAACTTTGTTGACTGGAGTGACCAACACTTTGCTCGTCACGTGGGCTTAAAATAAACTGTTTTATGTTTTTTTATAAAGTTATTTTTTGTTCCTGGGAGCCTCATGAGAAAGCAGAACTGTACTTGATACAGTTGACCTGTAAGGAAACACTTGCAGATAAACAATGACAGGGCAGATTCTTTGAAACAAAAGGAGGGATGTGGAAGCAAAGGAATGAGGAAGTTTGAGAGAAATAAAATTTAATTGTTTGTTTTTTAGCAAAGGATGTTGTGATTGTAGGTCAAACTGTACCTGCAATTAGTCATGAGTACACCGTGTCTGATCAGGAAGTTGTTTTCTATTAAGTGATTGTTTAATGAAAGATTGTTTACTTTCACTCGTTAATGACTGGAATTAGTGAGACAGAAGTCCTATTTTTAACTCACTTTCTTATTTCTTAATCCTTTAACTTCACTTTCACTCCTTGTTCTGTGTTTGTATTTATTTCTCAAACTAATGATCTGTTTTCGTTGGTTTCCTTTCTTCAGGCTCTTGAATGACAAACCCCTGCCTGAAGGTTGGGAGATGAGGTTCACCGTCGATGGTATTCCATACTTTGTGGACCACAACAGGCGAACCACGACCTACATAGACCCTCGCACAGGGAAATCATCACTGTGAGCTCTTATTTGAAATGTCTGCATGCATTAAAGGGATATTCCGCCATGAAATTAAATTAGGGTCAAACACACAGTAACACAGAGTTAGACACCCCCTTGAGAGATGAATGTTGCCGACTGCTTGCTTCTCTAGTTATACACAATACAATACACAGCAGTCACCGAGACGCTAAGGCAGAAGAACTACCACGTCTGCAGTGCAAAATGATTAATATGATGATTATTACTTCATGGGAATGATCTGCTGCACTCGGTGATTGACTCGTCAGGGCTCCCCCACAAACAAGTGGCTGCTGGAAGAGAGTAGGTGAGAAGGGGGTGCAGCCAAAGTTTAAAAGATGTTTGATGGCTAGTACTATGGCTGGGACCCTATATGTCCTGTTGATGAAGTTAGGTGCTGTTCTGAGCATTATTTATGGTCATAGAGTGGTGTTTTGTTTGAGGTTTGAGCGTGGAGACGTAGACTGTTGTGTATTGCTATCGTGCGGCCATTACTAAAGTTGGTATAACTTGAGAAGCAAGCGGTTGGCTACATTCGTCTCTCGAGGGGGTGTCTAACTCGTGTTGTATTTTTATTTATTTATTTATTTAACCAGGTAAGAACCCGTTGAAATCGAGATCTCATTTACAAGAGTGACCTGGACAAACACAGGCACTGTTCCATGGTCTCCCAAAGTCTGTCATGTAAGACTGAACGAAATGCTTCCAGCGAAATTAATTCCAACAATTTCAGGTCAGTCTGGGGAGTATTCCATGCTGAAGTGGCAGCAAAACCGAACACTTTTTGCCCAGTTCAGTTCTGATTCGCGGAACAATCAAATAGATAGTGTTGTTTGAGCGCAGGGCTTTCAGTCCTTTGAAGAAGATCACATAAATAAGAAAGAGCTGAGCCAAGAAGAACCTTATAAATTAGAGTCATCCAGTGAGTGGACCTGCGAGTACTCAGAGAAGGCAGTGATAGACAGTAGTTAAGGACTTCAGGCATTTGGCTGAAGCAGTTACGGTGTTACAGTGTGTTTGACCATGACTTAATTTTACGTCGGAATATCCCTTTAATGTTAAAGTTAACATGACCTGACCCCAAGAAGAAAACATTTCACCCCCTTTTGAATCAAAGTAGCAGCATAATTTCACGTCACATGTGCAGAAGTGTGCTTGTAAAACGCTCTTTTATAACCGCTCTTGTCTTTTCCACAGAGAGAACGGGCCTCAGATAACATATGTCAGGGACTTCAAAGCCAAAGTGCAATACTTCAGGTTCTGGTGTCAGGTATGTGCTGCTGCACAACAGGTGTTGAAATTCCTTTTTATCTCCTTTGATAACCTCAACAAGATGATTGTTGGATCTGTCTCCATGTCTCTAGTTCCTAACATGCAAAGATCCTTCAAAATGTTTCCAAATGTGCTGATCATGTTTGCTTTACCACCTCTTTAGCAATTGTCGATGCCTCAGCACATCAAGATCACCGTCTCCAGGAAAACCTTGTTTGAGGACTCATTCCAGCAGGTTGTTATTTGAATAAGCTGGCCTCTAATAAACAGGACTGTCTCATCGTTATTCAGACATGTGTGACTGTTTGGATTCTTTGTCTGTGTTCGTAGATCATGAGCTTCCACCCTCAAGATCTGCGGCGGAGACTGTGGGTAATATTCCCCGGTGAAGAAGGCTTGGACTACGGAGGTGTGGCCAGGTAATTTGACCAATTAAATTCTGAATAGTCGCCTAGGTGGAGGTATGAGGCACGCTTTGTTCTTATTAGTTATCTCTTTATGACAACACCCCATGAATCATGACACACAAAACCTGTTTTTCAGCCTGTACGGCTTTTTCCAGTGAATCGTTCTTTTCATGTCCTCTCTCCGTCCAATTCTAGAGAATGGTTTTTCTTGCTCTCCCATGAAGTCCTGAACCCCATGTACTGTCTGTTTGAGTACGCTGGCAAGGACAACTACTGTCTGCAGATCAACCCCGCCTCCTACATCAACCCTGACCATCTCAAATACTTCAAATTCATCGGACGCTTCATTGCCATGGTACCTGCGCTGTTTATTTAGTGTGGCATGAGAAATTTGTACTAAAGGTGATAGCACGATGACTGCAGCGCACAGGATGAGTCATTCCTGTGTTGCGAAAGACGATCTTGGTTAAATCACATGAAATTGTACACAGGTATCTGAAGAATTTCACACAGGGTTATTGAAATGGGTTTAATTCATAGAGGCTAAAAGATGACTGTCTTATCACAACCAAGATTAATCCATATATGGCAACATTTGGCTTTTATTTTTACTCAACTATATTTTTATTAGTTTTATACAGATTAGGCAGCACAGGGGTGTCGTGGTTAGCACTGTCACCTCACAGCAAGAAGGTCCTGGGTTCAAATCCAGGTCTGTGTGGAGTTTGCATGTTCTCCCTGTGTCTGCGTGGGTTTACTCCGGGTACTCCAGTTTCCTCCCACATCCCAAAAACATGCAGAAGTGGGGTTAGGTTAATTGGACACTTTCAAATTGCCCGTAGGTGCGAATGTGAGCGTGGATGGTTGTTTGTCTCTATATGTCAGCCCTGCGATGATAGGCTCCAGTCCCCCCGCGACCCTGAGAACTGGAATAAGCGGTAGAAAATAGATGGATGGATGGATTTATACAGATTAATACAGGACATCTCTTGAAAGAGCACAAGATACAAAGGAAACATCACAAACACCTCCTTTCCCTCAAGACCCCGTCTACTGCTGGATATTCCTATGACTTTGCTTAAATAACAAATTCTGGAGCTAAAACAAAAATAAAAAAAACAAGTAAGTGCTGGAATTCGGGTTTTGTAGATCTTGAAAGATATAAGATGTTGAGAAATAGAAAGTAAAAACAAAATAAGTTAAATGAACTCCTGCACGTTAAGAGAAATACATGAGTAGACAAGTCACTGAAAACTGAAAAAGTACATAAAAGAGATAAGAAGTTAAATTGTATGATTATAAAACATCACAGATATATATTTTAGTAAGAAAACAACTAGAAGAAGAGAGTGCTGATTCAAAATGTTGAGAGTTTCTGAATGGGGTCCAGAAAACCTTTTTGAATTTTTCGTCATGACCTGCGACCGAGTAACGAATCTTCTCAAGGTCTAAACAAGACGTAAGGTCTTTCAGCCACTGACTGTAAATGGGCAGCGGGCTTTTATTTTAACATTTTTTAACCTTTACTCTTGTTTTTTTGTCCTCCTAGGCTTTGTTCCACGGCAAATTCATCGACACCGGTTTCTCCCTCCCCTTCTACAAACGCATCCTGAACAAACCTCTGGCTCTCAAAGACCTGGAGTCCATCGATCCGGAGTTTTACAACTCACTCATCTGGATCAAGTAGGTTTGGGGTCAAAAAACCCTCATGTGTGAAGTGGTCAGTGGATAACTTATGGTTGGTTCGGTGTATTTCTGAAATTGCTTAACACAATAATCAATCAGAATTAATTAATAGAACAATTTGTTTATTCAGCGTCACGTTAATAACTGTCGTACATATTGACTTGAAAAAGAGGTAAAAAGAAGAATGTTTTGAGAAGTGATTCCCTCCACATGAGAGAATTTTTGCATCTTTCTCTCTTTAGTCACACTTTATCCTCGTTTAATCACGTTAATCCACGTTAATGACTCTCTGGCCTGCAGGGATAATAACATCGAGGAGTGCGGCCTTGAGATGTTCTTTTCAGTCGACAAAGAGATTCTTGGGGAGGTCACCACCCATGAGCTGAAACCAGACGGCGGGAACATCCAAGTGACAGAGGAAAATAAGGAGGAGTACATCAGGTACAGCTGGATCCTAAGATGCTCCTTAGTCAGCATGTTTTCAAACCACTGTTGTAACATTCCCTCTTATATCGACTCATTATAGACTCAATTTTCATACTATTTGCACATTAATGCAGCGTTAATAAACTAAAAATACTGACTGCATTGTTTTCAGACAACATTAAATCTTTGAGCCAGTTTATTTCAGTCCTCGTTTGACCCTTATTATCTCTGTTTGCAGGTTGGTGGCAGAGTGGAGACTCTCCAGAGGGGTGGAGGAGCAGACTCAAGCTTTCTTCGAGGGCTTCAATGAAGTTTTGCCCCAGCAGTATCTTCAATACTTTGATGCCAAGGAATTAGAGGTACATAGAAAACGAAACCTTCTCTCTACCACCTTTTCACAAAGCAGAAGGGTTAGATTAATACCCTGTAACTCCCTCTTGCCTGTAGGTGATGCTGTGTGGCATGCAGGAGATCGACTTGGTGGACTGGCAGCGAAACACAATCTACAGGCATTACGCCAGGAGTAGTAAACAGATCCTTTGGTTCTGGCAGGTCAGTACAGCCCCGACTTTAATGTTAAGACGAACTGTCGGTACAAGCACAACGTCTTCTTTCAGTCCTACTTGTTTTGGTAGACCAGCTCTGCACAAAAGAATCTGTGAAGTCTTGTGATTTCACTTCTCCTTGAGCTTGTAACAACACCAAGTACTTTAGGACCGGATTACTTTATGTTGTTGTCTTTTCAGAAAATGAGTCAAAAGAGTGCAAACGTCTTTTACTATGTCAAAAAAAACCAAAACACTTCAAATTTAGGAGTATGGTTTTTCATGCTCTATGACGTAAGGTATTATATTTGATGAGTTTGCTAACTAAGCGTGTTCTGTTGACAGTTTGTGAAGGAGATGGACAACGAGAAGAGGATGAGACTGCTGCAGTTTGTCACAGGAACTTGTCGTCTTCCTGTTGGCGGCTTCGCTGACCTGATGGGTATGAGAAATTGACACATACACACACAACACAAAAACACACACTCAGTATTCTCTGATTTCTCCATTTTATTTTCTCCACTCTCATTATTTACAGGAAGCAACGGGCCCCAAAAGTTCTGCATCGAGAAAGTTGGAAAAGAGAACTGGCTTCCACGAAGCCACACATGGTGAGACCTGTTTCTTGTGTTTCTTCTTCTCAGGTGTCTGACCAGGAGCCAGGTCTAGATTTCATGTGGATTAAACTTTCAAGACCAAACCCCCTGAGTCATTTTTCCTTTATCCAAACACTGACCTTCCCTTATTGTCAGTGTGTATATATTTAGTGTTTGGGTTATGTAACAGTGTGTAGGAATGCATTGTTACGGTTCATTGAGTAATACGGATTACAAAATGTTTATTTAGCAGATTCTCCCTTCCATCAGCATGCAAAATTAGTGCAGAATGTAAAATAACCCGGAGACCACAGTGGTGCACTTTCATCTTAAAATCACGTTTTCAAAAAAACCATCCCTCTTCAGATGACCTTTGTGGTAATAAACTTCAAAAATACATCCTCATCTGGATTATAAACCTGAAGAAAGCAGATTACACAACCATTAAGATGACACTTTATGCACACTGGGCATGCTTGTGCCTGCCTAATCCAGGAGCACTCAGTGCAAGCAGCAATCGGTTTCTTTGTTGCAGAAATACTTGAAATGAAGTAGCAGTAACGCTGAATAAGATCAACACGTCTTCAAGTAGCAGCATGTACGCTGTGAACGAGGACGCTTCACTGCAACTTTGTTATGTCCCAAAAAAAAAAACATCATAAAAATAAAATAAATAAAAAAAAGAAAAGCATGTCTGTCATACCAGTATTTATTATTATTATTATTATTATTATTAATAATAATAATAATAATAATAATATACACCATCTAATATCAGAAACAATTGTCTCCTCCTGCAGGAATCATTGTTGGGACTGATCTCTGTTGGGAAGCAAATGTGTAAAACTATAGTCTTAGTAAAAATTCATACAAACAGAGCATTATTTTCCTTCCATAAATCCCTGTTTTTGTGACCTAAACTGAAGTATTTTACACAGCAATAATGTAAATAACATTTAAATATCTGCTGATTGAAAAGGGTTGAGTTTTTCTCTCCGTCAAGGAAAAAAAATGCACTTAAAAGAGTGTAATGAGTCTTCTTATTTCCTCTTTTTTCCACTGCAGCTTTAATCGTCTGGACCTCCCTCCGTACAAGAGCTATGAGCAGCTGAAAGAGAAGCTCATGTTCGCCATCGAGGAGACAGAAGGTTTTGGGCAGGAGTAATGAAACAGGAACAGAAGCTGCAGCATCCACTTCAGACTAAAGCACCTTCCACCAGATCCTCCCTGCAACCAGAAGCTGCTTACAAACTGGTAGATGGGCGTTCATTATACACAGTTACGTGTCCCTACCGTGTTTCATTATAGGTTCACTTATCCCACAAAGGCCTGTGAATCCTCCTCGGCCAGTTTCATCCCTCACCTGTATGATCCCAGTCCCACCCTCATCACTGAGCCCGGCTAAGCCCACTATCAGGCTTAAGAGGCCAAAGGGGACGCCTGTCTCACCCTGTCATGCCTGCACTCGCTGTCGATTGCGTAAGTGCAGTTTCTACACGTAAATCAGTGAACCTGTGCAGTAGTTATTACTTCTTAAGAACCGCCTTGTTGAATCTTTGCACTAGAATTGATATTGTCAGAGGAGAACCTATTTGTGCAAATCAAACGCTTCACATGTAAAGCCAGAACGCAGGCACAAATATGGTGTTGGGCTCAGACTCAGCAGTATTTTTCCTTTGTCGAAGAATGGATGAATGGAGGTGATTTTTTTCCCCCCTTTTTTTAGCAGCTGACTGACTGGACTGATTCTTGTAGCACATATATAGTTTCTTTAACGACTTTGATAAATCTATTATTGATGATTAAAATGATTCTCTTGTTTTAACAGGTTGATTTCTTAATTTTATAATGAGTTGAAACATTGAACTTTGCACATAATGAAATGAGCATTTGGACGGATGTGATTGTTCTTTGGAGAGGTTGTATTTTTATGTGCAATAGTTTTTTAGTCACATTTTTGCTGATGATAGAGCCGAACGGTGATTTCCTTGATCATTTTGTAACGTTAATTCTGTGAGTTTCAGCGGTTACTAATGATTTATCTCTTAATATGAAGTCGAGTACATTTGCACATTTGTAGGTGTACATGAGGGAGCTGGTTTGGATTTGATTTGACAAACTTTGCCTTCTCAAAAATGGTCCATACTGTTTATATTCTCAGCCATAGATAGATTTATGACTTGTTACTAATGAAGTGGGAATATTATGATGTGGTATAATGATGATTTTGCCCTTTCCCACTGAATGGTTGCCATTTTGTTGATAGCTATCCAGAAGTTAGTTTTATCCTAGATCAGTCATAGAGATACGAAACCTTAACTGTTGATGATGTGTTGACTTACTAATGAAGTTAATGTAAATATACTTACAGATTAGATAATGTGTTTGATAATCTAATAAATTTAGCTCATAAAAACAACGAGTCCCTTTGAGTTGCAGGTATAATACCATAAATAGGATTTAAATTAACATTATAGAAGATTACCCTAGTTTTATAGGGTGATAGGTATTCAGATTTGTACAGTACTTGTGCATTTCCTTTTTTTTTTTTTAATAGCTCCACTAACATTGGCTTGAAGTTTTGTTTTAGTACCAGGTTTAGTGTAACTTCAAAAAAACAAACACTAGGGAACCTATCAACCAAAGGATTATAATTCTTTTTTTTTTGTTAAACATGAGTCAACAAGTGTATTTCGTTCTTAAAACCCTTTAACTGAAAACAGATTTCACTGATGTTGCAGCCACAAAAGGTTGTGACTTGTCTTTTTATAATATAAGAGGCTACGAGGTACAAAAAAACATAAATAAGTCAAATTAAGAATAGAAATTTTCATGATTTCATGGCTAATTCCTGTCCATGTTTGAAGCTGTTTAGTCTTTGTATAGAGAGCGTGGTGTGAATTACATAATTCAGTGTGTATCTCAGATAACTGAAAGTTGCAATTACAGAATCAGGTTGATTAAGTCTTTTTTTATCGAATATCATCTCTGCATTTGTAAGATTGTTGTCTCTATGCCCCATCCTCCCCCGACTCCCAACAGGTGTGTAAACTCTTAGTCAGATACCAGTTACTGCTCAGTTAAAGCTTCAACTGTGTAAGATGTTTTATAATCCCTCACATCTTCCTCTTACTGTCAGAGTAAGTCACATCTACAGACTTAAGTAGTAAATAAAAAACAAAAAGAAAACCTTGTTAAAAAAGGTTTTGTAATTACAAACGGGACTTTTTTATATTGAAACTGACAAGAGCTTATCATATAGCACCTTTACACTCCAAAAAGGTTGAATTAACCACTTCACTGTTGAGTCACTGCTGTGCTCTTGATCGTGGAGCATTTAAATGTGTAAAAATATGCAAAATAGTGTTTTGTTGTTTGATTGAATTGTAAATCATGTTGATAGTGTAATCACTGTTTTTTTGAGGCTCTTAACTTTTTTCATAAGTCAAAGTCAGTGGTTGAAAACTATTTATTTGGAGGATGGGTTTCATGTAACAATGGACTGGATTGATTGAGGAAAAAAACAATAAAATGATTAAAACACTGGGCTCCTGCAGAACATGTGTGGACTGTGATTTCATCGTCACTGTAACATCTTTTACACTTTTTACAATATCCTACACGAAATTGTTGATAATTTCTCTTTAAAAAAATACCTGCTAATTAATATTTCTTCCATGTTGTGCCAAATTTTAACCAAAGGGACTTTTGGTCAATCTGGATTTTGTCCCTGTAGAGAAATTCTTGCTGAAATGGCCTCTCTTACTGTTAGTAGTCTTTTTTTTTTTACTTCAGTATTCATCAAGTCAGCTACAAACTCCTCACATGAGCTTTAACACACTACAAACTAGCAGTTACATAATTTACAAAGAAACAACAGGAATGCGCTATGAGCAAGCATTAGTCAACAGTAGCAGGGAACATTAACTTTCGTTGAACAGGCAGAAACTTTGGGCGAGACCAGACTCATGGTGACCAGCTGTCTGCCAAGACTGAACGGTGAGAAAAGGAGGGAAAGATGGATGGAGATGAACACGACAACAATCGAAAAGCTTTGTAGCTACAATTGAAAATTATGATTATACAAATATGTTTCAATATTAATAACATGATGTAATAATGTTAACTAACACAGCAGTGTAATTAATTATAAATTAATCCTTTAATTAATACAAGTTCAACCAGTTTCCAACTATTGTGGAAATGTAAGCAGATAATTGTGGTTAAATACTGAATCTAACTGGATATTTAGCAGATTTATCATAGTATGACAAGAGTTGTAAGATTCAGTGGATCATTGTGCACAGGGGCGGTACAGAGTTAAACCCATAATGAGTAACAGCAAATGTTTAATCTGTTTTAGTTTTCTAGTTAGAACCATACGGTGGCTGAAAACCACTGCTGCTGCAAATAAAAAAGAAGACACAATGGGAGTTACCTATGCAAAAAAAAAAAAAAAAGAAACTGAAGCCTGCTGCAAATAAAAAAAGAAACGGTACAGTTTTTAAATAAGCCAAAATGAAAGTTAACGACACAAAAAAAGCCACAATGGAAGTGAGCTGCCAGGGACCAATAACGATGATGCACCGGTGTTTTACGATCTAGGCACAGAAGACGACGGTGAGAAGACGAGCAAAGAAGTTAGTGGAAATGTTATTGTTCCATTTTGCTTCGTGAACTTTTCAATTCGTCATTTGGTCAGGCCATTTTTTTTTTTTGTGCATTGTTAACTTCCCGTGTGGCTTTTAAAAAAATCTGCACCGTTTCTTTTTTTATTTGCAGCGAGCTTTGTTTTTTACAGTGGTAACTTCCGTTGTGGTTACTTTTATTTTTATTTTTTCCAATTTTTTTTAACTTGCAGCAGTGGCGGTTCTCGGCCACCATTGCTACAAAGTTAACCCCCCAATATGTAAAGGCAAATGTTTAATCTGTTTTGGTTTTACTCCTCTAGTTAGAAACAGACTTATAGATTTATGAACCCTTTTGTATTTCTCACACTCTTTTTAAGACATACAGTCACACACTTTACTGTCGTTACGTAAGAATTAACTGGCACTGACAATGATTCATTAAAAATAACAGCCCAGCTAATGTCACATCAAACTCTAGTGGGGGTGGGGTAAGATGAGCCATTTTTCATATTTTGGATCACTACATCAAGTCAATCCTAGTCCAATCAAGTCAACTAGTGTATCTGCATATATTTCAGGATGTTGTTCATCCCTGCAAACCAACAAAATGGGTGTAAACAGAACTGTCTTGATAATATAGCATGCCAAAAAAAGTGGTCTCCTATGGTCAATTTACCCCATACACGGGGGAAGAAAAAGTCAAACATTTCAACAATCTGAACTGAAACTCTGATCCTCTCATCAGACTCCTTTACTTTCTCAGTTACCCCTGAACTACGAGGATGACTTTATTAGTCCTCTAAACTAAAATGGTGGACTTTTATGTTAGGTTTTTGACCTCATGTTGTAGTTCACAGATACCACAATTGATGTTTAAAACAAATTTAAAATGATCTTTTTGGTCTGAACACAATTCTAATCAAATTTATGACTTTCAAGAGTGGAAAATGTTGTTTTGATGCCTGTCTCCTAAATATTTGGTCACATGATCAATTTCTTTTACTGTTTCCAAGCAACAGGGGTGGCTCAACTTACCCCACTCTCTCCTATTTCTCACACAGAGGTTAGTCAATCCGTCCTCACTCTTTTTAAGACATACAGTCACACACTTTACTGTCGTTATGTAAGAATTCACTGGCACTGACAATGATTCATGAAATAACAGCCCAGCTAATGTCACATCAAACTCAAGTATGTAGTATTACATCAAACCAAGTGACACAGCGGTGACAAATAAGTCACTATCTGTCGTCTTATAGCTTTTCAAACGTGATAACCTGGGAGTTTTAACTCTCTACAAAGTTTAATACACATTTTTTAACTCTTAAAATGAACAAAAACAGCAAAATAATAATAAAAAAAAAAAGTTCGTTAGCATAGGAACCTTAGCTGCTGAGTTTGACTACGGCGACATTTCACTGAGACACCCGCCTCTCTCTGTGGACAGCCTGTGCAGCATGTTTTAATGTCCTGTTGGCTCTGCTGAAAGTCATGGCAGGTCCCGATCTGATTAAAACAGTTTTATATACTGTCAATAATTTACTACAGCAGGAGAAATATAAAGCGGCTTTGGCAGTATTGAAGGGATTCAGAAATGGCGCCGTGTGAGTGAATTTATTCTGTAAATTCAGCTGTTAGAGACAGATGCTATAAACTGAGCTAATACTAATAATGCTGATCAGCTGTTAGATTTAATGTTGTTATCAATACTAGCAGCATGGAGCCTTTGTGGTTTTTAATGTTTATATTAGCAGGTGTGTATAACAGACTAAAATTAACCCTGTTTTTCTGCACTAATGTTTTCAGGCACTTCACTAACTTCATTATTATTTATTGATTTCTCAGGTATGGAGCCAAAATCCGAGCTCCACATGCTCTGGTCATGACATTTCTGTTCAGAAGTGGCAGGTAAGAAACTCTGTCATGATGTTTCATGGAGGCTGTAAGCAGATATGTTTTATTTTGCTTTGTTTACCCATGATATTGAGTACTTTCATATTGTCCAGCTCTTATTTAGTTTGTAATATAAAGATACTAAAGCTACTTTCCCCCCTGTGGTTATGTAACTGGTGTGACTCTGCATTGTGGTTACAGACAAAGACACCAGTGGGATTGTTCATCTGCGTTTATTCTGTAATCTGTAAACCAGAATGACAGGGGAAACCTTAAAAATGTTGGCCTTGAATGAACATAAGTTGGCACACTAAACGGACAAAACACAACAAAACTAACACTCTGGATGTCACATGAGTGAAAGGAAACTAGAAAATGTTTAATAAACACGCCAAGAAAAAGTAAAGTAGAGAGTAAAGAAAGTAAAGGAAACCAACGAAGAAGCTGCACATAAAAATAAATCAAATCCACAGAAGGTTTCCACAGTCAAACATCAAAACACAGGCATAAGTTTGGTAATTATAAAGAAAAAAATAATGATGTACATTTCACTATGTTACAGTTACACTTTCCCCTCATTTTTCCTGTTATCTTTGAATAACAAAGAGTGTTTTCCTGAAGCCGTGGTCTCTGGTGCAGCAAAATAAAGTTGGAAGTCCACTTGGGAGATTGAGAAACCAAGTGTAGATTTATCAGTTTTATAAGTACTAACTGACAAATCTACACTAATGCACATGCTCTGTGGTTGTGATGCTGTGTTTTATCTCTTAATCCTTGAAAAGTTAAAGGACTTTAACTTTTCAAGGATTAAAGGAACTGTATTTGTCATACCCCACACCTTTGACTGTCTGTGTAACAAAATGAGTGCACAGGTCCGTTTCCAAGCCAAGAGTAAAAATACAATACAGTAAAAAAAATATAATGCAATAGCTAAGATACAACCCAGTAAAGAGCAAAATGTAAACAAAATTCAAACCCTCGAACCCTCATTTGAACTCTTGGGGGAGAGTTCATATTTGCACTTTGTACAAAGCAGCTGTCTCACTCGTCAACAACCACAAATTTGCAGGATTGCCTGTTAGCTTGTCCCCCACGTGAAACAGCAGCAGCAGTGGTGGAAGAGGCACCACCAATGAGTGGTGCAACAGCGAGTGTTTAACCCTGAATGACCCCCTCAGGTCTTTTAAGGGGACAATGGAGAGCTGAATGGTAACATATAGATACTACGGCTGGGACGATACGCTTTTCTCCCGATTCGATTCTTCTACGATTTTTTTGGATGCCAATTCAATTTAAATGGCGATTCTACAACATTGTCGATTTTCTTAATTTTTAGTCTGCATTTTTAACACCAGTGAAACATTTGAATGATCATGATCGTCTACTGACTATTCCAGGAACCATATTTCCTCAAAATACACATAATATGCAAGTCAGTTTTTTAAAATGTATTCTTAAATCAAAAAAAAAAGAAAAGATTTTTGAACATAAAAATCTATTTAAAAATTGTAAAACAAAAAAAATGTGATACGCATGTGAATCGATTTTTTTCTCCCACCCCTAATAGATACCATCTCCAGTAGGACTTGTATTGGATAGTATTCCGTTTGCAGATTATATCTCATCTTAGTTTTACATTAAGTTTGCAAGTATCTTCGTCTTCACAGCTTGTATAACCAAATTGCACCCAGATATCTACTTTAGTGTCCATCAGTGGAGCATAAGATAAGATAAGAAGAACTTAAGTGATCACTGAAGGGAAATTCATCTCTGAGTCCTGGCATGTTTGTTTTGAAGTATGATAAAAGATAAAAATCGATTTTATTAAGGATATTCATTTCTTTTACATTTTTAACTCAGCCTTTTGAGGTTAATCTAAAGCTAGGCTGAGTAACATGATCTTAACCTGAATCTCCAGACTTTTAAAAACGGCGAACAGACCTAGAAATGAGCTCAACTTTAATATTTTGTTCAGACAGTGACAGGATGACACTTCTACATGGTCAAAACAAGCTTTGTTACAAAATGAGATTCATATATGTTGGGAAAACAAGCTTTATTAATCCAAGATAGCAGGAAAAAACAAGTTAATTGTTATCTTGAGATAAGAGGATAATAAATGTGAGAATTGGAGAAGAGAGTTTTGTTGTTCTCACGATCTATACTATCACACTCCTCTCTGTGCCTTTATTGTCTAATCCTAATTATATTTTGTTTAATAGTTTGAAGGACAAGCTCAGAGCCATTTTGAAGGCCACATACACTCACTCTCGCAACCTGGCGTACTTTGTGTTCACGTACAAAGGCCTGCAAGCTTTACAGGAGAAGCTGCAGGGAAAGACTCTGCAGTCTCACTCTTTTCTGGCTGCCTGTATCGGAGGATGGTTAGTGTTCGGAGACAATAACAACATCAATAGTCAGGTATGATGAACTATTCGTTGCTCTTCCTGATTAAACTGTGAAAAATTGAAACTTGTTCCTGCTAAAACTCCTCTTACGTCCTTTAGATCAACATGTACCTGCTGTCCAGGATCCTGTTCGCTCTGTCCCGCCTGGCTGTGGAGAAAGGAGTCATCCCTCAGCCCAAACACGACCCTTTCCCACTCTTTGCCACTCTGGTGTGGGGCATCGTGTTGTGGTTGTTTGAATATTACCCACACACCCTCCAGCCGTCTCTGCAGTCCTCAATGAACTACCTCTACCACGACAGCAACGTGTGGCACGACATCACAGACTTCCTTATTTATAATAAACCAAGGACTGCTGCTCCTAAATGAAGCTTTAGCTCTCTTCAGATTGGACCAGCTCTCTGCCACACAATAATGCATTATTATTATTATTATTTTTAATGATTATTCCAATATTGAACGTTGCCTTATTGTAAAAAAATTAGATATCACTGTAATGTTTTGTTTGGTTCAGTATGTTCAGGATTATGTAGCTGCAAAAGCGTACAGCTTTAAGTAGCAGTATCTGTGTCAAGTATGAATTTATCCCACTAACTTTAAAGTGATTGTAAATGTTTTTAAAGTTGATTTCCAGGAATATGTTACCAAATTCAACTGTGACAGGAAAACAAAAAACCCCAGACCGGCTGAAACGCTGTTACCTCTTGTGAACTTGCTGTTACACAGAGATTCAAAGATGTCAATATGAGCAGCAGCATCGTCAACTGATGTGTTGTAAAACATTCTCACCTCTTTAAGCTCCTTGTGTTTAATTTAAAATGAATAAAAAGTTACATCATGACTGTTTGAAACGATAAAAGTTGTTGCTGGTCTGATAATGCTCAACATGACTTTCGGTGTTATGACTAACAAAATAAAGGATTTCCTTAAACCCCAAGAATCCTGCACCCTGCACAGGAAAAACTGGACACACATGTGGAAGTTGTTATGAAATCAGTTACATTTGATTAAATGCCAAAGGTGTGCCATTATCTTGTAATTATCTTCTGATGCGTAATGAGGGATCAATGAAATCCTATTTCAGTCATGCGTCTTCGCCTTTCACTGAATTCCTATCTATTTAAGCTGTAACAACAACTACACAATTATTATGTCACCCCATCTCTAAGGTTACGACACGACAACTTAACTTGAGGTTCAGTGAAGTGGAGAGGTGAACAGCAACACATTTATTCACACTCTGCTCTGAAGTGGGGAATTTGTATTTATGTATTCTTCCATATTTGATGTTGCTTTCTGTTACTTTGAGTTACATTTAAGAGGCGATAGTGTTTAATTTATATCGACCTTAAATGAGAAAAGTGGTTGAAGTAATTAGCAGATAAATGGATGTGTGAATTTATCAACTCAATTCATTTTACTCAAAAGCTGTGGTTCAAATGTCAAGAACTCTTCTGTTTATGAATCCATAAGATCTGTTCTCGGGTTGGAACTCCGGGTTTTATTTGAGATCTAGTCAGAAGTACAGCTGTAAGGCTTTCACCTCACTGTACATCCCCAAATCTGTTATATCCCTGCTGTGATCAATTAAAGAGTCGGTGGTTTGAATAACAAAAAAAAAAATCTACGTGACTTTTTTCTCAGAGCAGGGTTTCTGCTGGGTCTAAAATCCAATAATTTGAATGTAAGGCCTTAAAATGTCTAAAATTCTCTTAAAACCTCATAAAATGTCTTAAATACAAATTTGAAAGGTCTTAAAAATGTATTGATGTTACTTACAAACAAGATTGATTTAATGTTAGTTTTAAATGTTCCGATATGAATGTTAAATGCATCTTAAATTGTATTTATTAAGGTCGTAAAAGTCTTTAAAGTCTTAAATTTGACTTGTTAAAACCTGCAGAAACAAAATCTAAATTCCTGACTTTAGTTCCGGACTTTTAAAAAATCTCAGAATCTAAACTTTTGACTCTCAAAGAAAATAAATTCAGGCTCAGATTAAAAAATATTATCCTAATTAATTTGTTTTTAGTGGTCCTGATCCTCTTCAGTACGTGTTACACTGTCAGTAGAGAGCTGAGTTTAGACTTTTATTTCAGTCTTTGTGTTTTACTTCTAAGAATGACCTCTAACCCAGCGATGCAATGACAAGGCAACAGATGGGACGACCGCTCCTGTGCTGACACAAACTCGATATTCATCCTCCAAAAATGTATCCAGCCCGTACATACAGTACCTGCTATTGTCAGCTGGTGAGGCCCCACCCCCTGTATGTGATTTACGCAGTTCAGCTAATTTCTCTCTATGCCAAGTCTCAACATCAGATGATACAGTAATTAACTTAATGTGAACGCCTACGATTTAATTCAGGGTATGGAACACAGTTTGTTTTAATGGACCAACGGCAGAGTCAAAGACAGTTGCTGCAGTTGTGTGAAGTTTCAACCTGATTTGAGTTCTTCATCGTGCCAAAAACATGACTTCTAAAATTCACCTGGATGTTTCTTTTTATGTCACAGAAATTTCTACTGGTTCTACTGGTTCCATAAAGTCCCACACCTCTGTTTGTTCTTCATAGAAAGATCCAAGTCTGAACACATAAAAGTCATAATTATAGGCAGTTATCAAAAGAGCACATTCAGGTTTAAACCGACACCCCATTTAGTTCAAGTCTTGACCCAGATTTTAAACTCAGTAGACACAAGTACGGCGATACAGTCAAAGCGATTTACTTTGGGAGTGAGCTGCACATTCAGAGACGACACAACTTCGTGATCATGTGAAAAAGTCCAACACAAGTGCAGAAAAATAAAAAGAAATAGGACACAAACAGCAAAACTGAAAATCACATGTCAAAGAAAAATAAGACGTATCAGAGAAAGTGCTCCAGGTCTGCAGAGATGCTCGTGCGGTGGAATAGTTTATAACATGATTAAATCAACCACAACATCCCCACAGGCCTCAGGCTCTTCTGTTTTCACATTTTGTTTGCAGCTTTTTTCATGTTTTCTTTTGCATGTTTTATGCATTTGTGACTTTCAGAATTTGCATTACGTATTTAAGTTTAATTCCCCTGTGTCGGCCTTTTTTCTGCATGTTTTCATTTACAACATGCTCCCATTATTGCATTTTGTTGTGGACTTGTGCATCCTTTCCAAATTTGTAGCGCATGTCTCCTCCTGTAGATCTTGGCACCGTCAGCCAAGGCAATAAAAAATAATGTTTTTTCTTAACCAAAACAGTGTCTGCTCAATAAAATCTGCATGTAATTAAAGTGGGGAAAAAAACACTTAATGTGTAAGATAATAAATCAATAAGATTTAGTGAGCTGTGAGAAAAGCATTAACAAGAAATGTAATAAGCTGTATACTTTTTCTCTCTCTGCTATCTCTGCTAGGTCTCAAATCTATAATGCACAATCATTCCCATACCTTAATTTTGGAACTGATAAACCACATCTTAAAGCAATGACGTCAAGGAAAACGGAAGTTGGCAAGGATTGACTATCAGTGCATTTCTGCACGTACATTTTACCTGATGATTTCTTAAGTCAAAGTCTGATGTGACTGACATCATTTTCCTCCGAGACAAGAAAGAGTTTGGCGTTTGCCCAAAACCATGTGGGCTTAATTATTTTAATTCTCAACTGGCACCACAAGATGTGAGAAAATATGACAGGTGTGTTTCTGTGCGTTTCTATACGAACATTTTACCTGATGATTCATTAAGTGAAAGTCTCGCCAAAAAACGTGACTGACGTTATTTTTCTCTGCACACAAGGCAGATTTTGGCATTTGCCCAAAACAGTATCGGCTCAATTAGCTTTATTTTTAACTGGCACCACAAGATGGTAAGAATATGTTTACAGGTAGAGTTTTGGGGTAGAAGACTCCAAAGTGCGCCATATAAACAGTCTTTTTATAGTAATATTAGCTGTAGAGAAGAAATCAGAGCTGCTTCGTTTAAAAATTATCGTTCTGTCGGGCTTCTTCTTGTCCTAATTTCTGTAAACCGCAACTTCGCGTGTGAACTCTTGGACCTCTGTTCTTGTATGATACGTCTAACTGTGTCAATGTCAAAGTTACGGTGATTTCAAAGGCTTGTGTGCCATTTGTTGTCCGCACGATTTAATCGGATGCCTCATTAAGTCTAAGTCTTGCCAGTAACGTGACCTAAATTGTTCTCCTGGAAGATTCATTAAAGGACGATAAAACAATAGAAAAGGAAGTTTCCAGAGTAGCTTTAAAGAGATTAAAATGATTTATGATCAGAAACTCTGTCCGATGTCTTAAAGCTTCAGCAAGGAACTTTCGCTTTTTGCCGATTTTGACGCCCCCTGTGGACAAAGCTGTTCTACTTATGTCCTAACCGATACTTAAAAGGATATTTCGGCGTAAAATTAATTTAGGGTCAAACACACCATAACACAGAGTTAGACACCCCCTAGAGAGATGAATGTTGTCGACCGCTTCCTTCTCTAGTTATACCAACTTTAGTAACGACTGCAGGATAAAAATACAGAGAGCTCAACCAAAATGCCACTCTATAGCCACAAATAATGCTCAGAACAGCACCTAACTTCATCAACAGGACATATAGGGTCCCAGCTACAGTACTAGACACCAAACATCTTTTTAGCTTTGTCTAATTTCTTTAGCAAAGAGACTAAACACAACTCACCTACTCTCTTCCAGCAGCCGCTTGTTTGTAGCGAGACCTCGGGCCAGTCCATTGCAGACTACAGCGGGGTGTCGCAGCTCAAGGAAGAACATTTATGATCTTTTCTTCATGGAAATACAATCAGACCGAGACACTGAGGCAGAAGAACTACTGCGTCTGCAGAGAAAAATGATTAATAATTAATATGGTGATTATTACTTCAAGGAAATGATAAAGAAATGAAAGTTGGTAAAACTAGAGAAGCAAACAGTCGGCAACATCCAACTCTCGACGGGGTGTCTAACTCGGTGTTACGGTGTGTTTGACCCTAAATTAATTTTATGCCAGAATATCCCTTTAAATCTTTTAAAAGTAAAATGATGTTTTGATGAGAAACTCGACAGATGCATTCAATAAAGAATAGCAGTGTAAAAACTCTTTATAGTAGCTTTTTTTTCAGACAGCAATGATTGCCACTTTTTTATTTTTTAATAAAATCAGTGTGTTGAATCCTTGACAGTGTTTTTAATCTTCTCCAACTAAAGGGAGAGCATACTGTCAGTAAACCACATGAACACAAAAGTGGAGAAGGAGATTAACAAAGCAAAAGTGTCCTTATTCTGACCAGAGGTAGCATGAAAACAATCATGTTTAATTCTGCAAAAAGTTCACATTAAAATGTGAACTTTTGCCCCTCTCAAACAGATCTT